TGACTATTAAGGGGTTAATCGCCCACTGCTTTGCGAGTTTCCAGTATTTTTATTAAGCTAGATTTCTATGTTTGGTTAGTAAGGGGTTAATCGCCCTCTGCTTTGCGAGTTTCCAGTAGCTGTATTAAGCTGAGATTTCTATGTTTGACTAATAAGAGGTTAATTGCACACTGCTTTGCAAGATTCCAGGAGCTGTATTAAGCTGAAATTTCTCTGTTTGGCTAGTAAGTGGTTTATCGCCCACTGCTTTGCATGTTTCCAGTAGCTGTATTAAGCTAGATTTCTGTGTATAGCTAGTAAGGGGTTAATTGCCCACTGCTTTGTGAGTTTCCAGGAGCTGTATTAAGCTGGATTTCTGTGTTCGACTAGTAAGGGGTTAATCGCCCACTGATTAGTGAGTTTTCAGTAGCTGTATTAAGCTGGATTTCTGTGTTTGACTAGTAAGGGGTTAATTGCCCACTGCTTTGTGAGTTACCAGTAGCTGTATTAACCTAGATTTCTGTGTTTTACTAGTAAGGGGTTAATCACCCACTGATTTGTGAGTATTCTGTAGCTGTATTAAGCTAGATTTCTATGTTTGACTAGTAAGGAGTTAATGACCCACTGCTTTGTGAGTTTCCAGTAACTGTATTAAGTTAGATTTCTGTGTTTGACTAGTCAGGGATTAATCACCCACTGCTTTGCTAGTTTTCAGTAGCTGTATTAAGCTAGATTTCCATGTTTGACTAGTAAGTGGTTAATTGCTCACTGCTTTGTGAGTTCCATGTAGCTGTATTAAGCTAGCTTTCTGTGTATGGCTAGTAAGTGGTTAATCACCCACTGCTTTGTGAGTTCCCTGCAGGTGTATTAAGCTAGATTTATGTGTTTGACTATTGAGGGGTTAATTACCCGCTGTTGTGAGTTTCCAGTAGCTATATTACACTAGATTTCTGTGTTTTACTAGTAAGTGGTTAATCACCCACTGATTTGTGAGTTTTCTGTAGCTGTATTAAGCTAGATTTCTATGTTTGACTATTAAGGGGTTAATCGTCCACTGCTTTGTGAATTTCCAGAAGCTGTATTAAGCTAGATTTCTGGGTTTGACTAGTAAGGGGTTAATCACCCACTGCTTTGCGAGTTTCCAGTAGCTGTATTAAGCTGAGATTTCTGTGTTTGGCTAGCAATGGTTAATCATGGACTGCTTTGTGAGTTTTCAGTAGCTGTATTAAGCTGGATTTCTGTGTTTGACTAGTAAGGGGTTAATCGCCCACTGCTTTGCGAGTTTCCAGTATTTTTATTAAGCTAGATTTCTATGTTTGGTTAGTAAGGGGTTAATCGCCCTCTGCTTTGCGAGTTTCCAGTAGCTGTATTAAGCTGAGATTTCTATGTTTGACTAATAAGAGGTTAATTGCACACTGCTTTGCAAGATTCCAGGAGCTGTATTAAGCTGAAATTTCTCTGTTTGGCTAGTAAGTAGTTTATCGCCCACTGCTTTGCATGTTTCCAGTAGCTGTATTAAGCTAGATTTCTGTGTATAGCTAGTAAGGGGTTAATTGCCCACTGCTTTGTGAGTTTCCAGGAGCTGTATTAAGCTGGATTTCTGTGTTCGACTAGTAAGGGGTTAATCGCCCACTGATTAGTGAGTTTTCAGTAGCTGTATTAAGCTGGATTTCTGTGTTTGACTAGTAAGGGGTTAATTGCCCACTGCTTTGTGAGTTACCAGTAGCTGTATTAACCTAGATTTCTGTGTTTTACTAGTAAGGGGTTAATCACCCACTGATTTGTGAGTATTCTGTAGCTGTATTAAGCTAGATTTCTATGTTTGACTAGTAAGGAGTTAATGACCCACTACTTCGTGTGTTCACTGTAGCTGTATTTAGCTAGATTTCTGTTTGGCTAGTAAGGGGTTAATGGCCCACTGCTTTGTGAGTCCGCTGTAGCTGTATTAATCTAGCTTTCTGTGTTTTGCTAGTAAGGGGTTAATCACCTACTGATTTGTGAGTTTCCAGATTTCTGTGTTTGACTAGTAAGGGGTTACTTGGTTTAGATCTCGGCCGTGATATGAACAGAGAGGATTCCTGTATTTGGTTAATGAAGGGCTTACTTACCTGCAGATTTACACTATATAAGTCTGTTGTGGTCATTATATATCTACGTAGAGACCACTGGGCACTCATAACACATAGAACCACTAGACAGAGAATTCAATGGTTTCTTGTTACGCAGTCAGTGTTTCTTCTCTCTGTCTGTTTGATGTTTTCCTTTGTACATTGACACGGTATAAGTTCTTCCTTTGGAGAAGCTATTTTGGCAGATATGTAGCCGAGTCTGTGCCTGACCTTTTACAGTAAAAGTATTCACATCCATCGAGTTAGATGTCTCCAACCTTCAGCAAAGTGCAGAGTGGAGCGTGTATAAGCTACGTGATTAACCCTTTACTTATTCAGTCTTTAATAAGCTTGTAATGGGGGAAATGCTCACAGGTATCAGATGAAGAATTACAATATTATTAGAACAGAAAATGTGAATAGATATGAGAAATCAAGATGAAATAGTTTTTGGCTGGAATTGTAGCTCTTTAGTTTTACATATCTGTTTTCTACATGATTTGTCCCAAATAAGTGGGCTTTTAACGATTGAGCTTAAAGAAACTCTCCAAGAACCATAACCACTAAAACACACTTTGACTACTTTCCGCCATGTGCCATGCCCTACCTCCACTACTCTCTGTATGAGCTAAGCTCTGTGATTACTGACACTCACCCAATTAACTAAGGGTTTCCTGCACTCTGTCAGCAGTAGTGTAAAAGTGAAGTGACACCCCGAATACCCCAGGTAACAAGTTAAACATTTGACCATTTCCAATAGGCGCACTGTAGTGGTTATGGTGCGCGTCATGTTCCTTTTTGGGTAGTTAGTGACAACTTTTTAAATGTCAATATAGACACTATAGCCAGATTACACATAGCAGCACGCTCACTGCAGCTCTTATACCTCCTATAACCCACACTACCTGAGCATCACACACTGCAGCTCCCCACACCTCCTATAACTGACACTACCTGAGCATCACACACTGCAGCTCCCCATACCTCCTATAACACACAATACATTAGCAGCACACTTACTGCAGCTCCCCACACCTCCTATAACACACACTACCTGAGCAGCACACTCACTGCAGCTCCCCACACCTCCTATAACCCACACTACCTGAGCATCACACACTGCAGCTCCCCACACCTCCTATAACTGACACTACCTGAGCAGCACACTTACTGCAGCTCCCCACACCTCCTATAACACACACTACCTGAGCATCACACTCACTGCAGCTCCCCACACCTCCTATAACCCACACTACCTGAGCATCACACACTGCAGCTCCCCACACCTCCTATAACTGACACTACCTGAGCAGCACACTTACTGCAGCTCCCCACACCTCCTATAACACACACTACCTGAGCATCACACACTGCAGCTCCCCACTCCTCCTATAACACACACTACCTGAACAGCACACTCACTGCAGCTCCCCACACCTCCTATAACATACACTAACTGAGCATCACGCTCATTGCAGCCCTCCAAACCACCTCTTTTAAAAAAATATATATATATATTTTATTCTTCCCAGTAAAATAGGTATTTTTATATATATAAATTATGTCCTTCATTTCATATTTTTGGATAAAGTTTTAAAAAATATTTTTCAAAATATTACCATATCAAAAAGTATATAGTAAATACTAAATATATCAAAATATTGCAAAATTAAAGTATTTTTTATTGTTTTAAATAATTTAAAAAGTTTATCCAAGCATATTATTTAATAATATGTGTTCATCTACAATCTCACACACTGTGTGTAATAGCATTGTTACAATAATGTAAATGCTCGCCTGGGAAACATAAAACGGGAGCTACAGAAATATCTTGTTTATTGGCGCGTCACAGGAGAAAGAGCAAAAAAAATGCATCTGCATATTTTTTCCATGCGCATATATTAGAGATCTGTCCTCTTACAGCCATATATTAATATATATAATTTATATATATATATTTATATATATATCTTATACATCTGTCACATGCTATATACAAAAAACTTAAAAGGGGCGTGTTCCCAGAGTCCACTCAACCCCCGACTTTTACCCCCCCCATTCAGTTAAAGAGAGACTTGTAGAATCAATGTGGAAGATGGTCCTTGGAATCCGTAGATTTGCCGACCAACAATGGTGCAAGATGTTCCTCTAAACAGATCACACATCTGTGCTCACCACTTGCACCATGTTTTTGAGGCTTCTCTAGGTTCATTGAGACTGCACGATGGCTTGGTTTTGGCTCAGCTATAGACTAAGATGAAGATAGACAAGAATGTGACAATGATATCCAGAATGGATTTCCTAACTATGGTAGATGGAATAGCAGAATGAAGATCTTCTTGCCTTTTGTGGATTTTTCTGGAATGAAGAAAAGCCTAAAAATCTTCACTAGATGACATTTAGTGAAGACCAGTGGGCCACTTGAGGTTAACGTTTTGTGCTAGCTTTGACTCACCTTTTCATTATAATAAACAGTGCGCTTTTTTGGATGTGTGTTTTGGGAACATGTTTATCTATGCCAGTAGACCTTTCCATACTAGAGTAATGCTTTGGATCTGGAAAGGTTCTCATTATAGCCATGTGATCGTGTCTCTCAGCTTCCCACCTGCCAATGAATTTACCCGACATCTCTCAGTTTCTGTCTCATTATACCTGTCCTGGTTTTGGGTGTTTTTGGGAATAAGAAATGTGTTTCTAAGTCAGTTCTTTGGGATTAGATGTGGAAGCTCTGTGTGTATGTTGGGGATGGGGGTCACGCAGGGATAAATCAGGCATGCATTGAACACGCTATCTGAGGGTATTGGTGTGGAGAGTGGGGTGGTGGGAATTCCTTTGCATCCCTTCCCCTCGTTTCTTCACAGGGGTCCAGAGGCAGGATCCAGTCGCACAAATCAAGGGACAGACGTCAAACAACTATACGCTTCCTGCAGAGGCTGATGGACAGAGAGAGGTAGAAAAAAAGGGTTAAATTATGTATAGAAGAATTTAAAAGATTACAGTATTTTGACCAGACCATCAAATGAAAAGTATACAGTTGCAAGAAAAAGTATGTGAACCCTTTGGAATTATATGGATTTCTGCACAAATTGGTCATAAAATGTGATTTGATCATCATCTAAGTCACAACAATAGACAATCACAGTCTGCTTAAACTAATAAAACACAAAGAATGAAATGTTGCCATGTTTTTATTGAACACACCATGTAAACATTCACAGTGCAGGTGGAAAAAGTATGTGAACCACTAGACTAATGACATCTCCAAGAGCTAATTGGAGTGAGATGTCAGCCAACGGGAGTCCAAACAACGAGATTGGAGGTGTTGGTTACAGCTGCCCTGCCCTATAAAAAACTCACACCAGTTCTGGGTTTGCTTTTCACAAGAAGCATTGCCTGATGTGAATGATGCCTCGCACAAAAAAGCTCTCAGAAGACCTACGATTAAGAATTGTTGAATTGCATAAAGCTGAAAAGGGTTATAAAAGTATCTCCCTTGCTGTTCATCAGTCCACGGAAGGACAAATTGTCTATAAATGGAGAAAGTTCAGCACTGCTGCTACTCTCCCCAGGAGTGGCCCTCTTGTAAAGATGACTGCAAGAGCACAGCGCAGACTGCTCAATGAGGTGAAGAAGAATCTTAGAGTGTCAACTAAAGACTTACAAAAGTCACTGGCAAATGCTAACATCCCTGTTAGCGAATCTACAATACGTAAAACACTGAAAAAGAATGGATTTCATGGGAGGATACCACAGAGGAAGCCACTGCTGCCCAAACAAAACATTGCTGCATGTTTACAGTTTGCACAAGAGCACCTGGATGTTCCACAGCATTACTGGCAAAATATTCTGAGGACAGATGAAACCAAAGTTGAGTTGTTTGGAAAAAACACACAACACTATGTGTGGTGAAAAAAAGGCACAACCCCCCCACATCAAAACCTCATCCCAACTGTGAAGTATGGTGGTGGGGGCATCATGGTTTGGGGCTGCTTTGCTGCGTCAGGGCCTGGACGGATTGCTATCATCGAAGGAAAAATGAATTCCAAAGTTTATCAAGACATTTTGCAGGAGAACTTAAGGCCATCTGTCTACCAGCTGAAGCTCAACAGAAGATGGGTGTTGCAACAGGACAATGACCCAAAGCATAGAAGTAAATCAACAACAGAATGGCTTAAACAGAAGAAAATACGCCTTCTGAAGTGGCCCAGTCAGAGTCCTGACCTCAACCCGATTGAGATGCTGTGGCATGACCTCAAGAAAGCGATTCACACCAGACATCCCAAGAATATTGCTGAACTGAAACAGTTCTGTAAAGAGGAATGGTCAAGAATTACTCCTGACCGTTGTGCACGTCTGATCTGCAACTACAGGAAACGTTTGGTTGAAGTTATTGCTGCCAAAGGAGGTTCAACCAGTTATTAAATCCAAGGGTTCACATACTTTTCCCACCTGCACTGTGAATGTTTACATGGTGTGTACAAAAAAAACATGGCAACATTTAATTCTTTGTGTGTTATTAGTTTAAGCAGACTGTGATTGTCTATTGTTGTGACTTAGATGATCATCAGATCACATTTTATGACCAATTTGTGCAGAAATCCATATCATTCCAAAGGGTTCACATACTTTTTCTTGCAACTGTACATGAACTGTTTGCCAACAGATGAGGTCAAAGGCAACTTTTTTTCAAAGTTTGTGTTACAAGTTTTGTTGTTGTTTTGGTTGTTATACATTTTTTGAAATGTTTTGTAACTATATAACTTACTTTGGGTTTGATGTGGTTGTCTCCCATCAGATTGAGATCCACTGTAAGAAAGAGGATAAAACAATATAAAAACTAGCAAAATAGGATGTGCAAGGCAACGTCTAGATTTGCTTCAACAGAGACACAGAATCAAAAAGATCTAGACAGTGAGAGATGAGAGACATAGACAGAGCAAATGTTTGGAAAAGAGAGTCAGGTAAAGCGATTTTTCTTTGCAAAGATAGAAATGTCCGAAGAAAATAAAAGTATTTTATGAATTAAATTATTTGAATCTTGTTTTGATATTTGCAAAGTCTAATTATTGATTTGGTAAGATAATGTCTCTCACAAGCTCACAGATTTACAAAAGTGTTTTTGGTGTCCAGATGCAGTAACACCATTCAAAAACTGATTTTAGTGGAAAATATAAATATTAACAACTTCCCTTTAATAGCATAGAATATGCCCGAAGATCTCCTCCTATCTTCAAATCAATATATGTATAGTATAGGGCTATTCCAGCTAGGGAAACAAATATGACATAGTGCAACACTGTGTGTAGTAATGCTAAATATAAAAATAAGTGCCAAGTGATCACTCACACTTTGACATATATACATCCCCCAATTAGTCCCAATAGTTGTTTCACAGGTGGTTCAGTTTTCCTTTAGCTGTGGAACAACTATTGGGACTAATTGGGGGGTGTATATATTAGGGGAGGGATTTAGTTAGGATTGTATGCATTTGTATCCAGCATTTTGTTAAAGATTGTGCCTGAGGAAGTCCCTAATAGGGACGAAACGCGTTGGTCCAATACTGAACCCATTTATCATTATCTGCTATTATTTACTTTGATGTAAGTAATAAATGCTATTTTTTGCACTTTATCTATACAGTCATTTCATAATTTTTTTTCACCTTATCTCTTTTCTATATGAGATTAACATCTACCAAGTACTGAAGCAAGAAGACGCACACCAACATATTTCTGAAGGCATTTTATTTGATGTCAAAGTGTGAGTGATCACTTGGCACTTATCTTTATATTTAGCATTACTACACACAGTGTTGCACTATGTCATATTTGTTTCCCTAGCTGGAATAGCCCTATACTATACATCTAATTATTGATTAACAGATCTGTATAACTTGCGTAGAGCCCATCCAGTGATGAAGTAGAATTGTGAAGGAACTGGGTCACATTGTCCTCCGTGAAGAAAACTTTGTGAGGGCAGTGCGGCCCAGTTGTGGGAAGTCAAACAGTAAGCTCTCAAGGTAAGATCTCAAACCAATTATAACACATTATTGGGAGCGTGATCCCGTGCCTCCAACATCTTTCCAGAAATAGCGACGCTTTATTTGATATTTGTAATAGTTCTCTTTTGCGCATGATAGGTCGTGGGGGGGTTACACTAGTCAGAAACTCTCATCCTCAGGAAATTTCCCAGAATATTTATTAAACAGCTCAAGGAATTTTAATATCTGTTACCCCTTCACAAAATTGGATGTGGCAGGAAAAGAAAACAGTTTAATTTTTGAGACAGAATTCATTTATGATGAGAAAAGCCTCTCATTCTCAAACGACTCAGGTCTCCAGAGACAAAGTATCTAATTACTTGTAATTACTGAACTCTCCCGGGATTTCCTTGCAGTTCTCAAGGCTAGAAAATATATATTATTTCTTTTACCTGAACTCCTGAACACCACTAACCTATCACAAAAGACATAGGAGAAATGTGCTTCTCGAAAATGTAGAGCCAAACAACACTGACTATTTTTGGCACAGTCACTGTGTCACAGGCTACAGTAACATTATTAAAAGAAATGAAATATATTATTTAACTGTAATATTGTAAGTAATATGCTAAAAGTTTCACCATTCGTTTCTGTCTGCAGGGCATGACAATCCTGACCTGGGTGTCCAATGGGTCCTAGCCTGCTCAGGAGCTATGGGAGATACGGCTGTATGGGGCCAGGGCCCCACATTCCCAATATAAACACATACAAAGCAATTATCGCTAAATAAATGTGCTCCTGCAGACGGGCCCCTGACTGCCAGAAACTGAAGATAGCATTGACCATGCCCCCTCTTTGTTATATAGAACCAGTGCCACCGGACCACCAGAGAGTGCAGTATTCCCCCTCCTTGCCACATGCAAGAGACACGGAGAGGTGAATAAAATATAATTTATTAATATATATATAATTTTTTTTTTTAATCCTTTTTTACCCTGCAGAATGCAGCCACTATCCTACCCCACATATTTATACACACTGCATACATTACACAAACACACTTTATACACATTGCATCCACTACACACAGCACACTCACTACACACACTACATTGCATCCACTACACACACTGCATCCATTACACACACATCACATCCACTATATCACTATATACACACTGCATCCACTTTACACACACACTGCATCTACTACACACACATTGCATCCTTGCAGGTGGACTCAGGATAGGGCTTGTGATTGGACTCGGGGAAGGTCCCAGGGGCCCAGACCTTGAGCTGTGTAAGGTGCCCCAAAATTTCTGATGGCAGCCCTGTTTGTCTGATAATTGAAGTCTAAGGGAGTTTGTGTATATTAACTAATTTGGTTTTCCACTAAATAACTAAAAACTGTTTTAAGAATTCTATGATCAGCCAGAGATAGGTCATGAAGTCACAGAACACGTCCCCGAATGACCTCATCCCATATTCACAGCCCTAGCTTCTTCCTGTAATGGGACTGTTTCTGGTCAATTCAAATGATTCCTGATTTATTAAATGGATTTAGAATTAATTGAACTAATGTGAGATTAAACAATATTTTAGGATTGTCAGTCCCAGACAGTGAAACTTCCCTTAATTTCAGTGTTTAGGGATTGAGTCTTCGGATGCCAAGATAATATATTTATAAAGATTTTAGCTTCCCTTTGTTTTTCTTAGTTAATTTGATATTTTAAAAAAAACTGCCAATAAAAACAGAACCATTTGTGCCTATTTGTATCTCCTTTTTTTTACTCTAAATTTGGGTTAAATGCTGGATTGTAGTTTTTCACTGTGTGATTTTTTTTTTTTTTTTTTAACTAACAAAGACACCTTCAGGGAGCGCACAGAGGGACCCACAAAATATGAACGCGGTGCAGGCTATGAACGCGGTGCAGGCTATGAACTTCGGTGCAGAGTATGAAAGCGGCGCAGAGTATGAATTTTGGTGCAGGCTATGAATTTCGGCGCAGAGTATGAATTTCGGCGCAGAGTATGAAAGCGGTGCAGAGTATGAATTTCAGTGCAGACAATGTTAATCCCGTATTTTGACTGTGACAGGAGCCAGCGCATTATCGAAGGCGAACATGTTGGCGAGCACAGAGTTAAACGAATGGAATATGAAGACGGTTTTGTTCTGGATTGCTTTAAGCGTTCAGATGACCTATGCAAACAGCATGGGATTTCATTAATATGAGTTTCAATAAAGGACTGTTCACCATAGGGTGACGGCCACTAATGGGGATATTAAATGGACGTTTTCCTCAGGTGTCTCCGGAATCTATAGGGAAGTAAATGGTGAGAGTTCATGCAGAGACAGCCGCTCACTGGGAAGATATCGAGATCAAATAAAGCCAGGCATTGCTGTCAATGGGAAAGATTTTAAAATGGCATTGAAGGCCTCAGCAGGGACTGCGTCTAGAAAAGGACAGTTAGAGAGACGCGGGAGGGGGGCGAACACACAGATCAGGATCGGGAGGGAAAGGACACTTACTTTGCATTCTTCTGTTTGCATTTAAATTTATTACCTGTAAGAGAAAAAACAAACAGAAGGATCATAAGACGATACAAAGAGAAACAGACATCTTCAATAAATTTCAATAAAACGTCATATGAGGATTTCTTTCCAATTAGAATAATCTAAAATATTTAACAGAACTATCACATTCCAGTTTAGTCCATGCAATTCATCAATCTGGTTATCCATGTCTCCTCGTCTCTGTATGCTCTCTCTGTGCTGACTGACTGACCGGAACAGTTACAGGATTTTAATCTGTGGGTTTCTACATTTCATTTTATTTGTGTTAAATAGAGGGATAACTAAACATACAGGGCTTTTCACTACAATGAGAATTCAAAGTACATTTTAAATTTAAGGTCAAAACACGGACACTGAAAACCTTCTCTAAGTTATTGTTTTGGTTCGATTATCTGGCATTAAATATGAAATCCACTTATAATTCACTTTATAACCCTGTTATTATTAAATATCCTGAATGGGAATCATTAATTGGAACTCTGGGAGATTTTCAGAAAGCTTTTCTTACCAGTTTACTGAGAGAGTTAAGCCTTTGTTTACATGGTAACCAAAATATTTGCATTTGTTTAGAAATTCACAATCCCATCTTTAGACATGAAAAGAGGCAAAACAAACAAACAAACATTGCTTTGAAGCCATTTTGGTCCGCAGCTGTGAATTAATTAACATTAAATGAAAGCAAGTTATGAACGTAATAAAGCTAATTAGAATCTGTTTGAATCTTTAAAGAAATATTTCTCCACATTGTGAGTGGCTGCCCATTCATACAATTTAAATAAATTCCTAGGATGACATTTAAAAAGTACACCAAAAAATGAAACGTCCAGCTCAGTCCTTTCCCTGATCAGAATAATGTTTCTTTAACTCTAAAAAGATACATCCTTTTAAAAATAAAACAATTCCTGTGTCGGATAATTATTTTGGATCCCTACAAATATTTCTGAACACACATTAATTACCTTGTCTAACTAACACAAACTCACTCCACAACTTGTAGTCAATTAAAAACCCGAAATGTATGGGGACACTGAAGTGATTATGGTATGACTTAGCAATCCAAGCAGCTGTATGTGGTCTGCATTTAGTTAGAGCTGTTTATGGGGTCTTTGGATCTATACCACTCTTGATACCTTTTCTACCTGCGTAGCTTTATTAATGTATGAATAGATATTCTCACAGGGACTACCAGTCTGGAGTAAGATCGCTAACAAGGTGTTACATTTAATTTCTTTTCAAACGCTGCCTCACTTATTAGCACATTGTACCAGAAAATGTACTCTACTGGTAACATCTATTAAATGTATCAGTAAGTTTATTGACAGTAAGAAAGGTAAGGTCAACAATGAGCCATTGGTGATGTAAATATAATTGAGGCCAACTCTTCTTGCATTCATCCACTCATGGGGGCCCAGATGTGTTTTCCAGCAACTTACAATGACAGCTTTTGCAAGTTGATAATTTCAGGAGAAATCTGACAGTAACTTGCTTCTTGGACGTATCCTTCACACAATGTTTAAGGGTTGAGTTTCTTTTTGAAGTCAGCAGTGGCTCTGATTGGACAAACTCAGGAAAACTTGGAGATGCTCATTAAGATGAGGAACTAGGTATAAACTGATGGACCTGGGTAGGGCTAACTAAGCAAATTGCAGCAGTATGAAAGTCAAATTAATTCAAGATAGAACAAGCGGAATTCAAGTTTCAAAGACATTAACAAAAAAATAAACAGTAAGAAAATGTAAATAAAAAAAACAAAGTTCCAAAATCTCATCACCGTGATTCCAATTTGTGAGAAGTTTTCGGTGATCATAAAAGGGCGAGGGTGCGCTTGAGGCCGAAGAAAAACTTACTCAGAGCGATGACGATACCCAAAACGAACATGACAATGGCAAGAATAAGTCCGGTCATCCGAAGTGTGTCATAATCTGAATCACAGGAAAAATACATGAATTGCACAAGAAGAATTAGAAATGTACATGTTAATAAGTTAAAACATCATAGGGGTTCATTGGTAAAGTGGAATTCCGGGACAATCACCATGGAAACAATAGAATATCTCTGCTGATTGCTTCACACTTAGAATATTACCCTACAAATTGTGTGTCTACAGAGCCCTTATCTTACATGAAAGGCCAACCCAACACAGGGCCGGTGCTTGGATTTTTAGGTACATAGGCGAAGATGCCTTTTTCCGCCCCCCCGCACCCCCCCCGAAAAAAAACATCTTCACCTATGTGCCTCTTAACCAGCCCCTCTCCCCTCCCTGACCATTAGTAGTCCCTTCCCTTCCCCTTAGTGTTCTTCTCCCCTCCCCCCTCTTTTCCCTGTCTCTTGGTGTTTCTCTCCCATTCCCTCCCTGTCCCTTGGTGCACCCCACACCCCTTTAGTGGTCACACTCCCCTTCCTGGTGTGCCTCCTACCTCTATTGTTGCATTGCCGAGTGGAGCAGATCCCCTAAAGGAGCTTCAGTTTTCTGTACCCGGCCGGACTGACAGGGAGTGCTCTCTCTGTGAGCACCTCTTGTCAGTCTGGCCAGGTACAGGAAACAGAAGTTCCTGTACCGCGCTCTGCTCCGCTACACTCTGTACACACTGACAGTCACACACTCAATGACAAACACACAGACGTCACTGACAGACACAGACTCATTGATTTGTCACACACTCATTCATTGACACTGACAGACCCACACTGATTGACACTCATTGACCGACACACTGATAGTCACACACAGACTCAATGACAAACATACTCATCATACACTGACATGCAGACACACTCCTACAATCACTCAGACACACACACTCACACACATGCTGTCACTCACAGACACACACACTCTGTCACTCACAGACACACACACACACAGACGCTCTGTCACTCACAGACACACACACTCTGTCACTCACACACTCTGTCACTCACACACTCTGTCACTCACACACTCTGTCACTCACACACTCTGTCACTCACACACACTGTCACTCACACACACTGTCACTCACACACACGCTCAGTCACTCAGACACACACACTCTGTCACTCACAGACACACACACTCTGTCACTCACACACTGTCACTCACAGACACACGCTCAGTCACTCACAGACACACGCTCAGTCACTCAGACACACACAGTCACTCACAGACACACACACACAGTCACTCACAGACACACACACTCTGTCACTCACAGACACACACACTCTGTCACTCACAGACACACACTCTGTCACTCACAGACACACACTCTGTCACTCACAGACACACACACTCTGTCACTCACAGACACACACACACTGTCACTCACAGATACACACACACTGTCACTCACAGACACACACACTGTCACTCACAGACACACACACTGTCACTCACAGATACACACACTGTCACTCACACACACACACTCACAGACACACACACACTGTCACTCACAGACACACACACTGTCACTCACAGACACACATCACATACATTCACTAATTATTTTATAAATACACATTTTCCACCCAGCCTCCCTACCTGGAGAGCTGGTGTGGATGATGGATCGGTCCCTGGGGCTGCTGGGAGGCGTGCGGCAGTGCTGTGATCAGGCGCGGCGAGGGAGCTCTAATCTCCACCCTCTGCTCCCTCGCGGGCTGCCTACTGATGACGTCATATTCCGGCTCCCGCGGCATCAGTAGGCAGCGCGCGAGGGAGCAGAGCGTGGAGATTAGAGCTCCCTCGCGCGCCTGATCACAGCACTGCCGCACGCTGCGCCGGGGGTCGAGATGGTGGCCTGGCAGGAGGGAGAGCTTCCCTCCTGCCGGTCACTGAAATATTGCGCCCCCAGAGCCCGTGCGCCCTAAGGCGGCCGCCTGTGCCGCCTTATGGACGCGCCGGCCCTGACCCAACACCTTCTTGTGCCATTTATGACTGCATGTGCCAACTGCAGGCATCAAACAATGATTTTTAAGATGTTTCCACAAAACATGGTGTAAAAACTGTCTGAACTGTCTCACATCAGCTACCTTGCCGAATGGGTTTAAATGACCATCAGAGAGGAGTGTGATGCTGGAAGCCGGAGAGATTAGTATTAATTTGACCTATTATTGTGTGTTGGTTTAGTTTCTTTAAACTAATCACTAAAAAAATCCTAGAAAAAGAACCTTTAATAGGCACGTGCATGGGGAAAATGTTCGGTTCGGTTCGGCATTGGAATAAGGGGGGGGGACCTAATGTCCTCCCCCCTGGCCCCACCCCTGAGTGGCGGATGGGCTCCCTAAATACTAATATTTGTAAAAAGTCTAAAACAAAATGTAGAATTCATCTAGCTGAAAACCGACAAATTATACTCACTAAACAATGAGCTGCATGTTAACAACTGAATGAACTGTAACGTGTAACGTGCGCACAAACACAAAAGCAGAGGATTTAAAAAGTATCACTAATGGAAAAATGGGGACATTTCGAAAAGTGGAGCAATAACCATGGAAACCAGAAGAACCATCAGGAATATCCTATTAGGTCTACCATTGTCTCCAGTTTTAGAACTTTGTCCCAGTCTTCCCTCTGAAACAAATGAATCATTGGAAAATGCCTTAATGTGCATGGCCTGCCCTGCCTGTGCCTTTTAGGCAACAATTGTAATTATTGGCCACAACGTGAGCTATAAAGATTATAAAGGGGTTTACTTACCGTATATGAAAGGATCTTCCTCTCCATATATGCTGGCTGAATAAAAATAGATAATATTAGGTGTGCCAGTACCAAGTAAAAATGTGTATTAACATATCTAAAAACACATTCTCAATGACTTAAAGGAGGAGAGTCCCTTCCCACCAGTTTTATTGTCACGTTCACATATCCTTCTATTTAATAGATATGAGATTGTGAGATGGAAAGTCTTAAATAAATTAAGTGTTAAATTTCACCCCCTCTGTATATAGCTCTGAGATGGAACTAGGTGTCTCCATTTTGGATCCCTGTCAATCATTGTTAGACATTCAGCCATTTATATAAAGTAAAGAAGAGGAGCAGAAACAGATCCAATGCTTTTATTGCGCCTCCTCCCGTACAATGTGTGCCGGGGCTGGACTTGTGTCTTTAACCGCTAATCTTCAATACACAGTTAAAGGAATGGAGTGTCATGAAAGGGGTTAATATAAGCACTCAATGTTTTATTCAATCTTGCCATTTACAGAAAAGTGATTACAGTCATTTAAAATCTTCTGCTACTGAATTACAAAATATTTTTATATTACAAGGAGTATACAAATAATTATATTGGGAGGTCACTTTGATGTGGGAGGTTGGTTGGGCAGCTGTGTTTAATATCCAAGTGCATTCTGGGAGACGTAGTTCATTTCGAGTGCCGAAGCTCGCCTACCCCTGTCCTAGTCGGTACCTGCATTCTAGGGGTAATGATGAGAGGCACAAGAGATTTTATAGGAGACATACAATTGTATGTCACTCTCCTTACACTAAGCAATATATTTGTATCCAGGGACACAGGACCTGGTGTCTTTTAACCTGGGCTTACTGTCATCACCTTGGGCAATGGAGGCCCACTTAGGATATCTGCCATATTCTAGGCTTTATGATGCAACTTTAGTAAATATTCCCAGCTTTTCTGGTAGGAAGAAAGGCTTTTGGTAAAAGAATGAGGTGAGCAGACGTAATCTTTTATATTTATACATTTCAATCAGATGCAATGTGTGCTTTTATTCTCGCCGTAGTAGGTAGAAATTGTATTTTTTTTTTTTTCATAGATAGAAAGAAGATCAACTTAGTCAGAGTTATTAATCAGAAAAGAATCTCTGAATTCATTCAAAGCTTGGTGCATGCTCGATATGTACGACATATTGGGGTAAATTACAACCTATTATTCTGTACTTATCGACATTGCTGAACCTTCACAAACTCATCATTCTGATCATTTACAAGATCACTTTTACCATTTTCAGTTCAGTTTTTGATACCATACGTCATAGAGGCAGACCCAAGCACTCACAATAAATGCCTTAACAAAGTTATCAGATAAATACTATACTTAAAAAGACTTCATAAACCACAGAAAACATTTTTATAACAATTAATCAATTTTCTGATATCTGTCAGTGGTTGTACATGAGCAGAACTAAGTCTACAAACACCCTGCGAGCTAATATTGGTAGGAAATATCAACTAACAATACCGTGTTAATCAATGAAACCAATTAAAGGACAAATTAACACGATAACAACAATATAACCGCAAATCAATAATACAACTAAATGTACATTCTACCCCGAATATCCAATATGAACATGCTTAAAGAAACATTAACATTAACCCACAGCTCAAAAAACAAACACAAAGCAACATGTTTAACATCAACTCCAATTTTAATACATTCCATGATTTCCCAATGAAAATTAAAAAAAAAAGAGAATGAAAGTATATTGGCAGGGCTCGCTATACACGAGTTGGGGTACGGAATCTGAGGCCATCGGTTTCGTCACGACAGACCCTTTATGTGGGTTTATATCTGTATTCATACCTGCTCTATGTGAATAATATATCATTCTCCATCGCTTATTCTTCACCAGATGTTCATTGTTTCTTTATACTGATAATCATACCATTATAAAATGAAAGATTCGGGTTCCTTGATTTTGCTTATTCAATAATTTATTTATTTATTTATAAAATATTTTACCAGGAAAGAAATGCAGCTTTTAGTGATACATTATGTCCTCTAAACAGAACTGCTTATAGACCGCAAGTCCACAAGTTAATTGTCGGGTTAGAGACTGGATTATTATAAAACTCATTAAGACCCCATAAAAGGGGTTTTAAATTATAGTGGGGAAATTAACCTTGAACTGATAATGCAATAAACCTCCTATGTTCTTGGAATAGATTGCTATTTCAGAAGTGAAAGAATATGTAACTATTAAATGTAAATTACCTTCAGAACATGTGTGTCAAAAATACATCTGTAGAGGAACGGTCTCCTATTTATTATTTATTTATTACTGGTATTTATAAAGCACCAACAGATTCCGCAGCGCTGTAAGTTAGTTGAGAACGTACAATATACACAGACAAAAACGAGAGGTAGAGAGAGCCCTGCCCGTAAGCTGATATCTAGCCATTGGAGCTCTTTATACAAAGTGCTTAGCTAGATGGCCATGAGCTTACAATCTAAAGGATACCGTGGGGATTTGAGACAAAAGGTAGCAGGGGGAATTTTAAGGTGATGTCTAAAATAGTTAACAGAGAGAAGCAGCTATTGGTAAAATATAAAGGGAATGAAGAGATAATTGAGTGAGAATCTCAAACAGCTGGAGAAGCATGCTATATATTTAGGGGGGACCTGGGTTGGTGCGGGTGGGCAGGAGGAGGGTGGGTGGGAAGTGGGGAGAAAAATGCAGAGCTTCACTGAGTATGAGTGTGACGCCTGAATAACAGAGATATACCGGTAGATGGAACAGTTATATGAAGGTATTTACAGCTGGTTGGAGTATAGGAAAGGAGGGAAGGTGAGGGGGGAAGGGTGAGGGGGTAGAGTATCCATGTGTTATATACAATTGAAAAGTTTAGCAACCAATTTCTATCACCCAAAATATTAATAACTGTGTTCCCCAACCCAGACCTAGTGTCAGTTTAATAATCCCCAGTTCACAGATCATGAGACAGGTGATGGTTTAATATGTAATGTTTTTATCAAACATGTACACCGTAGACACAATATATTTAATGATGCACATTTAGTGTGCTACTTACTAATTTCTCGTATTTGTATTTAATTGCATTTTCTATTAATCTACCTATGACTGTATTGTTTTTTTTTACAAGTTTTTCCATTTGCAGTTAGTATCATGCAGTCACTCCTTGTGTCTTCGTACCATTGTGATATAAGCACTGTATGTTGGTTATGATTGTAAAGATGATATTATTGTTTACAAACATGTCCATTGCTCTCTGTATCACTTATCTGATTTCATGTCTTGTGCAATGCAGATACAAACACTTTGTGTATATTGATAAATAAGTGTGAATAAGACTCCGGTTAAACTGACATACTGCTTTATTAGTGAGGAGATAAACTGCCATTAGACAGGCTGTGCCTAGTGCCAAGTCAGAGCATGCACACAGAATTGCTTTCCAATCAGACTCCCCATTGCCCTGCTAGAAACTTCTGTAGAAGACGTTAAAATAGTCAATGAAGAGAACACATAAAGATACCCTACTAACCTCAACCTATGAGGAAAGGGATTTAGGGGTGATTATTTCTGATGACTTAAAGGTAGGCAGACAATGTAATAGAGCAGCAGGAAATGCTAGCAGAATGCTTGGTTGTATAGGGAGAGGTATTAGCAGTAGAAAGAGGGAAGTGCTCATGCCATTGTACAGAACACTGGTGAGACCTCACTTGGAGTATTGTACACAGTACTGGAGACCGTATCCTCAGAAGGATATTGATACCTTAGAGAGGGTTCAGAGAAGGGCTACTAAACTGGTTCATGGATTGCGGGATAAAACTTACCAGGAAAGGTTAAAGGATCTTAACATGTATAGCTTGGAGGAAAGACGAGACAGGGGGGATATGATAGAAACATTTAAATATATAAAGGGAATCAACACAGTAAAGGAGGAGACTATATTTAAAAGAAGAAAAACTACCACAACAAGAGGACATAGTCTTAAATTAGAGGGACAAAGGTTTAAAAATAATATCAGGAAGTATTACTTTACTGAGAGGGTAGTGGATGCATGGAATAGCCTTCCAGCTGAAGTGGTAGAGGTTAACACAGTAAAGGAGTTTAAGCATGCGTGGGATAGGCATAAGGCTATCCTAACTATAAGATAAGGCCAGGGACTAATGGAAGTATTTAGAAAATTGGGCAGACTAGATGGGCCTGAATGGTTCTTATCTGCCGTCACATTCTATGTTTCTATGCAGCAATTTCCGTAAATGAATTATAGCTCAGATGCTCCTTCAAGTGGCCGTTTGTAAAACTACAGGTTAAAATAAAACTGCTATATTCCCAAATCAATTCACTACAGGTAACATCTTCCTGCCCCCTGTCCTCTCTCAGACTATCATCCTCTTATAATGAGTGGATGCATTACAGCTTTCTCTGGTAGAACGCAGCCTTATTAATGAAATATGGAGTTATTCTGCTACTTTCTGCAAAATATGAAAGTAATGACACTACAATGTGGCAAAATGTTTAGTTAACAAAGTCCCTAAACTGTTGCTATAGCAACAGAGATTTGGTAGTCTAACTTTATGAAATAGGATGTATAGAATATATCTCTATATAGCAGGACATTCCATGAAACAATAAGTCACCCAGTATTTACAGCGAATCTGCTTTTCACAGAGTTAACACGATTAACGGAAGGTAGATATGGAAATCTGATCCATACATTGAGCTAGAAGAATCGTTAGATATTAACCTCCTCTAAGACAGACGCCTATTATCCCGACACATCCCACAATGCCTAGCGTATGGAGACCTGCTCTGTGAATATATCTATTTATGTCATTACAGAGTGTATCTATAAACAAACCAATATCCAACACTGAATCTATAACGATCTCTAAGAATTCAACCGGTACGATGCCTGAAAAAATATCTAAACAATCCATCGGAGAAGGAAATGATCAGAGACTTACAATATATCTAGTTAATAAACTAACAGAAACCAAAGAAAAGAGTTACCTGGTTTGTATTGCATGTATTGGGACTGATGTGCACTATGGTCATTGCTGCAGCCCAGGAGTAGTGGGAGTCTGAGCGCAGGGCTTATTTTTGTGTAATAATAAAATAATAGGGTTATTATATATTTAATGAAAAACATGCAACATTATTGGCTTCATCTCTCACCGTATCATGTATTAATTATATGATAATTTTATCTTGCCTCTCTGTGTGTTTCCTTTCCACATCGTTCCCCTCTTCAACCCTGTCCTCATTCTACCACCAATAGGCCCTGTCCTCCTTCTATCACCAACCCTCACTGTCCTCCTTCTATCACCAACCCTCACTGTCCTCCTTCTATCACCAACCCTCCATATCCACCTTCTACTTCCATGTCCTTCTTCCATCACCAATCTTCCCTGTCCTCCTTCTACCACCAATAGGTCCTATCCTCCTTCAAACACCAACCCTTCCTATCCTCCTTCTACCACCAATCCTCCCTGTCCTCATTCCACCACCAACACTCCCTATCCACCTTCTACTTACATGTCCTCCTTCTACCACCAACCCTCCCTGTCCTCCTTCCACCACCAATACTTCCTGTCCATATTTCTACCATCAATCCTTCTTATCCTCATTCTACCAGCAATCCTCCCTGTCCTCCTTCTATCACCAATCCTCCCTGTCCACTAATCCTCCCTGTCCTCATTCTACCACTAATCCTCATTGTCCTTATTCCACCACCAAGCCTCCCTGTCCTCCTTCCACCACCAATCCTCCTTATCCTCCTTCCACCACCAATCCTCCTTATCCTACTTCTACCAGTAATCCTTCCTATCCTCATTCCACCACTAATCCTCCCTGTCCTCATTCTACCACCAATCCTCCCTATCCTCCTGCTACCACAAATCCTCACTGTCCTCCTTCTATCACCAATTATCCCTATCCTCCTTCTACCTCAAATCCTCCCTGTCCTCATTCTACCACCAATCCTCCCTGTCCGCATTCTACCACCAATCCTCCCTGTCCTTATTCCACCACCAATCCTCCCTGTCCTCCTTCTACCACCCATCCTCCCTGTCCCCATTCTACCACCAATCCTCCCTGTCCTCCTTCTACCACCAATCATCCCTGCCCTCCTTCTACCACCAATCCTCCCTGTCCTCCTTCTACTACAAATCCCCCCTATCCTCCATCTATCACCAATTCTCTCTGTCCTCCTTCTACGACTAATCGTCCTTGTCCTCATTCTACCACCAATTCTCCCTGCCCTCCATCTACCACCAAACCTCCCTGTCCTCCTTCTACCACCAATCCTCCTTATCCTCCTTCTACCACCAATCCTCCCTATCCTCCTTCTACCACCAATTCTCCCTATTTTTCTTCTATCACCAATCCTCCCTGTCCTCCTTCCACCATCAATCCTCCCTGTCCTCCTTCCACCACCAACCAGCCCCTCCCTGTCCTCATTCTACCACCATACCATCTGCTCTGCTCTTATTCCACCACTATAGTATTACTACCCTCTTGCCCTCACTGATCCAAGTCTACCAACTTTTAGCATCAGTCTATGACACTCAATTGTATCATTTCATCATCTTTCCCCCTACCCCATGCAGTTTGTTACCCAGATGACTTTTATTCCTGCAATTAGTTCACCCATCCTTCTAATACTATTATCACTTCCCCATCCTCTCTAAGACTCGATTTCTTTTGGGTCTCGGTATTGGTTTTCTAAAACATCCCATGGTTTTATTCTAGAAAGACCCTGGATTAATTAAAATAATAATACAAGGTCATTATGAACAGTTACTATGAGCACAGGCTGGTTATTTTGGGTATATGGTTATATGTCTCTGTAGGCTGGTTATTTCTGGGTATCTTTGTCGGTAAGTTGGTTATTTCTGGGTATATGGGTATCTATGCCTGTAGGTTGGTTATTTCTGGGTATCTGTGGTTGGAGAGAGAGAGTGAGATCAGACAAAGAGAAAGGGAGAAATAGAGAATGTGAGATTAGGCAAGAAGAGAGAGATGGAGAGAGAGCAAGATCTAGGAGAAAGAACAAGGTATGAGATAGGGGCTCGAAGAAGGAGAAAAGCAGAGTCAGTTTCAATAATCTCTAGTAATCTAAATACAGATATAGCAAATAAAAATCAAACTGAAAGACAAGACGGAGAGAGACAAGCACTTTTGGGACCTTAGAGACCTTCGAGGAGTCTTCACTGCAGTATTTCTAGCTTGTCTTCATTCAATCAGTCTGTACGAAAGCCTTGCAGTCAGCACATTCACAGCTCACTGCTCCTGACAAGTGCTGGAGGAATCCCTCCATTAACCACACCGAGGAGGGATAGCAGATGGAAGGAAGTATGAGGGCAGGCCGCAGGCTTACAGACTGTACCTTTCATCCTTCATTACAGAGATATCGGAAAGACAAATCTCCTCGAGAAACACCTTGATCTGCTCCACTCACACAACTCCGCACAAACCCAACAGATCTCTGACTATTAATCTAGAACACTATTCACACCTATCAGTGAGAGGGTGGAGGAATTTCTAGAAAACAACAGCAAAATGAATCATTTAAAGAATATTAATGGCTCTATTATGTATATATTATTCTTTCTTCATTAACGTATCAACAGTCCCAGATTTGTCAGGGCAGTCCAATATAGGGCTCATGTTCCTCCTGCCCAGGTATGTCCCCTGAAATGAAATGCAGGCGAAACGACAACACGTGTGTCATTGGATGTGCTTTCACCGTATAGAGTATAGTAAAGGCATTAACTCCCTGTGAGAGAGAATGAGACATGCTTGTGGACATGTGCAGCCATATGTGAGGTGCCCAGAGCACTCAGGAGCCAACCCACGCCTCGCTGTCGCCCACTTGTGGCCTTAGTTGTCTATATGAATAGAATGGCCTTTACTTAAAGAATCCCATAAATAACAAAGAGATATGGAGATCAGTTGCAATGCAACTAGTAATGCTACTGACATGTTTAAGACTTTAATAAGGAATACACGTCATACCTATAAACCATCCCGACTCCCATGATAGGTCCTCTGTATCATTTATTGCTTTCTGTAGAATTCATCCCACCACTGCTGCATAGACAAAGGCCACGTCTATTTACTAAATCTAATTACAATGATATCTGGAGTGCTATATTCATATCACGGCTGACATCGAAGATCGGGGACAAATCGTACAAATAGAAAAGTTATTGTAACCCATCTATTATGACCTACATTTTACAAAACTCCTGAAACGGTCACTGACGCTCCAGTGAGATCGTAAAGTAAAATCTAGGAGCATTTTATTCTATTTTTTCCTTTTATTTTAAAAATTCAGTCTAGATATTGATTATTAATGTTTAATGTAGTAAATGTGAAGATATATTGTAAAGGATACAGCTAGCTGGGTAAGTGGGCAAGAACTAGGGGCTGGGCAACAATTAGAGGTTAGGCAGGTGGGCAGGAATTAGGAATTGGTATTGTGGGCAGCAAGAGCAGTGCAGAAGTAATGGGCAGTATAGGTTGGCAAGAAGCATGGACCAGGTCAGTGGGAATAGTGATAATGGGTGGAGTAAGAGGTCAGTGCTCATGGCAGGGGGGCAACCTACTGCCTGTGCTGAGTATTGCATTGCGTGACTCACAGAGTGCAGGAACTAAACTATGCTATGTTTTAATGCTTTATCACAATGCCCTCCTATGTGCAGGAACCGGTGAAGGAGCGCTGATCACACGCCTCAAGGCAGGAATGGATTTGATTTTATATTTCTCCCAACACTGGCAGGTATGAGATCAGGTCATGTGCAAAAAAGGGGAAGGCCTGCCCACTAAAGGGCCCATGTCAGACCAGGCCTACTGACAGCCTCCCACTCCCTACAGGACCCTGCAAAATGCTCCCTGGTGTCCCCAGATACAGGACATAAGGGAACAACATTGTGATGGCAGGGCATGATCCCAAAATCAGGATTGTTCCATAGAAATCAGGTCTGATAGTAGACCTGGTCTAGTGATTAATCATCGAGTTTATATAATTAGAGAATTCTTCATCCAAGGAGAGATCTGACTGCCGTTCTGGGGTCAATAAGGAATGTTTTCCTCATTTGTTAAAAAATGGGAAAGCATGTTTTGCGTTCCTTTGGATCAACAGCAAAAACCGATGTTAGAAAGACTGAACTCGATGGACACGTGTCTCTTTTCAGACATGTAACTATGTACTATGTAGTGAGCTAGAATGCAAATTGCTACATTTAGGCCAAACAAGCAGTTTTTAAATATTCTCCAGTTTAGGACAATTTAATGTTTTTGAATACGCTTTACAAATCATCCCAATCCGTTACAAACATTCCCATCGACTATAATGGCAACGTCTGTAGATAAATCATTTGGAAAGTCTTTGTAACAGATTGGGATCATCATTGGAAAATCCAAAGATATTAAATCAAGGCTTCAGTGAAGGTCACAGCATGGATAGGCTGAATGATTTAATATTCCATAATTCACTTTATAACGAACAAGCCATTATGTTTTTGTATTCGTTCATACACTGAATCTTCAGTATGTGAGATTCACACTGATTACACGAGAAATATCCCAGATTTCTAACGTGATTTAATCACTATAGTGAACATTATGGATTACCAATTAAAGAATTGTAAATTTAACCATTTAATGCCAACAGTGACTGGAAACATTCTCGTCCTCAACATCCTCTTATGGCATAAAGTTTTGGAATTCCCCTTTGATGTCCTGTAATTCTCTGCTTGGTGACAATAATATATGTACATTTGTTACAAAAATATACCTTCCCTTTAACAATATAACTTCTACATGGATATTCTCTGTTCTCATTTTTTATTTTTTATTTATTTTTTTCCTAATTGTATTGAAAAATCCACAATTGTTTTAAAGATAGCGCCATCCTATTCTGTAGCGCTGATACTTGATCAGGGACGTTTTAGCCGCACCCCAAATGCCCAGGGCAAATGCCTTGTTAGCCTTGCGGCTAACTGATATGCCGGGCGGGCGGCTGGCGAGGGAGCACTTCATATAACGTCATATTCCGGCTCCCAGCCTCACTCTGAGGCGCGCGAGGGAGCTGAGCAGAGTGCTCAGAGGAAGTGCTCCCTCACCAGCCGCCCGCCCAGCGCCCCCAGACCGCCCAGCAGCCACTGGACCCCCAGGGAGATAGAGAACCCCTTCCCCCCCAGCACTCCCAAAGGTAAGGAGGGGGTTAAAAAAAATGTGTTAATGTGAGTGAGTGTGTGTGTATGTCTGTTAGTATGTGTGTGAGTGTGTCTGTTAGTGTGTGTGTCTGTTAGTGAGTGTGTCTGTTAGTGAGGGTGTGTGTGTGTGTTTGCCTGTGAGTGTGTGTGTCAGTGAGTGTGTGTGTGTCTGCTAGTGTGTGTCTGCTAGTGTGTGTCTGTTAGTGAGTGTCTGTTAGTGAGTGTGTGCTTGCCTGTGAGTGTGTGTGTTTCAATGAGTGTGTGTGTCTGCTAGTGAGTGAGTGAGTGTTTGTGTGTGTGTGTGTATGTTTGCCAGTGAGTGTGTGTGTGTCTGCTAGTGTGTGAGTGTGTGTCTGTGTGTGTCAGTGAGTGTGTGTTTCTGTTAGCTAGCGTATGCGTATCTGTCAGTGAATGTGTGTGTGTGTGTATTTAGAAGGCGGGGCAGGGGGAAGGGATGGGTGGGGGTCGCGCGTGAGGAGGGGGGAGGGTTGGGGGGCGCTTGAGTTTTGTCCTGCCTAGGGCAGCACAAAACCAGGATACACCACTGATTATACTGCAATATCACAGCAGCATCTGCAGCACTCCACCCTCTCCTAATAAAGCCGCGTGCAGAGAACGCCATGCATGCTATTGGGTGCACAGGGCACATGTGTTCAAGGAATGCAATAAGACTGAGTCTGCAAGTATGAGATCTGGACCACATCAGTTGCTAGGTGACTGACCAGGCAAATAATGAGAGAATGAATACGTACATTCCAAGCAATGTCTTGTGTGAAGCTAAGATTCCCATTGACTTGCAGTCATCCCTATTCATAGATTATTGCAATTGATTTGTTTAACCCTCGGCAGATGAAGGTCAGTAGAAAGCACAAGGTGTGCGGAATAAATGCTGATATCTGCAAAGTATCCATTGCTCCCTCGAAAGAGAACCCGAAAACAGGCCGCTTGTACGGATATCGAGGAATTGTTCCGTTTTTGCTTTCCTTTCAAAGAACTAAAAATATTGTAACTTAACGGTTTTGTTTTTGACACAGAAACCTTGGTAACAAGTAGCATCAGTGATGAATGGGGAAGTAGAGTGCTAGCTTTAAAATCGCCCAGTAGTCTGGAAGAGCACTGTGTGATCTGGGAAGCTTCATTCATGAAGATCCGTATGGACCCTCTGATCCTGAGAGATCCTGACTACCTGCCCTTATTGCTTTGGCCGGTCCTCTTATTAAAATGATTGGGTAAATGAATGATGGGAGTTATAGTCAGCCCTTCTCACGGGTCTATGATTACTGATTGTGGATGAATGACTGCACTATATTAATACATTAACCCTGACATTTTTCCAGGTATTCACACAATCATCGCCCTATTTAACACTGACAATGGGAGATGCTGTATTTAGATGAAGGCAGAGGTTCATGCCCAGACTATGCTTTCAGATACCTCTAGTCACCAGGGAGAGGTGAGTTCATGGTAAGCACACTCCTATCACTCTCTGCCAGGAGGTCTCACAGAGAATGTAGGGCAAACTCTGCTTTCTCTTCCCATCTCCCAAATTCTTAGCATTGAATCCTTCTAAGACACCTCCCCAGCCTCCAATGTCATCGGTAACCCTTTTAAGAAACCATAGGTAGAGGTATTGACCTATAAAGCCGTGTCACTGAATGGGTTAAATGTTAGGGTACGTAATGGTGTATTGGGGTTATTACCCTCTGAGTGCCAAGGAATAGGCAGTACATTGCTATAGACCCCCTCCCCCCCAAGGACATTCATTAAATCACTGCTTAATATAAAACACAAACTGCAAGTATAGTTAAATTATAAGGACCAGAAATACACGAGATTCAATATGAAAAGAAATGTCAAACCCAGCCATTATTTAGTATAGACAGTTAACCCCTCTCTGGGAAGAAATGGGGCTATTGCATTAACCCCATGCAGTATGGCTTGCTGCAGACTCTGTGCGTGGGGGAGGTGTAGGGACACCGCAATGCACCTGCAGTAAAGCTGCTGGGGGTGGGGGTTTCACTGCAGTAAATGTTCTATTGGAATAACAAGGGGCTGCTTCTCCTAATGATAACCTCCAAGAACAGACAGAAAGACATTAAGGAGATGAATTAACTCTGGATATATTAACCCTTGCAATGCTGTTAGGATGCAGATACATCCCGACCTGTTTTTCTCTCCATGCAGACTATCTACAAACATACTATTATTAACCTCTTGGCTGCCATCGTGGAGCTTGGCGTGGCTTCTAAGTCACTTTAGTAAAGGGTTAACAATCCCCGCATTAAATCCGGAATACTGCATGCAGCTCCTACCTTTCTCGCTTCTCTGAGTTGGTGTTGCCATGCTGCAGACTGCGAGGAGAGGTGTGTGTGCTTGTGATTGCGGTGCAAGTGTCGCGTGCGTTGTTACGGACCTGTTTGTCTCTTCCTCTGGGGAATGTCGAGATTTGGATGAAGTAATAAGGTGAGCGTGTCGTGTGTGTGAATGGGTGAGTGAATGAGGCTCGGGGACAGCTGAGCAGGATGGAAGTGAGATATGGGATACAGAGTTGCGAGGATGCTCTGTATGTGTGTGTGCAGTGTATATGTTACTGTGTTACTGCAGCCCAGGAGTCACACAGCTGGGTTAGGTGGGAAGGAGGGGGGGGGGGGGAAGTCTCTTCTACATTTATTTTATCTCTCTCCCTCTCTCCCGTGGGGCTCTCTGAGACAGCCAATCACAGGCGTCTTGGGATACTGACAGCGCTGTGATTGGCTCCCATCTTTGGCTTCTAACTGCAGCTGATTTAATACTTAGTGCAGACAAGATGCGGGAGAAATTTTTCTCTGCATTTCCATTATCCTCTTTCCTCTCTTCTCATTCACTGCTTATTATTCCTTCATCCAATTCTTTCTTCCATTCACTTACACGTTCCCCTCGCATTATATCTTTTTCTCTTTCCAATTTAATTTCTTTCTCAGGTCATTCCCAGCACTTATCCTTATTTAACCCACTGGCATTCTCTCTACGGATTTTAAATGTGTTGCCTTTTCACGTGGTACCCCTTCTAAAATTTCCCCACTCAATCCCCCATATACTGCATCCTCAATCCCACCTAATCAATCCCCCATGCACCCCTTCCTCAATCCCCCATAAACCTCTTCATCAATCCCCTATACACCCTTTTCTCAATATCCCGTACACCCCTTTCTCAATCCCCCATACATCCTTGTCTCAATCCCCCATGCAGCTCTTTCTCAATCCCGCATACACCCCTTTCTCAGTTTGGGCAAACCAAATGTTTTGTATAAAACAAAATCAATGTGATCCTAATAGACTAATAGACAATCCCAATTCTAATAGACAATAGAGTTTCTGCTCAATTCTTGGCATAAAGCTTAGGATCTGCCTTCATAAGTGATATCAGACTAACTTTGGCACAACTACCATTAATTTGCCTGTTTTTGAGTAGGTTATAATTTATGTCTGAAGATCTTTGAGTATGGTGCCAGCTGTCATACACTGAAATGCTTTTATAGAGTAGAACGTGTGAGTGGGACCATTTCTCATAGTAGACATTTGTAAAGCCACCAGAGCCGGGGACCTTTCCTTCAGCTAGAATTAAAATGTTTTTCTCAATCCCCTCATAGGTTTGCAGAGATCTTGATAGACTGACTGATATCTGGGACAAATCATAAGATAAAAGAAATGTCTCCATAGTTGGCACTGTGGGTTGGGAGTATTTGGACTGATTTTAAGTTATAAAGTCTTCTATCATATTCAGTTTATTATATTGTTACTGAATGGATCTAAAAGGTAAGTTGCTTGCGTTTGGGTTCTTGCAGAGATTTACCAACAATAATGAAGAGGCTTTGTTACCATTATTATCATTTGAGTAAAAACTTTATTTTAATCTAGAGAGATACAAATTGCTAAATAAAAGTGAAGGGCGTTTAGTTCTACCCTCACAATCTCCACCTTTCCTGTGAGAGGGGAAGGATTACTTTTGTTAAGGTAAGTAAGTTCAGATAGTGTACCCTTTCACTTCTCAAACCTCAGCGATTGGAATGAATAAATACATCTAATGGCGATTTGAGTGCCGACCATACAGTGGGCATGGTCAGACCAGGTAATGTCATGTATCTTAGAGGACATTCTCCTTTCAATTGTTTGGGGTCTACCCAGAATCTGGTCTGGTAAAGATGTTGGCTCTACCACAGGAAGGTGAGACCTCCTAAGATCTTGGAAGATGGAAGTTCCAGAAAAAAAATGCTTATAAAATGAGAGACCAGCCTTTCTGGAAAAAAAGACCCATGAATATTAAGTAGCGGTAAAATGCATTCAATAAAAAGTCCTTTGTGTCTGTTGTTCATGTGCTTAATGTTCTAGTATTGGGTTGAATCAGGTGCAGACATAAGGTCAGATTAGCCCCGGAGCCTTCGCAGTTATGAAGGATAAGCCTTTCTGGCACAGCAGATGTTTTTGAACTACATTTCCCATGATGCTCAACTATTGCTACTAGACTGCCTGCGTTCAGATAGATGGATTGGCTCCCTGCACAAATAAACTGAGCCACAACGAGAAACGAAGAATAGGCTGATTCAGGGTCACTTAAATAAATCACCGTCCTTCCTACTACATTCATTATTGATTTATACACAGGAGGCACTATGTCACTTTAAAGAGTCATTTCCCTTAAAGAGGTAACGGCAGGGGTTCCAGAGATCAGAATGTGCAGATACTGAGTCTGTCTGAAGATCCACACATTACTAATTGCCATGACCAATCTTATAAACTCACACCGTGTGCTGCCATTGGCGTTGCGGGCAGGCGTGCTGTGATTTGCAAGCCGGCGACCTATTGTAAAGCTTATCATTTTTCCTCACTGTCTTATTGCTTATTTTAAGGTGAGGGTTTTTTTAAATTGTAATTTAGCTCTTTAGATTTCAGTCTGGATTTTATCAAAATGAATGTAGAGTGGCTGCGTGTAGAATACTTTGAGACAAACTTCTTTAGAATTATTAGTTCAGAAATGATTTCTAACAAAAATATTGGAAGTGATTTATTAAAAGCAAAGCAAACATATTTAGTTGTATTGAGCTTAAAGTGACGCAACCAGTCGTAGGATTCCACTGGTTTCTGTGGTGATTGCTCCAGTCTTTAAATCAATAATCTCTCATGTTTGAACAGTTTCTTTCAAATAATTACATCAGCTCAAAGCTGATACAAACATCTCTTCATTCATCAAATCTATTTTATTCCTGAACTAAGTGGAAAATATAAATCAAGAATATACTAATTACAATTTAATTATTTACTTGTCATAATTCAACAAGTGCCCATACCCAGTGATAGTGTATGCTAATAAAGTATGAATATTTCCTCAATGGCTTATGTGCTTGGGTTTATCCGTAAAACATTCCTGAATGTCCGTTCCAAACGTTTACTGAGATTTCTGTTAAAGTCTTTAGAAAAATAGCAATATCCCATAATGTGAGACTCATTCACACTCGCATTGAACCAGACAACAGAATTTATTGAATTAGCAAGATCTCCGTCTGAACGAATGTCGTACATCTTGTTTCGCAGTCTCTTACCCCTGACCCCCAGGAACGATGTTTGGATTGCAGAGACTCTGCCCTGCAATGTCTGCAGTCAGAATAATGCTGATTCATCTAAAAAAAAATCCCTTATCACCTAAAATGACATGCTCTGTCTTCAAAATTAAACTGGCTCAGTGCTGCCACCTAGTGGCATATTTTTATTTGTATAGGGAAAAAAAGACTATTCATATGTCTGACTATCTAGCTATCTGCCTTTATTGAGAGACTCTTGTATTATCCTATCATTCTAGAGCAGGGGGGTCCAACTGCAGCACCCAAGATGTTATTAGATTACAACTCCTATAATTCTGTGCTGTAAGAGTTATCGCCAAGTGTAGCGAAAGTAACCTCACCACTAGCTTTTGGAGGGGCCTGTTTGCCAACCTTCTACCCTGTGACTATGACCCCCTGCAATAGACCTGGCGAAAATACTTTAAACTGGCTCGTTCGTGGGACTATATGGTTCGTTTACCGAACAGCCGCACGAACCAGAGACCACCCTGGAGCTTGTTAAGCGTAATTGAGACATTGTTGCAATTACCACCTCTGTGGTCTAAGTGTTCGTCTGGGTGGCCGCAATTCCTATGCATGACCACGACGTGGTGGTCATCTTGTTCGCATGGACCAAAACCGCAAATAGACTTTAGGGGTACTTAGCCGCGAATGCCCTGGAACTATTATCGGCATGAAAACTTTGCAGTTCCCGGTCGGTCCTTCAGCGGCACTTGGAACTATTTTTGGCTATGGGACCATGCCTGCGGTCAGTCAAATAAATGACTTCCAGGAAATTCCTGAACCCCTGAACTGATCTGGGTGATTTTTGGATATGTTGGTCATCCAGATCAGGGCTATCAGAGGATGTAACATTTGTGAGGCTTTAAGTATTTTTAGGGTAATTTTGGGGTGTTTTACAAAAGTATGTTTTTTTCTGGGAGATAATTGCATTAGAATTAGTACAGTTACTGATTCAATTATCTCCCAGGCAGAGGGGAGGGATTGTGTGCTGTGTGTGAGCGTGTCATGCCTTATTGTTATTGGTCTTTGAAGTTGCAAATAAGTTCCCCACAAGGCCCCTGTGGGCATACTCCTTGCATGGGGATTGTCATATAAGGCCAAGTGTGGCTCCCATGAAACAGAGATTTGTTTATCCCTTCATGAAGTCTTAGCTCATGTTCGGGGGTATTGGAGAACTACATACACTCTGGGTATTGCTATGATCACAATACTCACCTGAGTATAATCACTAGCTCTTATAAAAGCTGTTCCTGCTACGTTCTCTGGACTTGGTCTACCCACTGGAAGCTGGATCCTGGTCTTGGGTCCAGGGTGGGTGGAGGACGGCGAGACCCCAATCAAGCTACGGTGGTTCGTGGGGTTTACAGTGGTTATGGTGTTCCAGTACAGTGATTATGGTGCTCGCAAGTACTAGGAAGCAGCGATTGACGGAGATACCCGGTCGGGGTGACAGGTCGGAGTCACACCAAGTAACATCTGAGGCCATGGGGTTTGGCACACTTGGTATAGACAGTGGTGTATCCTGGTTTTGTGCTGCCCTAGGCAGGACAAAACTCAGGCACCCCCCCGCGCCACCCCCACCCGCGCAACCGCCACCCAACCTTCCCTCCTGCTCCGCCTTCTAAATACACACACACACATTCACTGACAGATACGCATTCACTAGCTAACAGAAACACACAGTCACTAACAGAAACACACAGTCACTAACAGAAACACACAGTCACTAACAGAAACACACAGTCACTAACAGACACACACACTCACAGGCAAACACACACACTAACAGACACACACTAACAGACACACACTAACAGACATCCACACACACACACACTAACATCCACACACACTAACAGACATCCACACACACTAACAGACATCCACAAACACTAACACTAACAGACACACACACTAACAGACACACACTAACACTAACAGACACACACTAACACTAACAGACACACACACTAACAGACACACACTAACAGACATCCACACACACACACTAACATACACACACTAACACTAACAGACATCCACACACACACACTAACATACACACACTAACACTAACAGACATCCACACACTAACACTAACATACACACTAACAGACATCCAGACACACACACTAACAGACACACACTAACAGACACACACTAACAGACACCCACACACACACACTAACATACACACACTAACACTAACATACACACTAACACACTAACAGACATCCACACACACTAACATACATACACTAACACTAACAGACATCCACACACACACACTAACATACACACTAACAGACATCCACACACACTAACAGACATCCACACACACTAACACTAACAGACATCCACACACACACACTAACAGACACACACTGACACACACTAACAGACACACACTAACAGACACACACTAACAGACACACACTAACAGACACAAACACTAACACTAACATACACACTAACAGACATCCAGACACACACACTAACAGACACACACTAACAGACACACACTAACAGACATCCACACACACACACTAACATACACACACACTAACACTAACATACACACCTAACAGACATCCACACACTAACACATACACACTAACACCAACAGACATCCACACACACCACACACACACTAACATACACTAACACCTAACAGACATCCACACACACCAACAGACATCCACACACACTCCAACACCAACAGACATCCACACACACACACTAACAGACACACAGACTACACACACTAACAGACACACACTAACAGACACACACTAACAGACACACACTAACAGACACAAACACTAACACTAACATACACACACCATCCACACACACACACCAACATATACACACACTAACACTAACATATACACACACACACTAACACTAACATACACACTAACAGACACTAAATATACACACACCAACAGACACACCAACAGACATCCACACACACACACTAACATACACACACTAACACTAACATACACACCCACCAGACACACACTAACAGACACACACTAACAGACACAAACACTAACACTAACATACACACACTAACATCCACACACACACTAACATATACACACACTAACACTAACATATACACACACACACTAACACTAACATACACACTAACAGACACTAACATACACACACTAACAGACACACTAACAGACATCCACACACACACACTAACATACACACACTAACACTAACATACACACTAACAGACACACACACTAACATACACACACTAACACTAACATACACACTAACAGACACACACACTAACATACACACACTAACACTAACATACACACTAACAGACACACACACTAACATACACACACTAACAGACACACACTAACAGACATCCCCACACACACACACACACTAACATACATACACACACTAGTGGGTTTTTTTTTGGTTTTTTTATTTAACCCCCCCCAGCCTCCTTACCTTTGGTAATGCTGGGGGGGGGGTCTTCCTCTCCCTGGGGTCCAGTGGCTGCAGCGCTGGGCGGGCGGCCGCCGAGGGAGCTCTTCCCCTGAGCGCTCTGCTCAGCTCCCCCGCGCGAACACCTGTTCCGTCAGATAAGTATACCTTGTCAGATTGGTATACCGGAAGTGACGCGGCCGCACCGGATGTGACGCGGCCGCACCGGACATGACGATTCGGAGCTGGAGAAGGAGGAGCACAGCGCTGCGCAGGCGCAGAGGAACAGGTAGGAGAAAATTTCTAACACACTACAGATAGGAGGGTGCCTACTGCGCATGCGCGAATACCACACTGCGCCTGCGCTTGGAGCCACAAGGGAGGGGGGAGGTAGGGGAGCTAACGGGCCAGTGCGCACGCGCGGCTAAGTACTCCCGTCGGGCACAGACAGCGGGATACAGCGCGCGTGCGCACCAGCGGGCAGGGAGATCGATTCAGCCGAATATTCATCCGATCTCCCTGCCCCACACTGCGCACGCGCCTACCCAGCCAGGACAGCCACTGACACCGCGCATGCGCACTGAGGGGGTATAGAAATCTGATGGCCATATCTTCTGCTAAGAAATCTCCTACCCCTGAGTGCGCATGCGCGGTGTCTGCACTGCATCCTGACACCTATCAGGTAAGCCTCGCTCACAACACTCTCAGCCATCAGGGGGGAGGGGGTCTGTCTGTCAGTGAGTACGTGTGTGTGTCTGTCAGTGAGTATGTGTGTGTCTGTCAGTGAGTATGTGTGTGTGTCTGTCTCTCTGTCAGTGATTATGTTTGTGTGTCTGTATGTCAGTGAGTATGTGTGTGTCTGTCAGTGAGTATGTGTGTGTCTGTCAGTGAGTATGTGTGTGTCTGTCAGTGAGTATGTGTGTGTGTCTGTCTGTCAGTGAGTATGTTTGTGTGTCTGTGTGTCAGTGAGTATGTGTGTGTGTCTGTCAGTGAGTATGTGTGTGTGTGTGTGTGTGTGCGGCCCACATAAACGTAATCCTTTTTTATGTGGCCCGTGCCACACTTTGAGTTTGACATGCTTGGTCTACATGATATAATAAAGATGAAATATTATAATGCATATAAATAACATGTATATAATTTGCAGCACATTGATGGATTTTCCCAGAATTTGATTCACCGATCAAGTATGCAGAAATAACCATTAAAGGGAAAAAGATATTTAAATATGATATGTTTATTAAATATATAGTATATACATATAGACTTGTTTGTTGTTATTCCTTTTTTTTCCTCTATTGATCACTTCTCACCTGATTTGTGAATAAAATCAGCATTTAGCAGCTGCCCCCAGACCATCAGTCACATTGCGCGAGGCGGTTATACGTCCATATGGCAGATCCCAGTTAAGGAATTCAGACGGCCGGCTAATCGGCCTAAATTTGGACAAACTTCAATACGGCTGAAAATGAACCCACAAATCTATTACCGACCATTGTGTTTCAAAGTGCGAAGAAATAAAATAATTAACCCAACTGCCCTTTCATTCATTTTATGTGGTTTAATCTCTGTGAATACAATAATATTCAGATAAAACGAAATTGAGTTGTTTTAATTACTGTGCATTTTTTGATAGCAGGTTCTTTTACACGTCTCTATTTCTGATTCTTTTTTCATTTCCTTAATTTTTCACTAAATCATTAGAAATCTCTCGATCAACTTGAAAGCTTTGAGAACTGACAAAAGAATTGCAGATTTTCATTGGAAATAGCCAAACAAAAAACTAACAGAAATGGATCATTATTACAAGTCAACTGTTTTACCCTAGAATTTGTGATTTCCATGTCAGTTGTGCACAATCACCTGTTTATTGACTAGACCTCACTGTATAAAACAATAACCGATAACCTCTGGCGCTGGTTCTGCTTCCCCTCCCCGAGTTCCGGCAGTCAAGGAGTCACGGCTCTGTAATAGCTGACGGAAAGCTTCCCTGGTGAAGAAGATCTTGCGAGGATAGCGACCTGTGATTGAGAATGAAGAGCACAGCACTGAATGAGCAATGCCAACGATGGCCGTCACCTGACAGATCTGTTAATAATATCTGCTAATTCTAACTTCCTCACCTTTCCAGCCAGTCATTCACAAAGGGTGTAAAAATAAACTGTTAGTTCGTAGCTCATAACAAGTAACATTAAACATTAATGAGATATTTCTTTATTTCTCTTGCACAACGAGATCCCTTGTTTGCAGCATCTATGGTGCCAGCGAAAGCATTTCCAGTTTAATCAGACGCAGAAAAAGGACATTTTAATGCTTTATGTAAATAATATGCTGGAAAATATGTGCAAAAATAAGAAAAAACAAAATAAATCATGTACTTGCCTTCAAGCAGTAGTCGCGAGGCCTGCTTCTCATTCTCACCTCTGTGATCTGATCTCACACAGCTTCATGGAATATGGGAATAAATCATTAAAGCAAACAGACTTTATCCTCACGCAATAGTTGATCAGATCAATAAAAACTGAGATATTCAGACTTTCTATTACGCTTTATTTCGTAAGAAACTCCCATACTGCTAGTTACAATAATGATAGGATAATAATTCTTAGCTGTTATAGAAGTTATAGCATAGTACCAGAGAGACTAGACTGCTATTCCCTTCCACCAAACTGACCAACGTTTACATTACTCCCTCCATTGTAAAACTTCCATTTTACCAAAGGAATGTCAGCTCAGCTCCTGTGTGTAAAAGGTAAAAGGTTCAGGGTAAAACTATTTCCATGGGACATGTCCTGCTATCTCTAAAACTACCTGATGTCTAGAGGGTAATTTAAAGGGACTCTCAAGTGCCAGAAAAACATATTAGTTTTTAGGACCCTTCAGTACCCCTCTCCCTCCCACCCCCATCCCAAGTTGCTGAAGGGGTTAAAACCCCTTCGGTGACTTACCGAAGTCCAGCGCCGATGTCCCTTGGCGCTGGGTCAGGCTCTGCCTACTCTCCTCCCCTGCCGACTGACATTCAATGCTTTCCTATGGAGATTTCAGCGATGTTGGAGGTCCTCACATAGCGTGAGGACATCCAGCGTCACTTAAAACACTTTTTGATAGACAGCCACTAGAGGAGGACTTAACCCTGCAAGGTAATTATTGCAGCTTACAAAAACTGCAATAATTACACTTGCAGGGTTAAGGGTAGTTGGCGTTAGCACCCAGACCACTCCAATGGGCAGAAATGGTCTGGAGTGTCCCTTTAAGGGACATTAAAGGGGCCTCTAGTCACCAAAACAATTTCAGCTTAATGTCGCAGTTTTGGTGTATAGATCATGTCCCTGCAGTTTCACTGCTTAATTCTATGTCATTTAGGAGTTAAATCAATTTGTTTATGCAGTCCCTACATGTAACTGACATAGCCTCCCTAAACACTTCCTGTAAATATTCATCTAATGTTTATACTTCCTTTATTGCAAATTCAGTTTTATGCAGAATTTCTTATCTCCTGCTCTGTAAATAGCTTGCTAGACCCTGCAGGAGCCCCCTGTGTTTGATTAATGGTCAATTTACAGAGCAGGAGATAAAAACTGTTAAAGTCACATCTGATTGAAAATGAAACCATTTTTTTTTCATGTGTCAGTCATAGTCCGGGTAGGTGTGGCTAGAGCTGCATAAACAGAAACAAAAGGGATTTAACTACTAAATGGCAGAGAATTGAGCAGTGAGACTTCAGAGGCACGATCTATACACCAAACTGCTTCATTAAGATACAGTTATTTTGGTGACTATAATGTCCCTTTAACATACTGAACCAACAGATACATTTACATTTACAGTATAGCAGTGCTGAATAGCTTGTTTACAGTTTTGTGAATGTCGCAGAATGTGCATGCGTACGTCATCTAAACGTTTAGCAAAATATTTGTAAACAATATCCTTTTCTATTTTGCTATCCAGTTGCCCGGTCTATATGTTTATTGATTGTCCTACGTGCTGTTTGTCATTCTAAGATGTGTATGTAACGTGAAAACGGTTAAATTAAACGAAGAGTCATTAATGGGACAATAATCCTTCTCCCAGGGATCTTGTTATGACCCATTAGGAGCCATTCCTTAACTGCCAGCAGTGTGAGAGACCGGCAAGCCATGGCCTTATTTTGACTTTATTATCTCAAGTCCCAGCAATGCTATATGAGGAAGATAAGAGTGGGAGGGAAAATACAGAAGAAGTAGCAGAAACAGGTTACAACGTATCGTGCGTTGGGAATATTTAAATATAGCAATGATGCAGGATGGTATTTACAGAACAATGAACATAGAAAAGATACGTTCAGTAAATATCAGGAGATTGAATTAACGATAACCAAGACTGAAAATGAAGACTCGATCACAGAGTGAACTCATTGCTCCACACACAGCGAGACGCAATGTTTGGACGCTAGTTGCAATGCTTTGTGGGTTATTTACTGGTCACCAGACATTTAGGTATCTAGGCCAGCAGCATGGCTTTTAAACTGAACTTCTATAGGTAAAAGTATTTTTAATCCATGCGTGTGCTTGCGTTATATATTGCACGATATAGCTGTTTTGTATCTTTTTTTTTTCTGTTAATCCATGAAAATTAACATCTATTGGCTGTGTCAGGGCCCAGCAGGATTTGTGTTGGCGTGTTTGGCTCAAAGGGAGCTCTGGGCAGTTAAAGAGACCACCTCCAGCTGTGACAGCAAACAGCAAACACGTATTCATCATTTACAGTATACAGGCTAAACCTATAGAAAACTCGTGCACTCAACAGGAGCTGTCCAGGTGGACTCTGAAGGGCCACGTTTTATGTGTTGGACCCCATAGTCCCATTGTCAGAAATAACAGTTATATGTTATGTTATTGTTTAAATGGATCCAAAACACAAATTGTCTTCAGCCCACACTTGTAAAATGATTGTATATTATTTTTTAGAGACATGAACCTATTTCTAATGAACTATTACAGAGCCAGCTTGGTATTCGGGACGTTATCCCGTTATGGCAAATCAGCTCTCACTATATATTCTAAGATTACATCAATATTTCTCTTTCTGAAATGTGGGTGCGCAGAGCCGTGCCAAAAACAAAATAATTGTAAATATAAAATAAATACAAACCGGAAGCCAAAACGAAAAATAGATCCTCTTACTGCAATTACTATCACTATTGGCTGAACTCAGACTCAGATCCACCATGTTCAACCTTCCACATAATTCTGGGTAGACACCCAACCTAAGTAATTCCTACATGCCACAAAGAAAGAGGGGGAAACCTTGTTGACTCCAAGTTGACAAATAGACGTATCCTTCAATCATGAATATTAACTATTAACCCTGAATATCCTGTTTTACAAAAAAGGCATCCACACATTGTAATATCTACTAAATCTTATAAAGTGTTAGGACCCTGCCACCGCGCCGCTCGCGGCGATCTTGCTTACCTCATCACAGCGAGCGGCGTCATCTGGTCCCTGCCTCCAGACTGGCCGTGTGTCTGACGCTGCATGCTCCAGAGCAGCTTCCTTATATATGTGCTGCACCCAGTCATGTGACCCGGCACACAGTGAAGAAACCCCTCCCACGTGTTGTGGTTAACACTAATTGGAGATTAGCCAATCAGACACACCCTGTGTGTATATAAGCTAACCTCTCCCTCGCCTCAGTGCCCTGTTGTGGTCTTTGGTTTACCATTGAGTGTTGCATTTGTTATTTGGATTTCCTGGTTTCTGATATTTGGCTTTGTCTCTCGTTAATCCGTCTCTCTGTTTCCCTTGATCTCGGTTTGTGTTTTGACTATCCCTTTTTGCATAGCCCGACCATTCCAAGGATCGGTATTGCAATTCTCTCTACTCTGTCCTGTCTGCGTGTTAGGGTTCCCTAGTGAACGTTACATCCTGGCATAAAGTACAGATGGAGAAATTTATTCAGCTCAGTTTAATACATATCTAAGATTTTTTTTTTCATTAGTTGCTTTGTTCAGCTCATTGAAGTGGTCTGGGGGCATAGTCCTAGGTAAGAATTTAGTGAGGTCAATGCTCAAGCTTATTTTCTAAGAGTAGTAAGGCAGACCCCCAACGGTTTGATTTTTGCGGTCTAGTCCTGCCACCCCTCTTTGGTTCCTTGGTGTCCTGCATCTGTGGACACCATCAAACTGTCCCCTGGGCAGCACGGCACACAGGGGCACTCAGACCTTGCATGGCCTTGAATGTTGGGAGCCTCCCAAGAAGCCCACCCACCTCTTCTCTGAGTACCTTTTTTGGGTGTACCTGTTCATTATTGGCTCCGGCAGTGACATGGGTCACATCAACGGCAACACCCCTCAGCGCCACATCTGCCCCATCCCGATTTCCCTGTCCCAGTTGTTGGGAGGTATAGTAAAGCTTCAATTTTAGGTTTTATAGTAAATATTGGTTGCTTTGTGATTTTACAGTAAAATGAGATCTGTGATTAATGGAATCATTTAGGAGAGAAGAAGGGGAAGCGAGTTAGCGGGGGCAGGGAGAGGGACCAAGGTTATTTCCTTTTTAATTAACATGCCTTCTTAAAAAACGATTTTGCAGAGATTTTTTAAAGGACTTGAGGCTGGAGGAGAGTCTGATGGAGTGAGGAAGGAAGTCCTAGGGAAGTTTTGTCGTGGTCAAATTGTCGACAGGCCTCCATTTAAGGGATATTTTTTGTGTGAACACTTTGGCTCCATTTAAATACAAAAGGTTAAGCAATGCTAAATGATAAACAGCAAAAACTATCAGGAATTATTATTATTATTATAAATAATAATTATTATTTATTGTGCTTGTCCTTCTTGTTCCTCCCCTGCAGAGAATGACTTGGTTTCACATTGAATGAAGAGCAGCAAGGTGTCCCCTGCCCATTGCTGTAAGAGACTCGTCTCACCAACCAAACCACTGCCAGCCGTCTGGCATAGACGCGCCCAGGATAAGGGATAATTGGGTCAGTGTAGGCAGCTTCCGCAAGTTTCATTTCATATTATTTTTATATGCAGAGCACACGCAATTTAACATAATGGGACATATTCACTAAGATGATAATTGTGGGGCATCAACTGGGGGAATTTAGACCAAAATAGCTCAATTGGACACTTTCCCTTGTCAGTTCAACACAACATGATGTTTATTGAGAAGAAAACAAACGTTCCAGTTTTAACCTCAATAGCAATCATTAAAACTGATTAAAAACATCAAGACTTTGAAAAGAATAATTGTATAAAATTAGATTTAATATATTATGTTGCATATGGCATTTAATTAAAGTTCTTCTATGGTTTAGATTAATTTAAGCGAACACTTTACAATATATTTTACTTTGAGTCGTTTAAATCCCACAATGGTACTTTCAATGTTACTTAGTAAATCTACATAGTGCGTTTATGTATAATAGGAAATCAATGTATTGTTTGTTAAATGTTTACCAATATAATGTACTTTTTTCAAATTTGCATCACATATCACCATTATATAACAATGCGTGGTTTAAAAAATGAAGTGAAACAAAATATAAAAAACTGCAAAATGTTTTATGGAAATATTTAATAATCCTCTTGATTTTCTGCTATAGGTTTGTCTAAATATTCATTTTTGTTTATTTATTGTTTATCTATACATTTCCAACATTCAAAATATTTTGGCAATAAAGTGGAATGGCAAAGGTCCGAAGAACCCACCACATTTCATTCATACACGTGTTGTGTTAATTTGTGATAAAAATCCCACATCCGACCAGGAGATCAGCGTTCTAAGCCTTTGGTAAAGCGCAGGTTTGACCAGTTTAAGGATGTTATTTAGTCTTGTTATCACATGTACCCCTTGCATAGCAGAAATCCTATTTTTGTTCAGAAAAAAAAAGGTGCCTCCACCTCTCATTCATGTTATCTGAAGATCATAAAAAGGAAACGTTGTAACTCATTTATTGTAGTTCCAAGAATATCTGCAGTGTGTTTCGGTCTATGTTCTGACTCCTCGTTCTTCAGGTGAATTGGGTGCATTGATAGCTGAGCGCTAATGTATGGGACCACAGGAACAGCTCGCAAGTGCAAAAACCAGGGATCCAAGCCAGGTATAAGCCACACACCCTGTTACCAAGTATACACAACAATGAATTCAAATTCATCACATTCTAGGAAATACAACCAGTAATTGTGAAACCAGAAAAAAAGCTAAACAGCCTGTTCCTGGCCCTCATTTATGCATGTTTCATTGAATGCTTATCTCCCCAAATACGCCCACTTGTACTGATACTTTATTAGGCATTGCTGGAATCATTTAATTTTCATGGAATTCCATATGGTAACTGCCCTCACTGTAAGTCCTTATACTAAATATAAATAAGGAAAAAGACTTACCTCTCACACAGGGAAAGAAAACGGCAACCAAGCTATAACCGTCTGCTAGACAGGCCTACGAAAAAATAGTTGCATTAGGAAAAATATATAGATACCTGATATATCACTTTTTTATAATTATTGTAAACCTTTCTGTTGCTCACTCATAATGAATCCTTAAATGCTAGCATTTTGTTTTTGTAAATCATTCTTTTCGTAATCTATATTTTATTGCAAATTAGATTGTATACGATGGGCTTTCCTTCTTTGTAGCATGTGTATAAAGTGAATAGGCTCACACTACAGTCAAGTTATGTATAAAGAGAAGAGGATGGGATGGGAGGTATTAATAGCGAAAACAAATTTACTTTCTAATTCAGACTTTAGCCTTGATTTAATGTTTTAAAATGACTGCATGTTATGAAAAAGAGTTTAATATATTAATATTTTGCAATTGTTTTATATATTGCTATGTTATTATACTGTATATATGATATATTTGTCGATAGTTTAATATTTTCAAATGCATCATTTTAAAAAAATCCAAAAGATATGTAGTATTCAAAGATATTACATCGAGGCCTTAGATAGCATTCAGATAGAAAGGTCTCAAAGTCATAATTTCTTTATCTTTGCCATAAATACAAAGCGAGGCACTTTTTGGAAAAGCAAAGCATGATTTTGATAAAGAATTGGTATAATACATGTGGGGTTTATTTCAGCAGAGTTAATATTTGCTGTTTGCAGAAATGATTGAATTGAATTAATATCAGTTAACAGTAAATGCAGTTGCCCTGCCAGGGCCAGATATTTGTACAATACGCCCTGTGCTCTGTGCCCAGACCCCCTCCACCACCCTAGCTCAGGGCCGGTTATTTGCAGTATCCCTGCAGAGGAGAAAAATAGAGCCCTGGCAAACAGTTAATTTCTCTGTTTGGTGAAAACTGGTTCTAGAGCAGATGGTAAAGTCAATGGGGTTTAATTAAGACCATGTAAGCTAGGAGAAAAGAGGGCTAACTATGAAGGCAAATATGCTTTAAAAATGTGCTTAGTGTCTCTACTCTATATTGCCCTGGACAGACACTGTAGGATCTCTAACATTTCATCTCATTGAAGTGGTAATAGTGCCTGGAGTCCCTGGTGCTGTCCCTCCATTCAGTATAAAACCATTTTTGAGCGAGCAGTATTAACACTGAATGAGGGTCTTTGGCCAACAATAGCCCCGCCCCCACTAGAGGTGTGACTAAGGCAGGGATTACACACTTCCTTACAGTCATACCGATTCATACCAGCAAAAGGCGCTGTGATAGGCTGACACTCTTACCCAATTAAAGGTAGGCAGACAATGTAATAGAGCAGCAGGCAATGCTAGCAGAATGCTTGGTTGTATAGGGAGAGGTATTAGCAGTAGAAAGAGGGAAGTGCTCATGCCATTGTACAGAACACTGGTGAGACTCACTTGGAGTATTGTACACAGTACTGGAGACCGTATCTTCAGAAGGATATTGATACCTTAGAGAGAGTTCAGAGAAGGGCTACTAAACTGGTTCATGGATTGCGGGATAAAACTTACCAGGAAAGGTTAAAGGATCTTAACATGTATAGCTTGGAGGAAAGACGAGACAGGGGGGATATGACAGAAACATTTAAATACATAAAGCGAATCAACACAGTAAAGGAGGAGACTATATTTAAAAGAAGAAAAACTGCTACAACAAGAGGACATAGTCTTAAATTAGAGGGACAAAGGTTTAAAAATAATATCAGGAAGTATTACTTTACTGAGAGGGTAGTGGATGCATGGAATAGCCTTCCAGCTGAAGTGGTAGAGGTTAACACAGTAAAAGAGTTTAAGCATGCGTGGGATAGGCATAAGGCTATCCTATATATAAGATAAGGCTAGGGACTAATGGTATTTAGAAAATTGGGCAGACTAGATGGGCCGAATGGTTTTTATCTGCCGTCACATTCTATGTTTCTATGTTCTATTACAGCCGCCCATTGTTGCTCAGGCTAATACTTTCTCATTAGTCCAAGCAGCACAGAGGAAATCGGGCTGCTAGAGACGCTTGTTGAGTATTAAAAATTGAAAACAATTGCTTAACACTAAATAGTAGGAGAGCACCAGGGGACTCCAGACACCATAACCACTTCAATGAGATGATACAGTGTATAAGACTAACCATACAAGTTGCTGTTCAGTTATCCACCCTGTTGCTGTTCTTATGCTATATTTCCCATAATGTTCAGCCAGTTAAAGGTCCATACTGACAGGACAATGGTCACTTCAAGCTCGGAGTTATACATACGTCTCATTGAAGCTCTGAACGATCCTTCTTCTTCAATAGGTTCGCCGGTTCTGTAAAAAATAAAGGAGCAGAGTTGATTTTAATGAAGACTAGGGTTTTGGCCCCATAGGGTAGGGCAGTTAGAAGGGGCTAAAAAGTGGATTTAGGTTTTAGTTAAGCTGTAGAGATTTACAAAGCAGAACTGGCACACATAGATCAGAGAGTCCTTACCTGTTCCCAAATGATCTGGAACACCACAACGGCACATTAGAAAACCATGCACCCAAAAGTAGGTGAGTAACATGGAGACACTTCAATCCAAATCACAGAATGACAATGTTTTGTCCCTCAGAATTGGCTTTACACCAAGCCATCTTCTCATGGTTTGACAAAGGCCATTACAGGGGTTGACATATTGCCAGGCAGTGATTTGGAATTATCTATTATCTATTATTATTTATCACAACGTTGATATAGGATGCATATAAGATCCAATACAGTGTAAATTACGGTGGCATAAAAACAATAGATTTAAAATTCTATAGATCCACCCATCTTACTGTAAAGTGAAAACTGCTCCAAGAGTTTCTGTTACAATCAATAGACGTTCAAACTGCTGAAAGCGGATCAGCGGACAAATTTAGGTTTGTTTCAAAGAGAGAACAAGTGTAGTCTGTAGTTTAGATAAGACTTTATTTAATTTTTAACACATTCTCCTGCTAACTCTTTTGCAACAATGCATATATTATGCAGCGTCACATGAGTCCGGGCCATAAAAGGATCCAAATAACTGCACGTAAGTTATGTTTCATAGACCAGCAAATATTTTCTGTTCCCATGGCAGAGTACCCTACATGTGAAAGACTGATTGGATGGCCCTGTATGAGTACTCGCATTATTAGATCTTGTCCTGCAGACAATGTTCCCGCAGAATATAATTAATCTAGAGGAAAATTAATAGGAATTATTTTGGTCTCACAGCTAATCTGCTAGCACAATGATAGAGGAGGTTTTTTTTTTCTGAAATCTCACCTGAATTAATCCTTTTTAACTATTTTAATTCAGTAACAGGAACTATTTTGATCACAGTAAATTGAGGCCTCAATTTAATATTTTTGGATAAACATTTAAAATTGTTGATTTCAAAATATTAAAATGTCAAACAAAATATCATATATAAACATATATTAAAAAATCTAAATGTTTTCAAAATATTTAATAATTGTAATAGTTTACCCAAAAATATTAAATCATTTGAAAAGTGTATCCGAAAACATTAAGACATCGATTTAATAAACTTTGCAAATGATTCAACACTGTTAGAAAAACCTTCTAAATATTCTATCTATGGAAGTCACCATTCTAGTCTATGAGCGTTTGTGTAGAAATCATGAGAAATCATGTTGAAACAAGTTCTAACTGTATGGAATCTTTTGGAAACTCATTAAATCGAGGACTAAAGTGGGGCCTAAATATGACATAAAATGGTGTAAAATAAAAAATGTAAAAATGGCAGAGAGAGAGAGGATGATAAGAAAATGAAATGGGGAACAGAGTTACCTTTGATGCTGGTTGAATTTACAACGACATTTTCGGCCTATAAATGCAAAACATAGATTTAAGAGATTTATATATTTGTTTAGGTGTTAGTAATCCGGATGGGATGCCTTCCATATTTATCATTTCTAATTATTCATTTAATACTAGCTGTGTTCTATATTCAGAGATATGCATCAGATGTCATTTTAGAGTCAAATTGTTATCATAGGATATATTAGTCCATGTTTTTTAGAAATTCTCTCGTCTGTTGCCTCACTGTTATCGCGGATCGCATTGAACACAAGATGATTTTTTAGCCAATAGTCTTTTATTTTTAACCATGGGATGTAATCCTGAGGACCCAAAAAACCCAACACCATGCAACAACCTACCAGCCAAGCTCTAACACAAAACTGGAACAATCTCGTAAAATAAAATTGTAAGCGTCATGTCCTGGCTGTGAATGGGCTCTTGTGATCACTGATTAAAGGAAGTAAATGTCAGAATGAATTAGTTTAGATGTGTATAAGTGTTGCAGGTTCACCTAATTTTGGAAAACGAGGGCAAGTAAGAGTTGGGGAGATTTTGAATCTCAGATTATGGGGGAGCTGGGATGCATCTACTGCACATATTTGCGCGCGGTGTGTGAAATGATAAATGCATGTTTTGTGGATGAGTGGTTACTAGAGACAAAATAAAATTATTTCAATTGTATGATGGGCTGAGAGTGATGGGTGTGTACATTCTATTCCCTGTGTGAATCAGATTATGTCACCCACTCACATATTCCTACATGGGTTTTTGGGTCGGTGTGTAAAGAATGGAATCTATAGCTTGTGCTTGCAGAGTTTATAATGCAAAGCTTTAATTGCATTAATTATCGCAATGCACGCAATTTAATGGGTTTAAATGAATTTGGAGATTTTATTGAGCTGGTCAGCGAGGTTGGAGAATGTTTTCATTCTTCATTTTTAATTTTCAGCTTTCGACTGTGCAAACTGCATGGTTTAGTGAATGGGCCCTTCATTTCAATTTGCAAAGCTGTTTTTGTCTTACTTGGCAGAGTAAGAATATAATAAAAATGTCAATAAATTACATTGACACAAGGGCATAATGGCAAAGGTCACCAGAGAATAAATTAACACTCTAGGCTAATCACTGCTATTGATCCAAACGTTACCGTGGTGACAATGTACTTAGATTGTAGGCGGACCTCATTTGTTGTATTGATCATGTGAATGAGGCCTGGCATAGATTGTCTGAATATAAATTGTCCCTTATCATGTTCACAATATAAATATTCGTTAAATCTGTTTCCTACAACGGGATAGAGATAGTAACAGAGTTTAGATAGAAGGGCTCGTTGTAAAGATCCCATGGGTGAGATAATTTGTCAGACTGAGATGTGGCTAGTACAGTTATAGTGAAACACTGTCTAGGTTTAGAGTTAGCACCAAATTAATATTTATGAAAATCCTTTTTTTCTGTAAGGCTTGGTTAGTATCCGCAGGTAACATTTTATTGTTGTATCTGTGGATCAAGCTAAATAAAAGTGAAATGCGTTAACCCTTTTTTTGACATCATGTCATGACATCATCGAGTAACTGCTCATTTCCATTTAGAGAGGTCTAAGAAATGTTTATTTCTAACTAATTTTTAGGTTTGTTTCCAACTCTGTAGTGCTATGTTTTCATGGTGTGTATTTTCACTTTGTCCATTATCTGTCTGCACAGGGATCCAGTCATTTTCAGAATATTGTTTTGGCTTCGGTGCATGAACAATCCTTTAAGGAAAGGGATAATAAAGTGATTTTCTACCCAGCATTGTGGCAGTCAGCGAGTTAAACATGCAGTTAGAAGGATATCGTCAAGCTCGCTATAATGTTGCTATAAGAAGAGCGTGTACAGCGCAACATTCTAAGCATTTGCAGAAACATTCCATTGGTTGCCATGGTGATTTCTCCACATTTAGGAATTTGCCCTTGAATTGCACTTTATAACTAACTCCTGATGTGTCTGGTAGACTATATGACAAGGACCTTCTATGAGAAATCGTGCCCATAATTCACTCACTCAAAATGATGAGTATTCCGAGGATAAAAAGAACTCCAGCGAAGACCAGACCTCCGATCCGAAGAGACGTGTAATCTACAATAGAGGAGATAAAACATAAATAAATCACGAAATCCCCAGATTCACCGCTTTAGGTATATATCGCAACACTTAATTAATTAATCAGGAATGAGCAGCATTTGGCAACCAAGTTTACAAAAATCATTAGCCATACTATGCACATTTTATACCAAGGGTTATCTATCACAATCTGTTTTTTGGAGGAAAAATCAATATTCCAAAACACTCCCTGAATACACTCATCAATTTATTTTGGCAGGATATCCCTCTGAATTGTGCCATAGTTGTGTGTTCCATCATTCGTGAATCATAGTTGAAGGTTAATTTAAAGTCAACTTCAGTTACAGTTTCGACAACAGCTGCGTTGTAATTTAAGCGACATGAAGGGTAAAACAAAAACCGGAGTAATTCACTTTCGTAAATACCAAAGTTTAAAAGGCTGATAAAACAGGGCAGTTTTTGCATGTGTCTGATTATTTTATCTTTAGTAAATTTGATATAATTCTGATAAAAATTAGATTCAACATATTTTCTATATATTTAATGTGAGTCGTTTTAATGTTTGACACATCACTGGTTTCATCTCTGTGCAATCTAAACGATAATATTAAAGCCATTTTATAAATCTGTTTTATTTGGATTAAAAACTAATGAGGTCATACCAGAAAAATAATAATATGAAAGTTTTCATTTTATGTCTGACAGATTTCAATAAAACACTCGTTATGGAAAGGTCCCCATAAAATATTGTTACAATGAGCAGAACCTTTCTAGAGTCGCACAACCAAAACCAACAAATTAGTAAGAAGAATTGCAGAAAATGTCACCAAAATTCTATCACAGGTTTTACCCACAAGAATGCGGAAAGGGGGGGAGGGGGGAGAGGTAAAAACCAGCGTGTCCATATTGTCTAGGTGTAAATTAACCTTAGGGGAGAAACCTTTCAAGACTAATATTAACAAGCTTTACAGAATTTTAACTTCCTAAGAGAAAAACTAACATTACACATTCTCTCGCAACCTAAATCCTCTACTTTCCTGTTTTTTGGGAAAAGCCATTATCTTCAGTTAATTAATTAATCATCTTATTGGGAATTCATGCCTGGATTAATAGAAATTATAATTGCTGTAGACTCTATGTGCGATCACACTGAGTGTTTTGGGTTGAACGTTTGCCCCTTTTGCCCTCTGGTAATATAAATGTTCCACGGTCAGTGATTGCTTGCTAGGGCCATTGTGTCTCTCGCTGGTTACGGAACCATTTCGTCGCTCGGTAGGAGGGAGAGTTTGTTTAAAAAGTTGGGTTCCTGTGAGGCTGGAAACAATAGTGTCTAGCCACGTAGTCATACAGCAAATCCAAACCCGAAGTTATAACTAATTTATTAAAAACAAAGAGATGCCCTAATTTCTGGTCTGTTTAATAAAGATGGGATAGATTAAAAAAAGAAACTCAAATTCAGTAGTTATTTCGATAAACTTTAGAATATATTGCTACACCTTATCCAGGGTCAGCCTGTCCATAGACCCCGATGGGGCCACGGCTCCAGGCGGCACACTGACCGGGGCGGTATTTTGCCGCCCTTGTCATCATCTATTAGGATGAATTACAATTAGTTATTAATTACAATTACGGCTCAATTCTGAATCTAGTGAATGCTCACAACTCACAAGAAAAAAAGACTCAACCCGCATCACATTGGAAATATCATATATATATATCGGACTGTTACCAGTTTATTGAGATTTTAATATGACCCACAACATATGTTGTTTTTTAATGTTTCATCTTTCTTAAAGAAACTCACAGCAAAGGGAGTCTTACCTTGTGTTTCATTTATTGAATAATAATTTAAATTGGATTATTAGATGTTTCTAGCATTAGACAAATCTCCTTTATATTTACACATGGGAGTCAAAGTGAGCATTCTCAGCTTATTTAACATATTGCCTCAGTTGCATAGCTATGGGAGTGGGGGGGGAGCGGTTCGCCCCAGGCAGCACATTTTTTAGGGTGGCACACAGGGCCAAGCATGCTCCAGAGCATGGCCGTGTTCCTCCAGCACTTGTGTCCAGTCCAACGGCTCCGGAGCATGCCACAGGCTGTGTGGGGAGAGCGGGGATATGAACCACGTCACATCCCTGCCTCCTGTATTCCTCACAGCTGGCGCGGCAACACCTTAGGCCGGGCTGAAAGGGACGACAAACCCAGGAACCACACTGGGCGGCACAAGCTCTAGCTACACCACTGCATTGACTCATCACTATAATTACATGTAAAGCACCAACATATTGCTGAGCACTGCACGATGGGTGGATGAGATGTAATTGCAGAAATGAAAGTCTGAATTACAGAAACAAGAGGCGATCGGGCTCTGCTTACAGGGAGGAGATTAGAATGTAGGAATCTCATGGAAAGAGTTAAATATCTTCAGACTTACCGAAATAAAATGGGTCAGGTACCTCCTCCTTCTTCTCTGCTTCTGATTCTGATAAAGGAAATACAAATATAATCAGGAGGAAATCAAATACATCCAGTCTTAAACATTTGCACTGACAAATCAGTGAGCAATAGATTCAAGTGAAACTTACTGCAATAAATGGATTAAATGGATTATACACTACTCACTTAAAGGGACACTATAGTCGCCAGAACAATTACAGCTTAATGTACAGTATACAGCTTAATGTATGGTATACAGCTTAATGTACAGTATACAGCTTAATGTATTATATAAAGCTTAACGTATACAGCTTAATGTATTATATAAAGCTTAACGTACAGTATACAGCTTAATGTATGGTATACCGCTTAATGTATTATATAAAGCTTAACGTACAGTATACAGCTTAATGTACAGTATACAGCTTAATGTACAGTATGCAGCTTAATGTACCGTATACAGCTTAATGTACAGTATGCAGCTTAATGTACAGTATGCAGCTTAATGTACGGTATGCAGCTTAATGTATAATATACAGCTTAATGTAATGCTCTTAGTAGCTCTGTAAAGTGTGAGTGCACCTTCATTGTGTGTTTTGCTGTTTATAATATCTAAAATACGTTTTACACTTTTGTAAATTTCTTGTTTGTTTTTGAGATATTCAGCACTTTATAACGGAAGGCTTTCTCTGACATATATATATGTATAGAACAAACTACTCTATAAGAAAGATAACACATATTTTTGGCACGGTTTATCAGTTTTGTATTGGTTTTTTTTGCTTGTATTGTATGTCACAAGGTTTGGGAATCCATGTTTAGATTCACTGCTGCCTCACCACAATAATAGTGAGCACCTAATCTTCTATCTATCTCCAATTTGTATTCCTTTAATTTTAGCTGCTGATCGGCCTACCCCACTGGGTCCCATTCTTATTCACTACTTTGCAGCAGTCCACGAAACTTGGCCACCGGAAAACAATAATATTTAAGTACCCAATTCGGAACATTTGTTACCGTACAAAAATGATTTTTTTATAGTGGAATATTGCCAATCGAATTAGACCGTAACTCCTCATAACTAGTTTGTACTCATAAAATGTGCTAGGAGGAGCGGGTTCGCCTGTGTTGGCAATATTTCCAATCTAATAAAATCATTTTCGAATGGCAAAGAATGTGATGTGGCTTTAATACATATAACAACATAGAAGGAGAGTTCCTAAATTTGGTCCTTAAAGTACAGAAATCCTCTCTAAATTCAGGGAGTGAAATCCTTCCTAACTGGCTTACACACGTTGAGTGTTGGTCAATTCACTCTTCGCTGAATACATCACTTTTCATCTCTGTGTCATTTCTGAATGATCAGCAGCTCCGCAGCATCCAATGAAGCCATCAGGAACCAGGAAGGTATTCTGCTGCTCACGCCAGCAGTGGAAGGGTAAATCCAATTTCTAGACCCCAGTGATTGTCGTTGGACACTAACCTTCCCTTATTTGGTCAGAGCGTTGTTCTCTTAATATAGATTCTCCAGGAATGTTACATAATATCACGCTGCACCTAATGGTCTGTACTGAGAATAACGAGCACTTGTTACCAATGCACAATCAGGGGGCAGGAAAAATATGCTGGAATATACACAGTCTTCTACTATAGCCATAACTGACAATCCTTCCCTGCTCCCCTGCTTACAGCACAGCCTCAGAAATACTGGCTGAGAGTGCTGAGAGCAATCACAATTACTGGAGGTTTCACAACCTTGACTGTAAGATTTACTAATCTACCTTGTGAACGTGCAGTAAATGTACAGCTCCACCTTAATCATTTTTCAGGTAGCGACAATAATACAATGTTAACCAGATTGGTGCATTGCACATCAATGGGAACTGACCATCCACCATTGCCAATTTACCAACACCGAGATTACACACGCATTATCAATTAGTCAGTTAATCAATTTGGATGGCTAAAAGTAATGTCAGGGTTAGAGCCAGCCGCAGATTTCATCCAAGACAGAATACCGGCAGCTGTTAGCGATTGGCTTTGAGTAACAGTTGCCGGTAAATATAATATTTACCACCGTTTGGTTCACAGATCAAGTTAGAAGAAGTAACCACTTCACTACAAACATCACCTCCCCAGATTTACACTATTATTCCCCTTTATGGTTTTTTTCCCTGTGTTATTTATGTCGTTACTTGTGTGAAAATTGTAAAGACATTACTAGAAGGCCCTAGTATAGGGTAGGTGTTTACATTAATAACTATTTGCTCCACTCTTAGAGGTGAATAGCCTTGTGGCCTTTCATCCTTTTGTCTGGTTTTCAAGCTTTTCAATCTGTTTGAAAGCGAATGCTCAAGTTTAGCTTACACTGTATATCCACAAATAGCTATGATCTGCCCTTTCTAAGGACAGAAAACTTATTTAAATTAAAAACGATAAAAAAAAAAAAATGCTCTGCTTGATTTGCACAGGTAGATATTTTCCTTAAATCATGAAGTGATGCATTGTTTTTATACCCGTAAGGCATCTAAAGGGTTAATGATTGGGCATTTGGTGGGTTAAACATATATTAGAACAATAAAACTATTTCCAGGAAGATACATAATATTCTCTGCAAACATAACATTTGGCGCGTACCAAGTGCTGCGGTGATCACGATGGAGGAACAGAGGAGGAAGAGACGAACTGCCATGTTTGTGCTGTAACGGAATGAGAAGAGACAATAGACTGGCGTTAATATAGAAATTCACAGTTACAGGCCCTTGCGCTACAGACTGAGAAAACTACCCAACTAGAGTCCAACTCAGCACCGGTTTGGAGTTTGATTAACATTACAATCCCTATACGGCATATGGAGCGGCAGAATCTTTTGCTGCTAATTTTGGAGCGAGCACTGCATTACCTTAACTCAGATTATCATGTTTGGGGCTAATCGGAGATACATTACAGAACTGTCCTTCATGAGCACTCATTGCAATTTACAGTCAACTATTTGGTATCTCTCTGAATTTTTCAAACCCAACTGGTGCCAGTTCAAGACATTAAATTGTATTCAGTTAAAGAAACACCCTGCAGTAGTTATGGTGCCCCCCATTATAAGTAGTCAAACAGGTTTATAATGGTTTGACAACTGCCCTGGGGAGCTCCAGGCCTCGCTAACCGCATCCTTACAGCAGCCTCAGGGAGCTCACCTCAGCTAAGTTCTGCAGTGCAGCGCTAGCTCATTGGCTGAAACCGCTAACTGATCGCTCTCAGCCAATGAGCTCAGACAGAGGGCTACTGACTCCCCACAGCTCTAGTAAAGTCAAGGAGCAGCATGGACCCCAGGTAAGTAGCCAAAACTGTTCCAAAATGCTTTAACGAATAACAATCGAGGTCGCAAAGGAACTCCTGACACCATAACCACTAACGCACACTGTAATGATCCTTTAATGCTCTATGGATCCAGATAAACAAACATACATTTCAATATTCTGTTATTCAAAGAAATTTAAAACAGATTATTTGTAAAACATGCAGAACTACGTTATGAAATAAAATGATGGATTTTATAGCGCATTTATTCTGTACAATATAAATAAAAGACACAGTTTTCCTCTCAGTTACTGCTGAATTGGATGATTATATGAAGAGTACAACACATTATAATAAAATCAGCCAAAGGAATGCACAATCTGCTTTGAATGTTCCATAAAGTCTAAGGTTTATAAATCCTCGAGCAGAAATACGAATTCTACCATAAAAATACTTTTTACTTGATATACTGTTTTGTTATTGTTCTGTATTATTGATCCTAATGAAGTCTTATAGAATCAAAAAAAAAATGCCAAAAACCAGACAATATATATGTAAAACGATAAACTGCAATGAAGGACAGAATTTCGTTTTCTATTCGTGTGATACATTTTATTACCGAAGAGAGGATAAAAACAAACAGCATCACACACACAATGCTCAGACTCCCCTACATACAATCACACACAACACTCAGACTCCCCTACATACAATCACACACAATGCTCAGACTCCCCTACATACAATCACACACAACACTCAGACTACCCTACACACAATTACTCACACAACACTCAGACTCCCCTACATACAATCACACACAACACTCAGACTCCCCTACATACAATCACACACAATGCTCAGACTCACCTACATACAATCACACACAACACTCAGACTCCCCTACATACAATCACACACAATGCTCAGACTCCCCTACATACAATCACACACAACACTCAGACTACCCTACACACAATTACTCACACAACACTCAGACTCCCCTACATACAATCACACACAACACTCAGACTCCCCTACATACAATCACACACAATGCTCAGACTCACCTACATACAATCACACACAACACTCAGACTCCCCTACATACAATCACACACAATGCTCAGACTCCCCTACATACAATCACACACAACACTCAGACTACCCTACACACAATTACTCACACAACACTCAGACTCCCCTACACACAATCCCACACAACACTCAGACTCCCCTACACACAGTTACTCACACAACACTGAGACTCCCCTACACACAATCCCACACAACACTCAGACCCCCCTACATACAATCACACACAACACTCAGACTCCCCTACATACAATTACTCACACAACACGGAGACTTCCCTACATACAATCACACACAACACTCAGACTCCCCTACATACAATCACACATAACACTCAGACTCCCCTACACACAATTACTCACACAACACTGAGACTCCCCTACACACAATCCCACACAACACACAGACTTCCCTACATACAATTACACACAACACTCAGATTCCCCTACATACAACCACACACACAATGCTCAGACACCCCTACATACAATCACACACACAACACTTAGACTCCCCTACACACAATCACACATACAACACTCATACTCCCTTACCCACAATCATACACAACATTCAGACTCACCAACACACAATCACACACACAGCACTCATACTCCCTTACCCACAATCATACTCAACACGCAGACTCCCCTACAAGCAATCACACACAGCACTCATACTCCATTATCCACAATCATACACAACACTCAGACTCCCCTACACGCAATCACACAAACAGCACTCAAACTCCCCTACACACAATCACACACACAACACTAAGACTCTCCTACACACACACAACACTCAGACTCCTTAGCACAGAATATTCAGTCGCTACACAAATTTCACTCAGCCAGTACACACAGTCACATTCAGCCTCCCCAACAAACAATGCTGGGCTTCTTCCACACACACAACACTCAGCCACTAAACACACTGTCACACACACACATACAACACTCACAGAGCAGAGCTCAGGGTTCTGGGAGGTGGCCCAATTTGGCAGCCTGCTTAGGGCCCTGGGTAACCTTCTCCATCTCTGATTCTTGCACAGTCTGAATGGTGTGATTTCTTACTTTTCTTGAATGTTTATGACCTACGGACACATGGAAATGTGCAAATAAAAAAAAAAACATAAATATGACTTCTTGTAGAAGCAGTCTGAGATACATTCCTTGGTCTCCCCAAAAGATCATCATTCAGCTCGGTACTAGGGATCACTGGAGCAGTACGCATGAAACCAAGGGGTTCCCAGTTTTGTTTTTTGCTTTTTTTGCTCCAAAACTGATCCCCTCCGGGGTTACGCACAGAGTGAAGCCCGGGGTCATAATTCTAAAGGTGATTCAATCTGCAGGAAGAATAGTTTCCATGGTGATATCTCCCCTTTTAGAACTTTAGCTCAGAGTTGCAGTTTACAGAACGCTCAGGTATAATCACAGGACATCGATCCAGCACAGCGAGGGTTGTAAAACATTCTCTTTATTCTGCCATCAATCACTAACATCTTTGATAAATAGGATTTTTTTGTTTGGAAATCTTGTTGACATTTCATTGTAACGTATTTCTGGATTTAGTAACACAAGCTCTGTGAGTCCAAGGTACGGGATGTCCGTGAAAGGCTCAGTCCGTGCATGGAGGTGCCCCAACGCCCTGAGGCTCTGCAGCAGATATATTTAGAAACTGGCAGCAGCTCCAAGCTTTATATTTATACCGGGATGTTCCAAGCACGGAATTTCTTCCCTTCTGTAAACCCCCTGCACAATGCAGCTTGTTCTGCATTTATGCAACACTACCAACCTTCTAAGAAAACATCAGTATTGTGCTCAGCTTTAATGGAATCTGATGGCACTGTATAAATAAGAATAATAATAACTAGAAAAGCTACAATTTCTGGGGAAATTGTGTGAAGTGTTCTTGCCTCCACCAGTAGTCTACAACTGGAGTGGGCGGAGTAACTGTTATTTATATAGCACATTTAATTGCAACGTTGTTGCACAGTTACATTAAACCATACATTTATAAAACATTAGCAGGTGTTCAAAAGGCCCTGTCTATGACATCACTTGCTGCTGCAGCTTGACACAGGTCAGAGTATTTTGGTGGTTGCCATCTTCAAACGGTCGTATCTTAAAAACTATAACTCCTACAGTGAAGAGCTTTATATTGTGAGAATCACAAGACCCAGACCTACATTTTGATGCATAGTATGTCTCTGAAGTATTAAAATTGAAGGCACAGTCGCAGTTTAGAAATTGCACTTCAAATTTGAGCTTTGCAGAGTGAAGTTTCAATGAAAGTCAATGGACGGCGTTAGTTGCAAACAAATGATTATATTGTGAAAACTATCAGGACTATGGCTTAGCCGTTGACATGTTTAGTGGCAGCAGGGATAGCTGAACGTTTTGATATAAGATTTGTGTAGGTGGGCCTGAAAATAAGGGAGTGGTGGCAGTTTAGAAATCATGTCCTGATTTTTCAGCTTTTGCCAGCTCCCACTCTAGCTTTGCCATTCATTCCTATGGGACAAATTTCGCCACAAGAACGACGATATTCCGTGAACCATTCGGCGAAACGTTCCACAAAGTAATAGCAATCCGATCGGGAACAATCTGCACGTTTTGGTAATTTTTGTCTATGTAGTGTAAAAACTGTGGGAGGAGTTAGGGTGGTAAATTTGGCTATAATAAGAATAATAAGAATATATGTGAGATAACAATAAGTGGTCTTGCTATGCAAGAACACTTAATAATAATAATAATAATAATAATAATAATAATATAACACTGACAACCTTCTAAGTAAACCTCAGTATTGTGCTCAGTTTTAATGGAATCTGATCATTCTTTCTCTTACTACTTGGTTTGCTCAATGTTTCTAAAAAACAGAATTTACTTCTTATATAATCAAAGAACCTGCATCATTTTTCCCTCGAAGCACATCATTTCTACAGCTGGTGGGCAGGGCATGAAAAGTGCTTCCCAGCAGTGTGCAGAATGTATGGCCTGCATCAGGGAAGTTACTTTCCCTCTTGCAGCATGTTAACGCTAAATACTAAAGTGCGTGTCCAACCATCAGTGTAAATCAGAGATATGTGATCAGTGATGGCGAATCAGCCAAATCCAATCTCTCCCATTTACCTGGATCTCCCCTCAAGGCTATAATTCATACACTGTTACGGTCATAAGTATACGTTGGAAAAAAGAATATTATGACAAGGACATGAAAACCAACGTCTAAAAGTAATAAACAGTTAGTTTTAATATTTGGAGTTTGGGAAAAACAGTCCATTGCTGCCTAATTTTGTAAGTCTGTTAACAGATTGCTGTAAGTCACTGTTTAATAAATAATATACAGATTAAGTGCACACAAAAAAAAGACAGATTTCAATTTTATAAGGCTACTTAAATCCCCTATCTCAGCAAACAAAAAATCAAAAATATTCAGTCTCCCTATATGGCTATATTGTGTTATGCTCACCCCTACTTCACAGTACCCCAATATCGGTGGGTCCTACACTAATTACGTCACAGTACCCCAATATCAGGGGGTCCTACACTAATTACGTCACAGTACCCCAATATCCGTGGATCCTACACTAATTACGTCACAGTACCCCAATATCGGTGGGTCCTACACTAATTACGTCACAGTACCCCAATATCGGTGGGTCCTACACTAATTACGTCACAGTACCCCAGTATCAGTGGGTCCTACACTAATTACGTCACAGTACCCCAATATCGGCGGGTCCTACACTAATTACGTCACAGTACCCCAATATGGGTGGGTCCTACACTAATTACATCACAGTACCCTAATATCGATGGGTCCGACACTAATTACATCACAGTACCCCAATATCAGTGGGTCCTACACTAATTACGTCACAGTACCCCAATATGGGTGGGTCCTACACTAATTACATCACAGTACCCCAATATCGATGGGTCCAACACTAATTACATCACAGTACCCCAATATCAGTGGGTCCTACACTAATTACATCACAGTACCCCAATATGGGTGGGTACGACACTAATTACGTCACAGTACCCCAATATCGGTTGGTCCTACACTAATTACGTCACAGTACCCCAATATGGGTGGGTCCTACACTAATTACGTCACAGTACCCCAATATCGGTGGGTCCTACACTAATTACGTCACAGTACCCCAATATCGGCGGGTCCTACACTAATTAAGTCACAGTACCCCAATATCGGTGGGTCCTACACTAATTACATTACAGTACCCCAATATCGGTGGGTCCTACACTAATTACATCACAGTACCCCAATATCGGTGGGTCCTACACTAATTACGTCACAGTACCCCAATATCAGTAGGTCCTACACTAATTACGTCACAGTACCCCAATATCGGTGGATCCTACACTAATTACGTCACAGTACCCCAATATCGGTGGGTCCTACACTAATTACGTCACAGTACCCCAATATCGGTCGGTCCTACACTAATTACGTCACAGTACCCCAATATCCCCAATATATAAATAGTGCTAGTGTTAAATGAGGTGAAGTGTATTTTAACAATCTGTTAAACATGAGAAATGCCCACAATCCAATGTTTCTCTTTACTGTTTAGTAAATAAACCCTTAGGATCCCATGTAGGAGTATTTTTTTTTTAAAATTGTTGTGGGTAAAGGGAATCGTCTCCCAGTGGAGGTTGTAAGAAGTGACACTTAGCAAGATATTCACTAAAGTTAATTTTATGCCAAAAAAGTCTAATTGTAGCAGAAACCCTGTGAGCTACGACAATATTGCAAGATAACATTAAATAACTCACAGATTTATAGAGAGATGGGAACATAACATTCTTAACGTCAGATCCGGAGTATTCCATGTAATATATTTACTGTATGTACAGAACAGCTATATTTACTATTTCTCTAGTAACTGTGTTTACATATGGCTGCTATGCCCCCTAGTTAGAAAGAACTGTACCCTGGTTGGTGGGCATCACAGGGATTTGGCAGGATGAGACAATTATAACACAGGGACTTGGTCGCATTTGCGGACCCAGTGACCTCTATTGTTACGTCAATAAATAAAGTGGGCAGATTATGTCGGCACTATATAAACATTTAGAATTGTGATAAATAAAACGGGCAGAATATGTTGGCACTATATAAACATTTGGAATTGTGATAAATAAAGTGGGCAGATTATGTCGGCACTATATAAACATTTGGAATTGTGATAAATAAAGAGGGCAGATTATGTCGGCACTATATAAACATTTGGAATTGGGATAAATAAAGTGGGCAGATTATGTTGGCACTATATAAACATTTGGAATTGTAGTAAATAAAGTGGGCAGATTATGTTGGCACTATATAAACATTTGGAATTGTAGTAAATAAAGAGGGCAGATTATGTCGGCACTATATAAACATTTGGAATTGTGATAAATAAAGTGGGCAGTTTATGTTGGCACTATATAAACATTTGGAATTGTGATAAATAAAGAGGGCAGATTATGTTGGCACTATATAAACATTTGGAATTGTGATAAATAAAGTGGGCAGTTTATGTTGGCACTATATAAACATTTGGAATTGTGATAAATAAAGAGGGCAGATTATGTTGGCATTATATAAACATTTGGAATTGTGATAAATAAAATGGGCAGATTATGTTGGCACTATATAAACATTTGGAATTGTGATAAATAAAGTGGGCAGTTTATGTTGGCACTATATAAACATTTGGAATTGTGATAAATAAAGAGGGCAGATTATGTTGGCACTATATAAACATTTGGAATTGTGATAAATAAAATGGGCAGATTATGTTGGCACTATATAAACATTTGGAATTGTGATAAATAAAGTGGGCAGTTTATGTTGGCACTATATAAACATTTGGAATTGTGATAAATAAAGAGGGCAGATTATGTTGGCACTATATAAACATTTGGAATTGTGATAAATAAAATGGGCAGATTATGTTGGCACTATATAAACATTTAGGATTGTGATAAATAAAATGGGAAGAATATGCATGTATGTATATGTAGCCTTGACCTCTGTACCCAGTGCATGACCATGAGAACATTGTTATATATTTTTGGCTACCACTTTGGCTAACACAAATTATAGATTAGAAGCCCAGGGCCCTATTTAACTCTTTATTCTGTTTATTAGTTTGTTTGAAATTCATTTCTTGTTTAATTTACCATTGTAATGTATATTAGCAACATATAAATAGCAATCATAACAATACTAGTAAGAGATACACTGTTATTCTCTGTATAGTAACACCATTATATTAGAGAGAGAGATACACTGTTATTCTCTGTATAGTAACACCGTTATATTAGAGAGAGAGATACACTGTTATTCTCTGTATAGTAACACCGTTATATTAGAGAGAGAGATACACTGTTATTCTCTGTATAGTAACACCATTATATTAGAGAGAGAGATACACTGTTATTCTCTGTATAGTAACACCATTATATTAGAGAGAGAGATACACTGTTATTCTCTGTATATTAGAGAGAGAGATACACGTGTATTCTCTGTATAGTAACACCATTATATTAGAGAGAGAGATACACTGTTATTCTCTGTATATTAGAGAGAGAGATACACGTGTATTCTCTGTATAGTAACACCATTATATTAGAGAGAGAGATAAACTGTAAAGAAGTGAAGTATTGAACGTTTCTGTAACTAATTATCATGTTCTATAACTTTGGCGGCCATCAAAGTATATCAGCAGCTGTGAAGACGACCAATGATGCCCCACTTACAGGCCCCTTCTCATCTACCCCACGCTCGGAGCAGTTGGGGCAAATACAGCTCAGCCCAATTCAAACACATCTCATAACAAATGCAAAGCCACCATAAACACTGCAAACTGTATCTCTGGTGCAGAGAGGCAGACTAGTGCCTGACCTGTATCTAATCATCTAAATACATCCCATTGTACAGCGCTACAGAATCTGATGGCGCTTTATAAATAATAAAATAATAATAATAAAAGTGTCACAGTAACATTTTACATCTCCCTTCCAGTCACTGAAATCTCGTGGACTCATAAAAAAACAACAAAAAATCTGCATCTACAGAGCAATGTTCCCTCTAAGCTGAAACGTGCGGCACAGAAAGAGTTAAAATGACATTTAAAAATAAATAAATCTGTAAATGGACACGATAGCACAGTACAAGAGTGATGGAAAAGATGAAAATGATCAATATGTTGTGTCACAGTGACACTCAGTGTTATTATAGATTGCAGACAGTTTCAGCATGTTGTTGTGTTAATTCGATGCCTTCATTTTGTGCCTGGAGTCCTGGGCAGAGTACGGCCCCTTTAATGATTCTGAACACCCCAAAGGCAGTCTGTCTCATATAACGGTTTATAGAGGAAAACCTGACGCAGCTCAGAGACAGGGGGTGTCGCACTGACTGGCTGAAATACAGCAGATCTGGGTCAAACTACAAAAAGTACAGCAATCACAAGGAACATTCCATTGGTTTCTATGGCGACTGCTCCACTTTTAGAACTTTGACCTAGAAATTAGGCCTTCTCTACCTTTTGTGTATTTTGTATGTTCTACACTAACTGTACAGCGCTGCGGAATCTGTTGGCGCTTTATAAATACCAGTAATAAATAATAAATAATAGAGATCCTCTCCTGTAATGTTAAAATTCCCAGCCAGCCATCTCGGGAGCAAAACGCGTGTTCTATATAAAACCCAGCTACATGTATCCTGTATGATATGATATAAATAGTTATGAAATCTTCAGAGTTAACGTTTAGCTAAATGAATGTTAAATGCCCGATAATGTGTTAACAGTTACATAGTAATGAGAAAAATGGGAAGTTCTGTGACACGGGACCTGGATAGAGGATAAACATTATTTAACGGTTACAGGACACACAAACATCACACACAGTATACGCACAGAGTCAGGGTCTCTCCGGGAGTGATTGCAGGCTGTGGGTGTATCCTCTGCTGTCTGTCCCTCTGTATAAGGACACATAAACTGATCCTGTTTTCACTTTCTAAACTCTCCCCTTCCCACCCGCCCCCCTATATCTGTAATCTGTCTGTCTCTGCCTCCTCCCAGCCAGAGGTCTACTCCCTCTCCTCCCATTCTCTCTATCACTTTATTTACTATACTTTCAGTCTCGACCTCTCTCTCTCTCTCTCTCTCTCTCTCTATCCTCTCTCTCTCCCTTTCTCTCTCTCTATCTCTATCTCTCTCTCGGTCGCTGACTCACTTTTTCACTCTCTTTTTCTTCATCTATTTCTTTCTCTCTTTTCTTTATTTTTCTCCATCTCACATTATTTCTCTCTCCTCCTTTCTGTCTATTTTGTTCCTCTAATTGTCACCATTTCTCGCTTTCTCTTTTTATTTATCTTTGTCTTGCGTTCTCCATTTCATTCCATCTCTTTTTTTTCTTTTTCACACTTTTCCTGTTTATTTCTCTCTTGCAAATATTTCTGTTTCTCTTTCTCTCTCTATCCTCTCCCTGTCCCCTCTCTCTGTCCTCTCTCTCACTCCTCTCTCTCTCTCTATCCTCTCTCCCTTTCTCTCTCTCTCTCTCCCTCTCTCTCTCTATCTCTCTCGGTCGCTGACTCACTTTTTCACTCTCTTTTTCTTCATCTATTTCTTTCTCTCCTTTCTTTATTTTTCTCCATCTCACATTATTTCTCTCTCCTCCTTTCTGTCTATTTTGTTCCTCTAATTGTCACCATTTCTCGCTTTCTCTTTTTATTTATCTTTGTCTTGCATTCTCCATTTCATTCCATCTCTTTTTTTTCTTTTTCACACTTTTCCTGTTTATTTCTCTCTTGCAAATATTTCTGTTTCTCTGTTTCTCTCTCTCTATCTATCCTCTCTCTGTCCCCTCTCTCTCTCTCTCTCTCTCCTTTCTCTCTCTTCTCTCTCTCACTCCTCTCTCTCTATCCTCTCTCTCCCTTTCTCTCTCTCCTCTCTCTCTGCCTTTCTCTCTCTCTCTCTCCTCTCTCTCCTCTCTCTCGCTCTCCTCTCTCCTCTCTCTCTCTCTATCCTCTCTCTATATCATCTCTCCTTTCTCTCTCTCTCCTCTCTCCTCTCTCACTCATCTCTCTCTCCTGTCTCTCACTCCTCTCTCTCTATATCCTCCCTCTCTCCCTTTCTCTCTATCCTCTCTCTCTATCCTCTCTCCCCTTCTCTCTCTCCTCTCTCTCTCTTCTCTCTTCTCTCACCTCTCTCCTCTCTCATTCATCTCTCTCTCCTCTCTCTCACTCCTCTCTCTCTATATCCTCCCTCTCTCCCTTTCTCTCTATCCTCTCTCTCTCTATATATCCTCTCTCTATATCATATCTCCTTTCTCTCTCTCCTCTCTCTCTCCTCTCTCACTCATCTCTCTCTCTCCTCTCTCTCTCTCCCTTTCTCTCTCTCCTCTCTCTCCGCTCTCTCTCCTCTATCCTCTCTCTATATCATCTCTCCTTTCTCTCTCTCTCTCCTCTCTCTCTCTTTCTCTCTCTCCTCTTTCTCCCTTTCTCTCTCTCTCCTCTCTCTCCTCTCTCTCTCGCTCTCCTCTATCCTCTCTCACTCTATCCTCTCTCTCTCACTCATCTCTCTCTCCTCTCTCTCTCCCTTTCTCTCTCTCCTCTCTCTCGCTCTCCTCTATCCCCCCTCTCTCTCTCTCTCCTCTCTCTCCCCTCTCTCTCTCTCTCTCTCTCTCTCTCTCTCTCTCTCTCTCCTTTCTCCCTTTCTCTCTCTCCTCTCTCTCTCTCCTCTATCCTCTCTCTGTATCATCTCACCTTTCTCTCTCCTCTCTCTCTCTCTCCTCTATCTTCTCTCTATATCATCTCTCCTTTCTCTCTCTCTCTCACTCTCTCTCTATCTTTATCCTCTCTCCTTTCTCTCTTTGTCTCTCTCTCTATCTTTATCCTCTCTCCTTTCTCTCTCTCCTCTCATAATTTTGTGGATTGTAGGTGTGATGCTGCCTTAAAAGCATGCGATCCTGATTACGGAGCCAGTTTTCACTTCACCACCATTTAATCTAATTTTATTTTGATGTACCATCTGCACTATATTGCCTTTTTGCATTTCTTTTCACATGTACTATATACACCAAGCTTGCTATCACGTTATGTAGGGTAAGTGTACCCCCTCATTCTTTCAGCATTCCACTTATAGGTGTAGGTCTTCCACTTATATCACCTCATAGACTTTGGACTTTTTGGGGTATTTCCCCTCAAGTGTTTTGAGCTGCTGTAACTAATTTATCCTTGACCCTAGCACCTTATTGGACACACATTCCTCCCAAAATGCGGTTCACTTCACAAGATAGCCTTATGCCTATCCCACGCATGCTTAAACTCCCTCACTGTGTTAACCTCTACCATTTCCATGCATCCACTACCCTCTCAGTAAAGTAATACTTCCTGATATTATTTTTAAACCTTTGCCCCTCTAAATTAAGTGTATGTCCTCTTAAATTAGATTAAAATATAGTCTCCTCCTTTACTGTGCTGATTCCCTTTATGTATTTAAATGTTTCTATCATATCCCCCCTGTCTAGTCTTTCCTCCAAGCTATACATGTTAAGATCCTTTAACCTTTCCTGGTAAGTTTTATCCCGCAATCCATGAACCAGTTTAGTAGCCCTTCTCTGAACCCTCTCTAAGGTATCAATATCCTTCTGAAGATACGGTCTCCAGTACTGTGTACAATACTCCAAGTGAGGTCTCACCAGTGTCCTGTACAATGGCATGAGCACTTCCCTCTTTCTACTGCTAATACCTCTCCCTATACAACCAAGCATTCTGCTAGCATTTCCTGCTGCTCTATTACATTGTCTGCCTACCTTTAGTTCATCAGAAATAATCACCCCTAAATCCCTTTCCTCAGATCTTTAGGTTAGGACTCAAATATTCTGTACTCTGCCCTTGGATTTTTACGTCCAAGATGTATTATCTTGCACTTATCCACATTAAATGTCATCTGCCACAACTCTGACCATTTTTCTAGTTTACCTAAATCATGTGCCATTTGGCTATTCCTCCTGGAACATCAACCCTGTTACATATCTTAGTATCATCAGCAAAAAGACATACCTTACCATCAAGACCTTCTGCAATATCACTAATAAAAATATTAAAGAGAGTGGGTCCAAGTACAGATCCCTGAGGTATCCCACTGGTGACAAGCCCATGCTTCAAATATACTCCATTGACTACAACCCTCTGTTGCCTGTCACTCAGCCACTGCCTTACCCATTCAACAATATTGGAATCCAAACTTAAAGATTGCAGTTTATTGATAAGCCTTCTATGTGCAAAAGTGTCAAAAGCCTTACTAAAATCTAGGTAAGCAATGTCTACTGCACCACCCATATCTATTATTTTAGTTACCCAATAAAAAAAAATTCAATAATATTAGTTTGGCATGATCTCTCCGAAGTAAACCCATGTTGTCTCTGATCTTGAAATCCATGTGATTTTAGATGTTCAACAATCCTATCCTTTAACATGGTTTCCATCACTTTCCCCACTACTGAATTAAGGCTTCCTGGCCTATTGTTGACCAACTCCTCCCTAATACCTTTCTTGTGAATGGGCACAACATTTGCTAACTTCCAATCTTCTGGGACTACTCCTGTTAACAATGATTGGTTAAATAAATCTGTTAATGGTTTTGCTAGTACACCATTAAGATCTTTTAATAACTTTGGGTGTATTCCATCAGGTCCCATTGACTTATTTGTCTTTATTTTTGACAGTTGAAATAGAACCTCTTCCTCTGTAAACTCACATGTAACAAATGACTCATTTGTCCTGACAAGCCTAAAGCAATTTTCTGTTGCCTTCAGCAGTGCAACTTTTAAATAATCCCATTTCTCTTGGACTCCATTTAAATTGCTCCAGTCTGATAATGACTACTTTAAACAAATTCTAATTTTAGAAATATCTGTTTTTCTAACGTCTAAAACTTTTGTTTTTGTGTGGTGTGACTCAGTCACTGTTCTTATATTAAACCACACTGACTGATGATCACTGGATCCTAAACTTTCACCTACAGTAATATCTGATACCAAATCTCAATTTGTTAACACTAAATCTAGTATGGCCTCCTTACGAGTTGCTTCCTTAACGAGTTGGTTTAGAGACAATCCCAGTAAGGAGTTTAGAATATGTGTGCTCCTGGCACAAGCAGCTATTTTGGTTTTCCAGTTCACATCAGGAAGATTAAAGTCACCCATAATGATAACTTCCCCCTTCATTGTCATTTTAGCAATTTCCTCAACTAGTAGATTATCTAACTCTTCAATTTGTCCTGGGGGCCTATAAATCACACCTACACAGTTACTGTGTAATTACCAAATTCTAATGTAACCCAAACAGACTCTATGTTTGCCTCACTAACTTTTATTAGGCTAGATTTTATGCTATCCTTCACATACAGGGCCACCCCTCCCCCTTTCTTGCCTTCCCTGTCTTTTCTATATAAAAAGTATCCTGGTATTGCTATGTCCCAGTCATTTTTCTCATTATACCATGTCTCAGTAACAGTGACTAAATCTACATTATCAGTTGCCATTATTGCCACAAGTTCATGGATCTCTCTCTCTCTCTCTCTCTCTCTCTCTCTCTCTCTATCTTCTCTAACTATCTATCTATCTCTATCCTCTGTCTTTCTCTCTATATCATCGCTCTCTCTTTTTTCTTTATCCACTATCTCTATCCCTCTATCCTCTCTCTATCCCCTTTCTCTCTGTCTTTCCTCTCTCGCCAGGGCTGGCCTTAGGGGTGTGCGAGCTGTGCGGCCGCACAGGGTGCCATGGAGCAGGGGGTGCCATGTGGACCACACATCTCACACATTGCCTGTGTCAGGGGAGCCAAAACAGGTTTACAAAAAAAAAAATTGAGGCAGTGGGGGCGGGGCTTAGCCAATACCTACCCGAAGCCCCTGGTAACGGCTGCACAGGAACTGCATCCCCCTTCTAGCCATAATGGAAAGAGGTAAGTCTGTGTGTGGTGTGGGACTGCCTGTGTGTGTGTGTGTGTGTGTGTGTGACTGCCTGTTTATTTGTGACTGTTTGCTTGTGTGTGTGTGTGTGTGTGTGTGTGTGGCTGTCTGTGTGTGTGTGTGTGTGTGTGTGTGACTGCCTGTTTATTTTTGACTGTTTGCTTGTGTGTGTTTGTGTGTTTGTGTGTGTGTGTGTGTGCATGTGTGTGACTGCCTGGCTATTTGTGACTGTTTGCCTGTGTGTGTGTGTGTGTGTGTGTGTGTGTGTGTGTGTGTGTCTGTGTGTCTGCCTGTCTGTGTGTGACTGTCTGTCTGACTGCCTGCCTGTGTGTGTGACTGTCTGTCTGTGTGTCTGCCTGCCTGTATGTGTGACTACGTGTGACTGTCTGTCTGGTAGCCTGTCTGTGTTTATGACTGCCTGCCTGTGTGTGTGTGTCTATGTGACTGCCTGCCTGTGTGTGTGTGACCGTCTGTCTGACTGCCAGTGTGTATGTGTGTGTGTGTGACTGCTTGCCTGTGTGTGTGACTGTCTGTCTGCCTGCCTGTGTTTCTGACTGCCTGCCTGTGTGTGTGACTGTCTGTTAGTGTGACTGCCTGCCTGTGTGTGTGTGTGAAGAAATCCCCCTTTTATGTTCAATATTTCTTCCCTGTTCATTTAGTAGAAGTACCGCTGTTCGGTACTTTTGTTCATTAGAATAAGGGGAACAATCACTGCTAAGAGCTAGGGGAAACCATTCGTGGGATTATTCAGTTTTTGCTACTTAACGAAATAGACCGGCAAAACTACCCAAACTCATGGAACTATTTTGGGCAGCCACCTCGCGGTTAGCCGGTCACAAAAGACTTCCATATTTTTTGAGAACCCCTGAACCGATCTGGGTGAAATTTGAATATGTTGGTCACCCAGATCGGGGCTATCAGGGGACATATTGTTTGTGAGAATACCATATGCCAAAAGAGGTGTTCTGAATATTGGGGAAAACTGTAATTTTTCTGCCTGGAGATAATCAAGTTATTACTTTATCAGACTTGATTATCTCCAGGACTAGGGGAGGGAATTGTATGTTTGTGCTGGGAGTGTTTTACGTTTTCTTGTAAAATGATTGGATGTACTTTGTCCCTCTCTGTGGGATGTTCCCTTGCATGGGGACTTGCATAAAAGCAAGTGTGTGATAATTAAAAGTCAGTTCTGTTGCACCCTTCGTCTAGACTTCGGCTGATGTTTGGGAATTATTAAGGGAATCATCTTGTAAAGCTATTGTATTCGTATGGATTTCGTTTATTGCATCTACCGAACGGAGAGCTATAATTACTGATGCTCTGGCGGTTATGGAGGAAAATACAGAATGGGGATTGGATATCCTAGGTTTCCTTACAACTGGTGGCAGCAGTGGGATTCGAATTCCGAATGGACCTTCTGAACCAAGCAAGGGAATGGATGGCTCAGCAATACCAGCTACTTAAAAGATCCACGCTAAAAGTTTTACTGGAAGCTCGAGGCGTAGTGGCAAGTAACAAGACAAATCCACATTAATTGCGGATTTAATACAGAGCGATGGAACCAGTAATACAGAGATGGAGCACGAGGAAGAAACCGAGATGCAGAAGGATATCAGATGGCTGCTCAGTGTATTGGGACCCAATCCATCAACAGAGGCAGTTCTGCATGTCATGGCACAAGCCAGGCAATCGCAAAAAGAGCGAGATGATCGAGACAGAGCGGTACAGGGGGATTTGCTACACTCCCCGGGAAGTACAAATGACCTACCAAAGAAGGTAAACTACGCAGTGTTTAAAACTTTTAATGATAATGACATGGAAATTGACAGTTTACTACAAGACTTTGAATGTCAATGTGCGCTGGTGGGATTAGACTCCACAAAATGGGCTGCAATACTTCGCAGCAAGCTATCAGGAAGAGCAGCAGATGCATTGCGAGCAGTACCTGATGGGGACATACACAATTATGGCAAGGTAAAAGACATTTTGTTGGCCTGATACATTGTTACCCTAGATGCGTACAGGAAGAAGTTTAGGGACACTCGACTTCCCGAACACCGGTCTCAACAAACGAATGCTGGATCTTTATTTCCCGAACAGCTAGAAGAGCGCTGTTCTGTACTTTTGTTCATTGGAATGAGGGGAACAATCGCTGCTAAGAGCTAGGGGAAACCATTTGTGGGATTATTCGGTTTTTGCTACTTAACGAAATAGACCGGCAAAACTACCCAAACTCATGGAACTATTTTGGGCAGCCACCTGGCGGTTAGCCGGTCCCAAAAGACTTTCATATTTTTTGAGAACCCCTGAACCGATCTGGGTGAAATTTGAATATGTTGGTCACCCAGATCGGGTCGATCAGGGAACATATTGTTTGTGGGGATACCATATGCCTAAACGGGTGTTCTGAATATTGGGGAAAACTGTTATTTTTCTGCCTGGAGATAATCAAGTTATTACTTTATCAGACTTGATTACCTCCAGGACTAGGGGGAGGGAATTATATGTTTGTGCTGGGAGTGTTTTACGTTTTCTTGTAAAATGATTGGATGTACTTTGTCCTTCTCTGTGGGATGTCCCTTTGCATGGGGACTTGCATAAAAGCTAATTTTGTTGCACCCTTCTTCTTGACTTCGGCTGATGTTTGGGGATTCGTATTCTTTATTAAGGGAATCATCTTGTAAAGCTATTGTATTCGTATGGATTTTGTTTATTGCATCTACCGAACGGGTGCTGTAATCACTGATGCTCTGGCGGTTCGGGAGGAAACTACCCAATGGGGATTGGAAATCCTAGGTTTTCTTACAGTGTGTGTGTATGGCTGTCTGTCTGTGTGACGGCCTGCCTGTGTGTGTGTGTGTGTGTGTCTGTCTGTCTGTGTGATTGCCTCTGTGTGTGTGTGTGTGTGTGTGTGTGTGTGGCTGTCTGTGTGACTGCCTCTGTGTGTGTATGTGTGCGTGTGTGTGTGTGACTGTCTGCCTGCCTGTGTGTGACAGTTTGCCTTTGTGTGTGCCTGTGACTATCTGCCTTTAACTGAGTGTGTGAGTGCCTATCAGCGTGTGTGAGTGTCTGCATGCCTGTAACCAAGTGTATATGACTGCTTGTAATGGAGTATGTGTGACTATCTGCTTGTGACTGCGTGTGTGACTGTATGCCTGTAACTGTGTGTGTGCATGTAACTGTTTGTGATTGTCTGCCTTAAACTGTGTGCTTGGCTCTGTGACTCTCTGCCTGTAACTATGTGTGTGTGTGTGTGTGTGTGAGACTGTCTGCCTGTAACTGATTATGACTGACTGTCTGCTTGTAACTGTTAGTGTGACTGTCTGCCCCCCCTCGACTGCATACAGGCAACTTGGTCGAGGGGGGGGGGTGCTGTGAAGACTTTTTGCACAGGGCGCCTAATGGCCAAAGGCCAGCCCTGTCTCTCGTTATCCCCTCTCTCTCCTCATCTTCTCTCAATCTCTCTCTCTCCTCTCTCACTCTCTCTCTCACTCTCTCTCTCTCTCTATATTTTCTTATTCTCCATTTTGTTCTTGTTTTCCTCTCTACATTCCATTCATCCAGTAGATACTGTCCAAGTCAGTCTATTATCCCACGTCTCCCTGCCCATGGCCTTTTACTAAGGAAAGAGCCACGCATTTATAGCCTAATTGAAGCCCTAACCATTAACACATCAATTTATTGAATAGGAACAAACTAACAAACCATTTGTTATCCACTCAACAGAAGACAACATAGCGGGACATTGTAACTGACTTTATGTATAAGAAAATATTGAAAAGAAATGACTAAAGTTTCTTTCGACTTGTATTAATTAAAGATAATGAGATAAAATGTAACAATGGATGCGTTTTCAGTTATTGATTGAGAGTGCTAATTTTTGGTGTTTGTGGTGATGAACTCGAGATATGTATTCAAACATAGCAGAGTTTTCCTGAGTTTGCTGCGATGTCCAATGTGAGTAAACGCTGAGGTAGGTAGTGAGGTTTCCCCAGGAGTTTAGCAACTGGAGGAGTTATATCTGTATCTTTAGTGAAAAATGGGGGGCGAAGTTTAACAGAGAGTCGGACTAGGTGCCATTTCTGTCTGCTCCCGAATTTACAAAATCAATCACCATACAATCCCGAATTACCCAAGCCATCTGGAGCCAAATGTGCCAGACCCAATCACCCGATGCCCTTCTGGTACACTCCAAAACAGGCTAAGCAAAAGGGCAGAGATAGGGCCTACCTCAACCCGGCCTTCTACAGCCTGGATCATCTGCTTGGCAAGACACGGGAGACCAGGTAAAGCAAAGCACCGACCACATTGTCCCAGCGATGGGGCATAGAACCCAGAAGCCCCAACCAGGTACGGCAGCTGTAGAGCCTAATATATGCACAATGCTCCAGCGGCTAAAGCTAAGATAGCAGCCGCGGAGGGCCCAGACACCACAATATGCCCACAGGCTAATCGTCAGAAGCAAGCCTCACACCCACCGACCACAACAGTGGGAGGAAAGCACAGACCCTGCATCCAAACAAGATCTGCAGCACCGGCAAAATAAAAAACCTTGAATAGGTCTCTGATTGGCCAGAACAACTCCCCGATCTGGGACCAGGCGACAATTGAGCTGTTTACACCAAGAGCCAGATGAGAGAACCCACTGGCCACTTGACAGGTATGGGAGGAGAAGTCTCCTATCCTAACTTGATCAAAGGCTATGCAGAGTTTTCAGTTCTTCATTTGTCTTTATTTTCCCATTTATGGCTGCCTTTTCCCATGTTTACAGTTTGGTCCTACTGTTTCTACACATTGTTACTGATCAGGGCCACTCAGGCCCCTACCGTTCAAACATATACATGTGTCAGCAGAAGGTCGCACTGGCCCACAAGCGCAACAACGTAATGCATACTGTGACACAATACCTAACCCCCCCACCTGACAATCCCTAGATTAGGGTTACTACCAGAGTAGCCTACACAGCACACAGATATACTGCACCTCAATCAGGAGGAAGGGGCTTCACACAGTCTACTCTTACACATCTCTAATCGAAAGTACAACCCACACATCCACCATTGGAAAGCATTGTGATTGGCTCATTTCACCACTTCTGATTATGTCAGCCAAGCAGATCAGGGGCAGAGCAAGCAGCAGACTGAAATAAAAGTAAGATTTTACTATATTTATGGAGGGCAAGGGAGGGGGTGCAGGTGAAGCTAGATCATGTTTTTAACACTATAGGGTCAGGAATACATGTTCGTGTTCCTGACCCTACAGTGTTCCTTTAAGACTCCACCTTTAACATGTAATGCAGTTATGCCCATTCTAAACAAGGATGTCATAGAATTAGAAAGACTACAGAGACAGTCTACAAAATAGGGGAATGGAAGATATTAAAGACTAGAAAACCTAAGCTTCACTTTAGAAATAAAGTCTCTCAGAGGGGATAACAGTGTACAAATATACACATAGCCAGTACAAATTGTTCTCTAGTTACCTGTTCATTAATAGCACTGGAGAAAGGAGACAATGTTACATTTTAAGACATAAAGAATTGGATTTAACATAGGGCAGGTTTAAGGGTCCTTTACTGTAAGAACAGTAACAATGTGGAAATATTTTTCAGCCTGTATCGCTCTGCATCTATTTAATACATGTTATCAAATTAAACAATGTAGAAATATAGTTATAAAACATATTTGGAGTTTAGTTCAGTTTGACTAATTGAACTTTAATACCAATATGTTCTGTAGCCTGTCTAAAACAGAGCCACAAACACTCTAATTTAAAGAGACAGTCCAGGTGACACGTATTAAAGGAACACTATAGCGTTAGGGATACAAACTTGTATTCCTAACGCACACACAATAGTATCCCTGTCCATAGTCAGATCTAAGGCTTGCCATCTGTTAGATTTAAAAAACGTTTACTTATCTTTTTCCAGTGCCGAGACTTCCTTGGCGCTGCCGACCTCTCTCCCTCTTGTGATGTTGTGGAGGAGACATCGCTTCACCCATCGCTGGTTCAATGAGGTGCATTGGAGTCCTGATGGCCTGTGAGCAACATGTGCGCATGCAATGCTTCTCATAGGAAAACATTGAATTCAATTGTTTTCTATGCGCTGCAATGTCATGTGAACAAGTTTCACTCAGTCAGTGCAGCGGGAGCGCCTCTAGTGGCTGTCTGTGTGACAGTGTGACAGATACTAGAGGTGTGTTTAACCTTGCAATGAAAGCATTACTGTTTCTAAAAAAAATTGCAACGTTTTACATCACAGGGTTCAAAGGCCACGGTACCCAGACCGTTTCATTGAGATAAAAGTAAAGGTTCTTTAATCCTTACTTTTTAAAATAATTTTGTTTTTTTGCAAAAATCCATTTATATTGAAAACGATAATATTAAATCGTTCTGACATCATGGATCGCTTCATATGACTCCTGCAGCCATTTGCACGTGGCTAGGACGTAGAATAGTCAGTCCTTAACCAGCGGATATGATTCAATAGACATATGGATGGTTGTATGATGTAACATGTGCACATGACGTGTTTACAACATGCAAATGGATTCAAAACTCACTCATACAAGTCAGCCATGCATCGGAGTTCAGTAAAATCTTCCCAACACTGGGACACAGTTACCATCTGTATTTTTATATTAAGAAAAAGGAGCAAACAAGCGAGCAGCAGCGAAATGTGATTAATTACTATTCAGATATTTTATTACAGATTATAGGTGGGAAATTGCACTTTGTTACATAGATTTATCAATCTTCCTGTGTTTGGGATAATCTGCTCTGTGTGAAAAGAGACAATATCAGGTCTAACACTTACAAATATTTTCTTTCGAGGGAAAGGGTTACATCTCTTAAATGACTGTCAGCTGCAAAGCGTCGATTCAGAAACCGTGTATTTTTGGCTTTGTTATTAAGCTTTATGGTTTGTTTTGCAGTAACAGCCCAGCGATACTTAAATGACCCCTTTGTTCTTTCATCACAAAAAAATTCCTCCGCTCCTTCTCCTGCAGTAATCGCCCCAAATTCCGATGCTTGGCTGGGTGCCCCCTGCGGTGGGACGAGCTGGAAAATGGAGTCTGAGTGTTTTCCAGAATTCATCATTAAGTGGGTTAATGTCAACATTGTCTATTAATAAACACAGAACAATCGTTATTCACAGACATTCAATGTTGTGTGTTAATCCAGCCTCAAACAAACAGTAAATGCATTATATATCATCTATAAACCCATGCTCCGGGCTTTTACCTCCAAATTAAGCAAAGGTAAATATTTACAATACACTGTTACACGTTTTCTTTTTTATCAATAAACATGTTATTTCAAACACAACGGGCAATGTTTCCTCACATTCACTGAATCACTAGAATGAAACATTCAGCAGCTCTGTTTACAATTCTGACGGAAAGGAATACCAGCAATTTACTGGCAAACATTTGATTTCACTCCGGGTTTTACTCCAGGCTTAAAAAATTTATTTAATGTAACAATCCACTCTGGGTGCCTCTATCTTAGCTCCCTGTCAGTCATTGTTATAAGCTCCACCCTTTACATCTGGCAGTCAGTATTGAGAGCGATAGATAGATAGATAGATAGATAGATAGATACTGTATAGATAGATGGATAATTGATATATACTGTATAGCTAGATGATAGATAGATAGATAGATAGATAGATAGATAGATAGATAGATAGATAGATAGACAGAGAGAGGATATATAGAGAGAGGATAGATAGATAGATAGATAGATAGATAGATAGATAGATAGATAGACAGATAATAGATCGATACTGTATAGATAGATAGATAGATAGATTGATAGATAGATAATGTATAGCTATATAAATAGATAGAGTGTAAATAGATAGATAGTGTATAGATATATAGATAGATAGAGTGTAAATAGATAGATAGATAATCGCTAGCTAGCTAGATAAATATATAGATATTGTATAGATAGATAGTTATATAGATAGTGTATAGATATATAAATAGATAGATAGAGTGTAAATAGATAGATAGATAGTGTATAGATAGATAGATAGACAGATAGAGTGTAAATAGATAGATAATGTATAGATAGATAGATAGATAGATAGATAAATAGTGTATAGATAGAGTGTAGATATATAAATAGATAGAGTGTAAATAGATAGATAGATAGTGTATAGATAGATAGACAGACAGACAGATAGAGTGTAAATAGATAGACAGACAGACGGATGGACGGACGGACGGACAGACAGATAGAGTGTAAATAGATAGATAATGTATAGATAGATAGATAGATAGATAAATAGTGTATAGATAGATAGAGTATAGATATATAAATAGATAGATAGAGTGTAAATAGATAGATAGGTAAATAGACAGACAGATTGAGAGATAGACAGATAGACAGACAGACAGATAGACAGATAGACAGACAGATAGACAGTGTATAGATAGTGCTGTTTCAGTTGAGGTACTGATGGCCGTATGGGCCTTTTGCTCTTTATCCCCAGTCAGGGTTTGCGTTTCTGTATTTATACTAACATGAGACAGAGAGAGCGCGGCCATCATCTGTTTCACTGCGGGGGCCTCTAGCAAGTGACAACTACATGTTCCATTCAGAGCAGCCAATATTTGTTTTCCAAGACCTTGGACTGCTTTTACTCTGACCCACAGGTCCAGTTCAGCTGCTGAACACAGGCACCAAGCCATCTTGGCTCATTTTAAGGCTACCAGCCAGCGAGGGTTTAACCCATTCCATGCTTGGCTGAGCCCTGGGTCCAGGATTGCTGTGAATGAAACTCGAGTTGTTTAAATGTGGCATTATTCTGACAATTTAATTATAATACGATCAATTTCCTGCTTTCAAGACTTTGGAGACAACAAACCAGTAATTAGAATTGGCATCTAAAGTATACTAGTTATATCCTTTATGAAAATGGTAAAATCTAAACATTCTTGGAGTTAATGTTTCTGCATTGAATACTAAGGAAGATACAAGCTAATACTATTATTTGATTCACTGCATTACTTTCCTATTCTGCAATAAAACGTTCACATATAATATTACAGATTATAAAATGTCACCCAGACACGGGAGATCTGTGCCTCTCCCAAAATGCCTTGCAAACCCTCACGTAAACTACGATAGCATTTTTACCAGAGTTCTCCTAAGCTTCATTTCTGTGGGTGAAATCTGATTTATTATTTAGACCAATGCACAGGTTAGGATTTAAATAAATCGTATGCCCTAGTTGCTCCTTCAAGACTTGTCAGATTCATTCTGGCATAAGAAGCCTTTTGAAAAGCTGTGAATGAGAAATTCAACACGTTATTAATTTATATGTCGCTTTTTTCACTCATTTCATTTAATATTATATTTTAAGAATCATTTTCTCTCAGATTCAGGAAATTGATATTGTAATAGTTACTTTGTGGAATTCCAAAAATCCACCTGCATTCTGTGGATCCAAACAGCAGAGGACATTGTAGAGTTTGAATAGCTGGTGGGTCACTGAAAGGGAATCGCCCCAAGATAACGTTGCTGTAGTGGTTATAGTCACAATGTATCCTCCATTTTTGAAACAATTAATAGGAGATAATAATCGTTTAAATTACCGTTTCAAGTAAACTCCTAATTTAGTTTTGACTTCACTTTATGGTAAACAGAATCGTTTTTCTCCCTTTCTTTTAAATATATTTTTTCTATAAAGGAACACTACAGGGTTAGGAACACGAACATGTACTAAATCTAACACAAGCGTATTGCTGACCCTATTGTTTTAAAACAACCATCTAACTCCCTTGCCCCCCTTACGTCCCTAAATATAGTAAAATCTTACCTTTATTGCAGTCTGCAGCTGCTGGCTCTGCCCTTGATCTGCCTGCTTGGCTGACATCATCAGAAATTGTGGTCTAATCCAATCACAATGCCTCCCCATAGGATTGGCTGAGACTGACAAAGAGACAGATCAGGGCCAGAGCCAGCACAAAGCAAACACAGCCCTGGCCAATCAGCGTCTCCTCATTGAATCAATGAATCTCTATGAGGAAAGTTCAGTGTCTGCATGCAGAGGTTGGAGACTCTGAATGTCAGTCACACTGTGCAGCACTGCCACAGGAAGCACCTCTAGTAGCTATCTGAGGAGTGGCTGGTGGAGTTATCACTAGGCTGTAATGTAAACACTGCATTTTCTCCCCCCAAAAAAACAAAACTGTATTTAAAGCAAAAAGCCTGAAGGGAATAATTCTACTTACCAGAACAAATTCAATAAGCTGTAGTTGTTCTGGTGAGTATAGTGTCCCTTTAATTATATATTATTAGAGCTTTATAATTAATATTTCCATAATTTTTTTTCTTAATTTCCTTATTTTTCCATACATTAAATATTCCATGACTTAATATAAGTTTTTTATCACATGTATTCTCTTTTTATTTTTATGTTTATATATTTAAATAAACATAAAAATAGAGAAGAAGAGTCTGCGCTGACTCAATTGAGCAGCAACCCTGAAAGGGAATCCCTCACAAAACCCTTTAAGGAAAAAAGATACAGAGAAAGGAGTTGAGGGCTGCGCTTAGCAAAAGATAGACAAAACAAGGTAAAAATAAATGGAGATAAAAAACAATAATAAGTTTATCCACATATAAGAAAAGTATAAGTTAAAACAATTCTCACTGATGTGCAGTGATATAATATAAGTCCTCAAATGTCACTCCGTCCTTATGGTGGGTGGTCCATATATGTGAAGACAAAATGAGAGAAGAGAGGCTTCCAATGGTGAAATATTGTATGTCCAAAATATAATATATATTCAAAGGAAAAGGTATTTCACTCACATTTGTTGGAGCTTTATCCAGCTCTCGGAGAGAAGGCACTTAGTGGTTTGATCCCCACTATCGGATATACTGAACAATTGATCTGTCCGTCCGGTTTGGAGTTTCTTTAGTGTAGGCTAGGACCTACTCAGATGTGCAATATTCGTTATGCTGGGGAGATAGGTCCGCCTTTCCGGTTTTGGATGATAGGTGTCCACGAGATATATAAAACAGCAGATAGTGCTCTCAGTATGAATAACACAGTAATATGTATAAGTCAATTATACTTACAAAAATAGAGCAGACTGATACTGCTCTATTCCCACAGCGCTGGTGGAATTATCCCCACCTCAGGATTTCTTTGAACGGGATGCACTCCAGTGGTAGATGATAAAATAATACAGTTAAAATAAAAATAAAAGAGATAAAGTGATAAAATAATATAAAATAATTGTATATAATAAAAATATGCCAGGGGTAAAAAAAATAGATAAAAGTGTATAGAGTACAATAAAATAAGTAAAAAATTGGTCCTGTATTGGAAGGTAACCAAAAAGTAACTTTTATTGACTAAAAGATTATAAGTGTATTTATTTTTACCTTGTTTTGTCTATCTTTTGCTAAGCGCAGCCCTCAACTCCTTTCTCTGTAATTTAAATAAACATGTATTGCTTTTAGATTGATGCTACTGACTGTAATAAGGACATTGCAATTCTATATTTTTTTTTTTTTTTTTTAATTTTACTATTATTTTGTAAAATGAAATCCAACACCAAAGACTGGCATAAACCTTAATCCACCAGAATAGTAGGAGATATAGTACAAAGTAAGGACTGTGTGGAATTCCAGGCACGTTGGCATGTGTGAAGTTATTGGTCAGTTGTTCTGTCATGCTCGGGTTAGGAGTTAATGACAGGATGCAGAATCATATATAGACTCGCTCCTATGTGGAAGGGGAGTGATAAATATACGAGAGAGCAGGATTATTATAGTGCCCTTTTCAGGGTTAGTAACAACTCTCATCGTACTCAGCCAACCTGCAGACGTGTTCACATTTACCAAGCTGTGCAGAATTACTTCCCTCAATCTCCTCTGGAGCAGCTGTTGGCACAATTTGAGATTTTCCTCTTACTAAGTCATTAAGTAGAATAGTTCTGGTTCACTTCCAAATTACTGCAAATCACTATATTTAGACCTTATGTGTTTGTGTGGCCAGAGGCGCCATCAGGGGGGTGCAAGGATCCTATGTGGCCCTGGTGTGGACTGTATTGGGAATCTGTGACAGCCCAAGCCCATTACAAGTTCAGCCTTTTCTCGTTCATCATGAGGACGGCTGCACCGGGAGAAAGTGATATTGGTTAGTTAACAGTGCGGGAGGAAAGGAACTGCCCAGCAGAACCCCCTTTGCACAGCTCGCAGCCGGTGCCAGATCCCCTCTGGACCACAGGGAAACCACCCTACTGAGAAAGGGTAGACAAAAGAGGGTTGTGATTAAAACATCTTAAATTTGTGCGTGTTTCTGTCAGTGTGTATCTGTGTTTGCTGGTGTGTGTTAGCGTGTGTGTGTGCGCATTTACCACTGTGTTTCTGTAAGTGTATATGTGTATCTGTCGGTATGTTTATATGTGTCAGTGTGTGTGTGTGTGTGTGTCTACCAGTATTTATTTGTCAGTGTGTATCTGTGTTTGTTGTTGTGTGTCAGCATGTATGTGTGCATCTCACAGTATGTTTCTGTAAGTGTGTATGTGTATCTGTCGGTATGTTTATATGTGTCAGTGTGTGTGTCTACCAGTATTTATCTGTCAGTGTGTACCTGTGTTTGTTGTTGTGTGTCAGCATGTATGTGTGCATCTAACAGTATGTTTCTGTAAGTGTGTATGTGTATCTGTCGATATATTTATTTGTGTCAGTGTGTGTGTGTCTACCAGTATGTATCTGTCAGTCTGTATCTGTTGTTGTGTGTTGGGTGTGTACGTTTGTCTGTGCACGGCTGTCGGCATGTGTGTGTATGTTTGCCACGGTGTGTCTGTCTAGCAGTGAGTACTGGTATCTGTGTGGCAGTGTGTATCTGTCAATGTGTATTAAGTGTCTGTGTGTGTTATCTACTGCATGTGTCAGTGTGTGTGAGAATGCATGTATGGATCGTGGGTTTGTAAGGGTCCCCAAGTGTTCGGAATGAAAGCCCTGTGTGTGGCTCTTTCTACAACAGACACATTTCCTTATCAATGTTTTACTCCAAATGTAAAAAAAAAATTAATTTGACAAGATATAGATTTTTAAGGGATTGTTAAAAATTATTAAAGCAGCAATGACAGTTTTTTCACAGCAGAGCATCATGGGATATATATTTCACAACATTATTTATTGTTACTGGTATTTTTAAAGCGCCAACAGATTCCGCAGTGCTGTACAATTAGTGGAGAACGAACAATATACACAGACAAATTCAAGAGGTAGAGAGAGCCCTGCCCGTAAACTGATACAAGAGGTAGAGAGAGCCCTGCCCGTAATCTTATACAAGAGGTAGAGAGAGCCCTGCCCGTAATCTTATACAAAAGATAGAGAGAGCCCTGCCCGTAATCTGATACAAGAGGTAGAGAGAGCCCTGCCCGTAATCTGATACAAGAGGTAGAGAGAGCCCTGCCGTAATCTGATACAAGAGGTAGAGAGAGCCCTGCCCGTAAACTGATACAAGAGATAGAGAGAGCCCTGCCCGTAAACTGATACAAGAGGTAGAGAGAGCTCTGCCCGTAAAATGATACAAGAGATAGAGAGAGCCCTGCCCGTAATCTGATACAAGAGATAGAGAGAGCCCTGCCGTAATCTGATACAAGAGGAAGAGAGAGCCCTGCCGTAATCTGATACAAGAGATAGAGAGAGCCCTGCCCGTAATCTGATACAAGAGATAGAGAGAGCCCTGCCCGTAAACTGATACAAGAGGAAGAGAGAGCCTGACCGTAATCTGATACAAGAGGTAGAGAGAGCCCTGCCCGTAAACTGATACAAGAGATAGAGAGAGCCCTGCCCGTAATCTGATACAAGAGATAGAGAGAGCCCTGCCGTAATCTGATACAAGAGATAGAGAGAGCCCTGCCCGTAAACTGATACAAGAGATAGAGAGCCCTGCCCCGTGAAATTACAAGAGATAGAGAGGCCACGTAAACTGATACAGAGGAAGAGAGCCTGCCGTAATCTGATACAAAATTAGAAGGCCACCCGTAATCTGATACAAGGAAAGAGAGCCTGCCCGTAAAACTGGCTGAGGAAGAGAGCCCAGCGTGAGGTGATACAAGAGGAAGAAGAGCCCTGCCCGTAATCTGATACAAAGGAAGAGAGAGCCCAGCACGTAAACTGATACAAGAGGAAGAGAGAGCCCTGCCCGTAATCTGATACAAAGGAAGAGAGAGCCCTGCCCGTAATCTGATACAAGAGGTAGAGAGAGCCCTGCCCGTAAACTGATACAAGAGGAAGAGAGAGCCCTGCCCGTAATCTGATACAAAGGAAGAGAGAGCCCAGCACGTAAACTGATACAAGAGGAAGAGAGAGCCCTGCCCGTAATCTGATACAGAGGTAGAGAGAGCCCTGACGTAAACTGATACAAGAGGTAGAGAAAGCCCTGCCTGTAAACTGATACAAAAGATAGAGAGAGCCCTGCCCGTAAAATGACACAAGAGGTAGAGAGAGCCCTGCCCGTAATCTGATACAAGAGGTAGAGAGAGCCCTGCCCGTAAACTGATACAAGAGGAAGAGAGAGCCCTGCCCGTAATCTGATACAAGAGTTAGAGAGAGCCCTGCCCGTAATCTGAAACAAGAGTTAGAGAGAGCCCTGCCCGTAAACTGATACAAGAGGTAGAGAGAGCCCTGCCCGTAAACTGATACAAGAGGAAGAGAGAGCCCTGCCCGTAATCTGATACAAGAGGTAGAGAGAGCCCTGCCCGTAATCTGAAACAAGAGGAAGAGAGAGCCCTGCCTGTAAACTGATACAAGAGGTAGAGAGAGCCCTGCCCAGAACTGATACAAAGGAAGAGAGAGCCCTGCCCGTGACCCGATACAAGAGATAGAGAGCCCTGCCCAGAAACTGATACAAAGGGAAGAGAGAGCCCTGTCTGAACTGATACAAGTGTAGAGAGAGCCCCACAGAACTGATACAAGAGGAAAGAGAGCCCTGCCCAGAATCTGATACAAGAGGTGGAGAGAGACTCGGCCCGTGAACTGATACAAAGGAAGAGAGAGCCCTGCCTGTAATCACAAGAGGTAGAGAGGAGCCCTGCCTGTAATTCCGATGGCAGATAGAGAGAGCCCCACCAGAATCTGATACAAGAGGTAGAGAGAGCCCTGCCTTAATCTGATTCAGAGGACAAGAGAGCCCTGCCTGTAATCTGATACAAGAGGCAGAGAGAGCCCCTGCCCGTAATCTGATACAAGAGATAGAGAGAGCCCTGCCCGTAAACTGATACAAAGGGAAGAGAGAGCACTGCCCGTAATCTGATACAAGAGATAGAGAGAGCCCTGCCCGTAAACTGATACAAAGGAAGAGAGAGCCCTGCCCGTAATCTGATACAAGAGGTAGAGAGAGCCCTGCCCGTAAACTGATACAAGAGGTAGAGAGAGCTTTGCCCGTAATCTGATACAAGAGGTAGAGAGAGACCTGCCCGTAAACTGATACAAAGGAAGAGAGAGCCCTGCCTGTAATCTGATACAAGAGGTAGAGAGAGCCCTGCCCGTAATCTGATACAAGAGATAGAGAGAGCCCTGCCCGTAATCTGATACAAGAGGTAGAGAGAGCCCTGCCTGTAATCTGATACAAGAGGACAAGAGAGCCCTGCCTGTAATCTGATACAAGAGGTAGAGAGAGCCCTGCCCGAAATCTGATACAAGAGATAGAGAGAGCCCTGCCCGTAATCTGATACAAGAGTTAGAGAGAGCCCTGCCCGTAAACTGATACAAGAGATAGAGAGAGCCCTGCCCATAAACTGATACAAGAGGTAGAGAGAGCCCTGCCTGTAAACTGATACAAGAGGTAGAGAGAGCCTGCCCGTAAACTGATACAAGAGGAAGAGAGAGCCCTGCCCGTAATCTGATACAAAGGAAGAGAGAGCCCTGCCCGTAATCTGATACAAGAGATAGAGTGAGCCCTGCCCGTAATCTGATACAAGAGGTAGAGAGAGCCCTGCCCGTAAACTGATACAAGAGGAAGAGAGAGCCCTGCCCGTAATCTGATACAAAGGAAGAGAGAGCCCAGCACGTAAACTGATACAAGAGGAAGAGAGAGCCCTGCCCGTAATCTGATACAAAGGAAGAGAGAGCCCTGCACGTAATCTGATACAAGAGGACAAGAGAGCCCTGCCCGTAATCTGATACAAGAGATAGAGAGAGCCCTGCCCATAAACTGATACAAGAGGTAGAGAGAGCCCTGCCTGTAAACTGATACAAGAGGTAGAGAGAGCCCTGCCCGTAAACTGATACAAGAGGTAGAGAGAGCCCTGCCCGTAAACTGATACAAGAGGTAGAGAGAGCCCTGCCCGTAAACTGATACAAGAGATAGAGAGAGCCCTGCCCATAAACTGATACAAGAGGTAGAGAGAGCCCTGCCCGTAATCTGATACAAGAGATAGAGAGAGCCCTGCCCATAAACTGATACAAGAGGTAGAGAGAGCCCTGCCTGTAAACTGATACAAGAGATAGAGAGAGCTCTGCCCGTAAACTGATACAAGAGGTAGAGAGAGCCCTGCCTGTAAACTGATACAAGAGGTAGAGAGAGCCCTGCCCGTAAACTGATACAAGAGATAGAGAGAGCTCTGCCCGTAAACTGATACAAGAGGTAGGGAGAGCCCTGCCCGTAAACTGATACAAGAGGTAGAGAGAGCCCTGCCTGTAAACTGATACAAGAGATAGAGAGAGCCCTGCCCGTAATCTGATACAAGAGGTAGAGAGAGCCCTGCCCGTAATCTGATACAAGAGGTAGAGAGAGCCCTGCCTGTAAACTGATACAAGAGGTAGAGAGAGCCCTGCCTGTAAACTGATACAAGAGATAGAGAGAGCCCTGCCCGTAATCTGATACAAGAGGTAGAGAGAGCCCTGCCCGTAAGATGATACAAGAGGTAGAGAGAGCCCTGCCCATAAACTGATACAAGAGGTACAGAGAGCCCTGCCTGTAAACTGATACAAGAGATAGAGAGAGCCCTGCCCGTAATCTGATACAAGAGGTAGAGAGAGCCCTACCCGTAAACTGATACAAGAGGTAGAGAGAGCCCTGCCCGTAATCTGATACAAGAGGTAGAGAGAGCCCTGCCCGTAAGATGATACAAGAGGTAGAGAGAGCCCTGCCCGTAAACTGATACAAGAGGTAGAGAGAGCCCTGCCTGTAATCTGATACAAGAGATAGAGAGAGCCCTGCCCGTAAACTGATACAAGAGGTAGAGAGAGCCCTGCCCGTAATCTGATACAAGAGGTAGAGAGAGCCCTGCCCATAAAATGATACAAGAGATAGAGAGAGCCCTGCCCGTAAACTGATACAAGAGGTAGAGAGAGCCCTGCCTGTAATCTGATACAAGAGGTAGAGAGAGCCCTGCCCGTAATCTGATACAAGAGTTAGAGAGAGCCCTGCCCGTAATCTGATACAAGAGATAGAGAGAGCTCTGCCCGTAAACTGATACAAGAGGTAGAGAGAGCCCTGCCCGTAAACTGATACAAGAGGTAGAGAGAGTCCTGCCCGTAATCTGATACAAGAGATAGAGAGAGCCCTGCCCGTAAACTGATACAAAGGAAGAGAGAGCCCTGCCCGTAATCTGATACAAGAGGTAGAGAGAGCCCTGCCCGTAAACTGATACAAGAGGTAGAGAGAGCTTTGCCCGTAATCTGATACAAGAGGTAGAGAGAGACCTGCCCGTAAACTGATACAAAGGAAGAGAGAGCCCTGCCTGTAATCTGATACAAGAGGTAGAGAGAGCCCTGCCCGTAATCTGATACAAGAGATAGAGAGAGCCCTGCCCGTAATCTGATACAAGAGGTAGAGAGAGCCCTGCCTGTAATCTGATACAAGAGGACAAGAGAGCCCTGCCTGTAATCTGATACAAGAGGTAGAGAGAGCCCTGCCCGAAATCTGATACAAGAGATAGAGAGAGCCCTGCCCGTAATCTGATACAAGAGTTAGAGAGAGCCCTGCCCGTAAACTGATACAAGAGATAGAGAGAGCCCTGCCCATAAACTGATACAAGAGGTAGAGAGAGCCCTGCCTGTAAACTGATACAAGAGGTAGAGAGAGCCTGCCCGTAAACTGATACAAGAGGAAGAGAGAGCCCTGCCCGTAATCTGATACAAAGGAAGAGAGAGCCCTGCCCGTAATCTGATACAAGAGATAGAGTGAGCCCTGCCCGTAATCTGATACAAGAGGTAGAGAGAGCCCTGCCCGTAAACTGATACAAGAGGAAGAGAGAGCCCTGCCCGTAATCTGATACAAAGGAAGAGAGAGCCCAGCACGTAAACTGATACAAGAGGAAGAGAGAGCCCTGCCCGTAATCTGATACAAAGGAAGAGAGAGCCCTGCACGTAATCTGATACAAGAGGACAAGAGAGCCCTGCCCGTAATCTGATACAAGAGATAGAGAGAGCCCTGCCCATAAACTGATACAAGAGGTAGAGAGAGCCCTGCCTGTAAACTGATACAAGAGGTAGAGAGAGCCCTGCCCGTAAACTGATACAAGAGGTAGAGAGAGCCCTGCCCGTAAACTGATACAAGAGGTAGAGAGAGCCCTGCCCGTAAACTGATACAAGAGATAGAGAGAGCCCTGCCCATAAACTGATACAAGAGGTAGAGAGAGCCCTGCCCGTAATCTGATACAAGAGATAGAGAGAGCCCTGCCCATAAACTGATACAAGAGGTAGAGAGAGCCCTGCCTGTAAACTGATACAAGAGATAGAGAGAGCTCTGCCCGTAAACTGATACAAGAGGTAGAGAGAGCCCTGCCCGTAAACTGATACAAGAGGTAGAGAGAGTCCTGCCCGTAATCTGATACAAGAGATAGAGAGAGCCCTGCCCGTAAACTGATACAAAGGAAGAGAGAGCCCTGCCCGTAATCTGATACAAGAGGTAGAGAGAGCCCTGCCTGTAAACTGATACAAGAGATAGAGAGAGCCCTGCCCGTAATCTGATACAAGAGGTAGAGAGAGCCCTGCCCGTAATCACAATGCAAAGTAGAGCCCACACCTTAAACTATTACAAGAAGGTAGAAGAGCCTGCCTTAAGCAGTTCAAGTAGAGAGAGCTGCCGTAATCACAATTACAAGAGGTAGAGAGAGCCCTGCCCGTAAGATGATACAAGAGGTAGAGAGAGCCCTGCCCATAAACTGATACAAGAGGTACAGAGAGCCCTGCCTGTAAACTGATACAAGAGATAGAGAGAGCCCTGCCCGTAATCTGATACAAGAGGTAGAGAGAGCCCTACCCGTAAACTGATACAAGAGGTAGAGAGAGCCCTGCCCGTAATCTGATACAAGAGGTAGAGAGAGCCCTGCCCGTAAGATGATACAAGAGGTAGAGAGAGCCCTGCCCGTAAACTGATACAAGAGGTAGAGAGAGCCCTGCCTGTAATCTGATACAAGAGATAGAGAGAGCCCTGCCCGTAAACTGATACAAGAGGTAGAGAGAGCCCTGCCCGTAATCTGATACAAGAGGTAGAGAGAGCCCTGCCCATAAGATGATACAAGAGATAGAGAGAGCCCTGCCCGTAAACTGATACAAGAGGTAGAGAGAGCCCTGCCTGTAATCTGATACAAGAGGTAGAGAGAGCCCTGCCCGTAATCTGATACAAGAGTTAGAGAGAGCCCTGCCCGTAATCTGATACAAGAGATAGAGAGAGCTCTGCCCGTAAACTGATACAAGAGGTAGAGAGAGCCCTGCCCGTAAACTGATACAAGAGGTAGAGAGAGTCCTGCCCGTAATCTGATACAAGAGATAGAGAGAGCCCTGCCCGTAAACTGATACAAAGGAAGAGAGAGCCCTGCCCGTAATCTGATACAAGAGGTAGAGAGAGCCCTGCCCGTAAACTGATACAAGAGGTAGAGAGAGCTTTGCCCGTAATCTGATACAAGAGGTAGAGAGAGACCTGCCCGTAAACTGATACAAAGGAAGAGAGAGCCCTGCCTGTAATCTGATACAAGAGGTAGAGAGAGCCCTGCCCGTAATCTGATACAAGAGATAGAGAGAGCCCTGCCCGTAATCTGATACAAGAGGTAGAGAGAGCCCTGCCTGTAATCTGATACAAGAGGACAAGAGAGCCCTGCCTGTAATCTGATACAAGAGGTAGAGAGAGCCCTGCCCGAAATCTGATACAAGAGATAGAGAGAGCCCTGCCCGTAATCTGATACAAGAGTTAGAGAGAGCCCTGCCCGTAAACTGATACAAGAGATAGAGAGAGCCCTGCCCATAAACTGATACAAGAGGTAGAGAGAGCCCTGCCTGTAAACTGATACAAGAGGTAGAGAGAGCCTGCCCGTAAACTGATACAAGAGGAAGAGAGAGCCCTGCCCGTAATCTGATACAAAGGAAGAGAGAGCCCTGCCCGTAATCTGATACAAGAGATAGAGTGAGCCCTGCCCGTAATCTGATACAAGAGGTAGAGAGAGCCCTGCCCGTAAACTGATACAAGAGGAAGAGAGAGCCCTGCCCGTAATCTGATACAAAGGAAGAGAGAGCCCAGCACGTAAACTGATACAAGAGGAAGAGAGAGCCCTGCCCGTAATCTGATACAAAGGAAGAGAGAGCCCTGCACGTAATCTGATACAAGAGGACAAGAGAGCCCTGCCCGTAATCTGATACAAGAGATAGAGAGAGAGCCCTGCCCATAAACTGATACAAGAGGTAGAGAGAGCCCTGCCTGTAAACTGATACAAGAGGTAGAGAGAGCCCTGCCCGTAAACTGATACAAGAGGTAGAGAGAGCCCTGCCCGTAAACTGATACAAGAGGTAGAGAGAGCCCTGCCCGTAAACTGATACAAGAGATAGAGAGAGCCCTGCCCATAAACTGATACAAGAGGTAGAGAGAGCCCTGCCCGTAATCTGATACAAGAGATAGAGAGAGCCCTGCCCATAAACTGATACAAGAGGTAGAGAGAGCCCTGCCTGTAAACTGATACAAGAGATAGAGAGAGCTCTGCCCGTAAACTGATACAAGAGGTAGAGAGAGCCCTGCCTGTAAACTGATACAAGAGGTAGAGAGAGCCCTGCCCGTAAACTGATACAAGAGATAGAGAGAGCCCTGCCCGTAAACTGATACAAGAGGTAGGGAGAGCCCTGCCCGTAAACTGATACAAGAGGTAGAGAGAGCCCTGCCTGTAAACTGATACAAGAGATAGAGAGAGCCCTGCCCGTAATCTGATACAAGAGGTAGAGAGAGCCCTGCCCGTAATCTGATACAAGAGGTAGAGAGAGCCCTGCCTGTAAACTGATACAAGAGGTAGAGAGAGCCCTGCCTGTAAACTGATACAAGAGATAGAGAGAGCCCTGCCCGTAATCTGATACAAGAGGTAGAGAGAGCCCTGCCCGTAAGATGATACAAGAGGTAGAGAGAGCCCTGCCCATAAACTGATACAAGAGGTACAGAGAGCCCTGCCTGTAAACTGATACAAGAGATAGAGAGAGCCCTGCCCGTAATCTGATACAAGAGGTAGAGAGAGCCCTACCCGTAAACTGATACAAGAGGTAGAGAGAGCCCTGCCCGTAATCTGATACAAGAGGTAGAGAGAGCCCTGCCCGTAAGATGATACAAGAGGTAGAGAGAGCCCTGCCCGTAAACTGATACAAGAGGTAGAGAGAGCCCTGCCTGTAATCTGATACAAGAGATAGAGAGAGCCCTGCCCGTAAACTGATACAAGAGGTAGAGAGAGCCCTGCCCGTAATCTGATACAAGAGGTAGAGAGAGCCCTGCCCATAAAATGATACAAGAGATAGAGAGAGCCCTGCCCGTAAACTGATACAAGAGGTAGAGAGAGCCCTGCCTGTAATCTGATACAAGAGGTAGAGAGAGCCCTGCCCGTAATCTGATACAAGAGTTAGAGAGAGCCCTGCCCGTAATCTGATACAAGAGATAGAGAGAGCTCTGCCCGTAAACTGATACAAGAGGTAGAGAGAGCCCTGCCCGTAAACTGATACAAGAGGTAGAGAGAGTCCTGCCCGTAATCTGATACAAGAGATAGAGAGAGCCCTGCCCGTAAACTGATACAAAGGAAGAGAGAGCCCTGCCCGTAATCTGATACAAGAGGTAGAGAGAGCCCTGCCCGTAAACTGATACAAGAGGTAGAGAGAGCTTTGCCCGTAATCTGATACAAGAGGTAGAGAGAGACCTGCCCGTAAACTGATACAAAGGAAGAGAGAGCCCTGCCTGTAATCTGATACAAGAGGTAGAGAGAGCCCTGCCTGTAATCTGATACAAGAGATAGAGAGAGCCCTGCCCGTAATCTGATACAAGAGGTAGAGAGAGCCCTGCCTGTAATCTGATACAAGAGGACAAGAGAGCCCTGCCTGTAATCTGATACAAGAGGTAGAGAGAGCCCTGCCCGAAATCTGATACAAGAGATAGAGAGAGCCCTGCCCGTAATCTGATACAAGAGTTAGAGAGAGCCCTGCCCGTAAACTGATACAAGAGATAGAGAGAGCCCTGCCCATAAACTGATACAAGAGGTAGAGAGAGCCCTGCCTGTAAACTGATACAAGAGGTAGAGAGAGCCTGCCCGTAAACTGATACAAGAGGAAGAGAGAGCCCTGCCCGTAATCTGATACAAAGGAAGAGAGAGCCCTGCCCGTAATCTGATACAAGAGGATAGAGAGAGCCCTGCCCGTAAACTGATACAAGAGGATAGAGAGAGCCCTGCCCGTAAACTGATACAAGAGGTAGAGAGAGCCCTGCCCGTAATCTGAAACAAGAGATAGAGAGAGCCCTGCCCGTAAACTGATACAAGAGATAGAGAGAGCCCTGCCCGTAAACTGATACAAGAGGTAGAGAGAGCCCTGCCCGTAAACTGATACAAGAGATAGAGAGAGCCCTGCCCGTAATCTGAAACAAGAGATAGAGAGAGCCCTGCCCGTAATCTGAAACAAGAGATAGAGAGAGCCCTGCCCGTAAACTGAAATCTAGCCATTGAAGCTCTTTTATTCAAAGTGTTTAGCTAGATAGTCTTTGAGCTTACAACATCTTTAATTCCAGAGCCTGTCCAGCCTTACAGCCATCGGCATGGCAAACATACAAATCGCTCTTCATTAAGGGGTCTATTTACTAAACAGAATTTGGCCAGATCTCAGTAATCAGCCGTCAGCAAATATTTAAGCCAATTTATTTAAAAACATATTCACTAAATAGTAAATGGTGGTGAATCAGCAGTCTAAGCTAAAATTTCTGTATATTTTAGACTCCATCTAGAGTACTTTCATCAAATTACTATATATCCTCAATATGTACTGAATCGTAGTTCAAATTCAAGGTGCAAATACTTCCCATAATCGCACGCTTGGTTATTAAGTGTTCTTGCATAGCAAGACCACTTAATGTTATCTCACATATATATTATTATTATTAAGTGTTCTTGCATAGCAAGACCACTTAATGTTATCTCACATATATATTATTATTATTATTATTATTATTATTATAGCAAAATTTGCCACCCTAACTCCTCCCACAGTTTTTACACTACATAGACAAAAATCTACCAAAACGTGCAGATTGTTCCCGATCGGATTGCTATTACTTTGTGGAACGTTTCGCCGAATGGTTCACGGAATATCGTCGTTTTTGTGGCGAAATTTGTCCCATAGGAATGAATGGCAAAGCTAGAGTGGGAGCTGGCAAAAGCTGAAAAATCAGGACATGATTTCTAAACTGCCACCACTCCCTCATTTTCAGGTCCACCTACACAAATCTTATATCAAAACGTTCAGCTATCCCTGCTGCCACTAAACATGTCAACGGCTAAGCCATAGTCCTGATAGTTTTCACAATATAATCATTTGTTTGCAACTAACGCCGTCCATTGACTTTCATTGAAACTTCACTCTGCAAAGCTCAAATTTGAAGTGCAATTTCTAAACTGCGACTGTGCCTTCATTTTTAATACTTCAGAGACATACTATGCATCAAAATGTAGGTCTGGGTCTTGTGATTCTCACAATATAAAGCTCTTCACTGTAGGAGTTATAGTTTTTAAGATACGACCGTTAGAAGATGGCAACCGCCAAAATACTCTGACCTGTGTCAAGCTGCAGCAGCAAGTGATGTCATAGACAGGGCCTTTTGAACACCTGCTAATGTTTTTTATAAATGTATGGTTTAATGTAACTGTGCAACAACGTTGCAATTAAATGTGCTATGTAAATGATAACAGTTACTCCGCCCACTCCAGGTGTAGACTACTGGTGGAGGCAAGAACACTTCACACAATTTCCCCAGAAATTGTAGCTTTTCTAGTTGTTTTTACACTTGTTAGAAAAGGTCTCTCAGCTGTGAGGGTCTTCACCCCCTCATATCCCTGTGCTCACTGAGCCCATTGCAAGCCTTGGTCTATTTAAGGAATATCTTAGATCTCAGCATTGACCTTCTAATTTACACTCATTGACTCCAACCTGCCTTTTACAAACCTTCAGAGTTTATCTAAACTCTGCCTCTGGCTATTTCTCGAGGTTACAGCTGTTACACCTCAAGGAGACTTTCTTATTCCATTTAAAAGTACTTCTTAAAGATACCAAACCCATCGTCACCTGCTTTCCTAAAATATAAGCTGCCAAAACTATATTATCTCTACAAAAACAAGTATAAATAGAGAATCAACATTGATCGTACAACTTGTCTTTCACGCGATATACCTTGACAAGTACAACAGATTAAAAACATTGTGAATATCTGTGTGAAACTATTCTTTTTTTAGCTTCACTATAAAGTAATAATTCTTGTAATTAATAGTACAACCTTATTGCTGTCATCACAAAATCTGAGATAGCATTCAGTAGTAAGTTATAACACAGATAACCATAATATTGAAAGCCACTGGAGCACCACTTGATAAACTTCAGGTTGTCCCCCGTCTATATGTTACTAGGCTTTCAACAGAGACAGACATACATACTGTGACGGACGCTCTGGCACTCCGACCGAGTACCTCCGCCAATCGATGCTCCTAGTGCTTGCCGAGGACTCCAAGCACTCCAACCGACACCATCAGCACTGCAGACTTATCCCATCCCCCAAGCATGAGCCAAGGCTTCAAGAAAGGGTCAAGCAGGTCTGTTTAATGAGCACCAAAGCAACAGCCCTCATGCAGCAAAAACAACTCCTCCTCAGAGGAAAACAAACTGACAGTTAAAGACAGACAGCGTTTGGAAATATGACAGTTATTAAGGGTTTAAACTGGTGTTCTAAGGGGGGGGGGGGAGGGGTAACAAAACAGTCAAACTAAGTCCATAAAAGAGGGGGTTTCTTCACACTCTGCATCCGAAGTGCCATAGCAAAACTGCAGATCCTTTGTCAGAGCATTTAAAGGGCCAGAACCAGTCTAATAAAATCCACTATGCCCAAATAACGTATTTAAAGGGTAAAATCTCCCAGGGGCCATAGTCATACGGCAAGAGGCTGGTAATTAGTCCTCTCCACGCACAAGTGGCAAAGGGCACTTCGTCACACATGCTCTATAAACGTAGTGTCCCATTAGCCTACTTCCATTGTAAAGTATAGCTTGGAGGAAAGACGAGACGGGGGGATATGATAGAAACATTTAAATATATAAAGGGAATCAACACAGTAAAGGAGGAGACTATATTTAAAAGAAGGAAAAACTACCACAACAAGAGGACATAGTCTTAAATTAGAGGGACAAAGGTTTAAAAATAATATCAGGAAGTATTACTTTACTGAGAGTGTAGTGGATGCATGGAATAGCCTTCCAGCTGAAGTGGTAGAGGTTAACACAGTAAAGGAGTTTAAGCATGGGTGGGATAGGCATAAGGCTATCCTAACTATAAGATAAGACTAGGGACTAATGAAAGTATTTAGAAAATTGGGCAGACTAGATGGGCCGAATGGTTCTTATCTGCCGTCACATTCTATTGCTTGCTCAGCTAGATAATTTGATGGCATAGTCCCAGCATTGCAACAGGCAAAGACTAATATAATCAAATAATATTAGCCAAAAAAGGCAGTTCGTCCAAAACGATTCGCCTGAAAAAAAAATAACGTTTCAATACAATCGTTTCTGGAGAAATCGAGCAAAAATTAACCAGTTTACTCCAAAGTATAAATACTCTGTATATATTTTGCAATAGATGTTTTCACCATTTGATTCACAGATCAGGTGAGACGTACTGAAAAAAATCTATATTTATATTTTTATTAAACACATATATAAATGTAGATTTTTTTTATTTGTAGATATTCATTTTTTTCCATCTACTGCACACTTCTCACTTGATCTGTGAATATAATCAGTATTCACATGTTAGTGAGTAACAGTGTTTGGGAAGCATGGAAACCAGCTGGTCCTCGGGGGTAAATGAGCGGTATTACTATATATTGTTACAAATGAGGAAACCTAATGGAAAGGGGAGATTGTTCGAATGAATTTTGGAAATTAAATTGAGCTGGACTTTTCCTGACTGTGGGTCCTCTGTTGTTTTTGGCGGTTATTGCTCTTATTGTCTCCACAATTTGAAATCATGTAAACTGTCGGAGTGTTGACATTGTACCATCCACTTTTCGTTTGTGAACCTGACTTCAGTGGCAGCGGACTTTTTGTTCTCAGATTCAGAGAATGAAATGCTGCCTAACACATTAGTGAATTTAATACGAAGTGCGTGTTGTACATTGTTGGCCGGCTTAAACACTAATCCTTTTATTGTAATCGGATAAAGTTTAAAAAGAAATAAACTCTATTTTGTGTTAAAGAAAATCCTGTTCATATCAGAGACCTCGTGGACCAGCTAAGAGCGAACTCATTTTGGTTCTAGTGCCTGAGGAATCTCATGCAAAGAAACAAATAAATATATTCAAATGTAAGGAGAGAGAGGTACGCAATGGCCTATAGGACGTTCCAATAGAATTTGGATCCTTTTCCAAATATAGTCATTTTCACAGCCCAAAGTGATGACTCTGACAGGTCATAAAAAGTTTTGATTGCTTCTTACATAGTGTAAAGAAAATTAGTTTTAAAATGTACAGATAGTATTGGTCACCTTATCTAATAACCAATCACACAATCTCTGTTTGTGTCGCTAAGAACTAGAAATTTATCTCATTTGAAGGCTTATCTGTAAACATCTGGAGAAGATTCATCTGCAAGTTTAATTCTGTGGAGCTAGTAGGAGAAGTTTGCAGTACATGCTGTAGCTGGAAAATCCATGAGTAACATTTTTTAACATGATAATATTTGCTGAAATACTGCCAGGGCCCATAGTTACCCCACCCTTTACGAACCACGTGCTGATAATGACTGAACCCCTTTGTTTCTGTGATGTCTTGTATGTAGCTATTCAGAACAGAGACCATGCCGTTCTTTACTGGATCCCAGCATTGACTCCTTAACGTACCAGCCTGGCATCATTTTAACCCCATCTCTGCTGAAGTTTGATCACACAAGGAGGGCTGTATATTTTATTTCTGCTGATGAGCTATTTTGAACACAAGGAGAGGTCGTGAGATTTTGAGGGATTTGGCTCCAGGCCTGGATTGACCCTATTAGAGCAAAACGGGGTCAAAACAAAGGGACACTGTATGTGTGATACGAACAGCCAGGGAGTGGGCAGTGGAGGAACTGCAGAAATCTTAATTAACCCTTTGTACTATAGTAAAGCTTTCTGCAGATTAATTTAACTCATCATTTGCTTGTCTACTAACAAAACACCCTTTGTTCCATGTCTGCCTTCCCATGTTCCCAATACAAGTGTGGTGTATTTTGCAGGGCTCAGAGAGAAAGACAAAGAGTTAATCATCAAGGTATTTGTTATAAGAGTCTCTATTTATTAGGCTTAACACAACATACCTCTGCACTTCTTGTTTTTTGCTTCAGATTGTCAGGATCACAATGCTATAACCTGTAATGGACAGGACGGGGAGGATGAAAGTAATACAAAGACCTTAGACCATCGATCTAATGAAACTAACTGGGGTATTGGCAACTCCTAGGTCAGGGCTAGGCAACCTTCAGCAATCCAGATGTTGTGGACTACATATTCCTTGATGCTTTGCCATCATTATGGGAGATGTAGTCCACATCTGGAGTGCCAAACGTTGCCTACCCCTTTTCCTAGATGGTTCAAACAGAGGCAGATAATCTGACAATGCTGACTTATTTTTCATTTATGATGTCTCATGTATGCCCCTGCTCTTCCCTTTTGCCTTGTTATACATCACCGTAGAAGACAATGGTCCCTCATATCATAATTTTCCCAGCTGATTGCTTCATAGCTCAGTTTCACTCTCCACCCCTTTCAATCTTCATATGTTGCCTCATAACTGCAGGCTTTAAGCTTAACAAGGTCCACCGTTCAACCGAATGGTCAATGCAGGTTCTCCAAAAACAGCAAGGTTTTCCCAACTAGTACTGGTTTGAGTATGGGCTTCATGGACTACCAAACCTGGAATTATATCTCTGTACTACACTGCTAATAAACAATCTTTATTGAAAAACCAAAAATCAGATCTATAATGTTCAATTCAACTTAGATCATTCTTTCCATTAGGACTGGGAAACAGACAAATGAAGTTTGTGATAGGCTCTCTATAACAACAACTTCTTAACTATAAAGATAATTTCCTGTAACCTTGAATCATGGACGTTGGCTGGAATTCTGTGGACTTTACCTTTCAAAATGGGCAAAATTGGATCTGAAATTATTTTGAGAAAAAAACCTGAGCTTTCTACTACTATCAACTAAAAATTACCCCAAATGGGCCCTTTCATTTCAACACTGAGTTGGGCTGTTTATTACATTCTGAACTGTTGGAAGTTGAAATCTAGGCAGTAATAAGCAAACTGTGACTAAACTATAGCGATGTAGAATGCAGTTTCTGGGATCCCTACTCTCTATGGTCTTCCAGCATTTACCTAATGTTCTCTTTCTTGATTTTCCAATATGTCCTAAAGTTGAGGTTCATTCAATAACCTGTGAGTTGAGACAATCTTTAGGTCCAAATAGCTGAGCTGACGAGATAAGGAACTGTGATGTTGTTCAGATTTGTCTTTTGTGACCTAAAAGTGTCCACAATTCCCTTTTGAGTCTGTCACAATTCCCAGTCTCAGGATAATCATCTCTCTCTATTATTTATTATAGACCTCAATACCTGGTCCAGCTTTCACTCCTTCTGACACACATTCTTCTGCATGAGATAAAGTCCAGTAATTCTGTGTCCAATTTCTAAATCTATTTAACACAGTGACAGTGTTCTTTAGTCCTATATTTAGAAAAGGCTCATATAATATTTATCCACACAAACGCAAGGAAAAGGAGACCCTTTCTGTGCAGAAATCAGGATGTTGCTTTTGATAATAGATTATATATTTACAGGTGAGAAATTAAGTATTTAATGGGTTTGTATTAGAACTTGACCTAAGCAGTGAGATTACTGGAACCCATGAATATCTAATTGTTTTAATTGCCCTTGGCTGAAACTAATTGATGTTGTTTAGATGATACTGAGAAGATCTGAGGTCCCTGCAATAAAGTACAATATTAATAACAATAAAAATATAAAGCCATCTGTTGTTTGGCATTTGCTAAGTATAATCACGGATGTTATATTTCATAAACGCATAGTGAATTTCAGTGGAGGCCTCTACAGACTTCCACTGCAGCCATTGAGTTCTTATCAGTAATACCAATTTTTATCTTAATTCATTCTTTTACTCCTAAATAGTGACACAACCTGCTTGCAAAGTGTAAGCACCAGAATTAGAGTAGGTTAAAATCACTGGATTGAAAGTCAGAACGTTTTTGTAAACTTGTTGCTACATTGATGCAACAGAACATTCCGTCTCACAGTACAAGATTCTATTGTTTGCAGTTCTTCCGTACCTCCGATGGTTAACCCCCACACTTACAATGCGTTCTCCTTGTGGGGTGTAGCGAAGCAAATAAAGCAATTCTCTCTTCTACTCGATCCTCGTCACCACACGATATTAGTACTGATACACAAGGTCTATCTGATGTAGTTTAGCTCTGCATTGAGTGAAGTTACTTTTGCCATTTTTAATTTAGATGACTGTAAACACCCCAGTGATAGGTTTCTTGTTGACATATGTTTTATGTGAATTAGAGTGATGTAATAATTTAAATTAAGCTGTTGTTTCTAATGTCACACGCGTTGTAATATTGTCCCAAGAGCTGCCAAAAAGCAAGATTATTTGAAAAATTCCACCCCACGCCCAGTTTAATCATTCAATCCTTGATGTGTGAGGGTTAACTTATTAACATGTTGGCACTGCCAACGTAACAGTCACAGTGGTGTGTGCTTAAACGCATAACCCGTGGGTTTCTGTTGTGAATTTCAAGGCAACCGAAGCTAACTTTTTTATTGTTTACGAGCAAATAGGCAAATACAAACCGATTCCAAAAAGTACCGATTGGAGCAAAAGGATATTTATAGATAAGCACTTCATGCAAACAGTGCAATAAAAATCCACACACCAATCTCTGAGCCCATCCCACCAAACATCCCAAGGAAGCAGTGAAACGACACATTGTATCATCGAGCCACTGACGGACAACAAGGGAGAGTGGGAAGCATAAAAATAGATGGAACGAGAGAGAGAGAATAGGAGGATAAGGCAGATTTAAGGCTTCTGTAAAAGGACGAGGCTCAATATTCTGCTTACGCCTTGAAGGAAGAAGACAGAAAGTGGAGAGGCAAAAAAGGAACTTTGAAGAAAAAAAGAGTAGACTTGGAGTAGGGAGACAGAAGCTCTTGGAGCGTAAGTTATTTCATGTGTGTGTCTCACTAAATATCTATCTCTTTGTACCCAACCCTACCCCATGTTAAGCTTCCCCATCGATCCTACCCATTCAGCCCCATTTCCCCTCTCTGTTGAGTAAGACTGATTTCCACTTGTTACATGAAGAATTATGAAGGTTTAGGTCAAACATAAAGAGACAACGTTATTTTTCAGGTAGCAGGCGGTGCTTTGGATACTGTTGTAACATAAGGTGTTTACTAATCCTGTTATTTTCAGCATTTTACACATTAAGCAACTAGTGAAAAATAATGGTCTAATTAGTCAAATTACAATCCATTAATTGTCAGAGGGATTAGGCTTGTGTAAAAGAGTGGGCCCTGAAATCAGGGGCGGATCCTGATGAGCACCACGAAGGACTGACTACTGCCCAAATTTAGATAAAAAACACAAAAAAAGCAAAGTAAGAAATCCTAGAAAACAGACAATATGTCAAAGGCGATTTAACAACTTTCATGTATCCATCCTCGTAATAACTGAATAACTTGCTGGTTTTAACACTTTAGATGCTAATGTAATGCATGATGGATGGTGCAGGAAAATACGCAGTCTCACTTTATAATCAATGAAAGAAAGGTTTATAATGGATTGAATGTGGGAAGCGCTACCCTAGCTATAGAGATGTGCATAGCGGTGAAATATATCACAAGACAGAAGGACTGAAGCAGCAGTGTGTGTGATGCATAAATGGGAAAACAGTATTTAATAATAAATAACAGGAGAGGCTGATTGACATGTTTTCTTGCTTTAAGTCATTTTCTATTTATCAAGTTAGTGGTACCCACATAAGTCCATCCTTGCAAGAGCGCTGTCTTGGTGTTATACTTGATTCTGGCCTCTCCTTTGAGTCTCACATCCAGTCTGTTACCAAATCCTGTAGATTCCATTTTAAAAACATCGCCGGCATCCGCCCCTTTCTTACGCAAGATGCTACAAAGGAGCTTGTCCATGCTCTAGTAATTTCCTGCATGGATTATTGTAACCCTCTCCTGATTGGTCTTCCCAAAAGCTGGATTGTCCCTCTACAGTCTGTAATGAATGCTGCCGCCAGACTGATTTTCCTCTCTAGTCGGTCCTCTCACACCTCTCCCTCTGGCAGTCCTTAAATTGGCTTCCTGTATCCTATAGGAGTCAATTCAAAGTGCTAACCCATACCTATAAAGCATTGACCATTCTAGCCCCTCTTATATCTCCTCACAGATCCATAGGTATGTCTCTTCTCGGTCTCTCCGCTCTGTCCGTGACCTTCTCTTGCTCGCATCAGTACGGCCAACTCACGCTTGCAGGACTTCTCGCGGGCGGCTCCCTTCCTATGGAATAGCCTGTCCACCGCCATCAGACTTCAATCCTTTAAGAAGTGCCTTAAAATCCACCTCTTTAGAGTAACCTCTACCTTACATACCTGTCTCTACTCTCTCCTCCAGCTCTGCTTCACTCCCACCCTATTTGAGTGATATTTCCTGTCCTAATTTGTTTTACACCCCACCTCCTATAGACTGTAAGCTCATTTGAGCAGGGTCCTCTTCAACCTATTGTTCCTGTAAGTTTTCTTGTAATTGTCCTATTTATAGTTAAATCCCCCCTCTCATAATATTGTAAAGCGCTACAGAATCTGTTGGCGCTATATAAATGGCGATAATAATAAAAATAATAATCATCAAGCTCCGTGGTGCTTGTATTACAAGTACACAAATGTTTGAGGTTATGGCTATGTTTGAAGAGGTTCTCCAGTTGTTAGTAGCCACATTAACCAATTGAGCTATCTTATGGGCTGCATATCTGTTTAGTGTTTATGTGGCACTGTGACTAGAAATGAATTAAATATAAAGGTCTCAACGCTAAAACTGGGCATGAAATTCTATTCTGTGTATTGGAACTAGGTCATCTCTAGAGAGTTCATGTAAACCTGGGTCCTCGATGAAAAGAAATGAGTTTGAAGACCTGACCATGACTTTGGCCCAGAGAGGCTTTCCATGTTGCCTCCTGAGATGGGTCTTCATTTAGGTCCATGAGGTCACAACTTGAGACATCTTACGGACAGTTTCCTCCATTACGTAATCCATATTCTAGGATACCATGAGTCAGCAGAATAAAATGAACTGTACAGAGTTATATATTACACTTGGATATGTTGGGGAGAGAGAAAGGGATTGCAGCTAAGTTATAGGTTTTTTCAGTTGGACTATTTTGGTCTAAAACGTTCACCACCCTGGTTATTTCTCAAAGATTTCCAGTTTATTGTCTAACCTTGTTATCGAATAAGTGCCATGGATTGCCACATGGAACCTTGTTATTGAATAAGTGCCATGAATTGCCACATGGAACCTTGTTATTGAATAAGTGCCATGAATTGCCACATGGAACCTTGTTATTGAATAAGTGCCATGAATTGCCACATGGAAACTTGTTATTGAATAAGTGCCATGAATTGCCACATGGAACCTTGTTATTGAATAAGTGCCATGAATTGCCACATGGAACCTTGTTATTGAATAAGTGCCATGGATTGCCACATGGAAACTTGTTATCGAAATAAGTGCCATGGATTGCCACATGGAACCTTGTTATCGAATAAGTGCCATGGATTGCCACATGGAAACTTGTTATCGAAATAAGTGTCATTGATTGCCTCATGGAACCTTGTTATCGAAATAAGTGTCATTGATTGCCTCATGGAACCTTGTTATCGAATAAGTGCCATGAATTGCCACATGGAACCTTGTTATTGAATAAGTGCCATGAATTGCCACATGGAACCTTGTTATTGAATAAGTGCCATGGATTGCCACATGGAACCTTGTTATCGAAATAAGTGTCATTGGTTGCCTCATGGAACCTTGTTATCGAATAAGTGCCATGGATTGCCACATGGAACCTTGTTATTGAATAAGTGCCATGAATTGCCACATGGAACATTGTTATAGAATAAGTGCCGTAGATTGCCAACCACGTAGAATCTAATGGGAGTCATGCATCTGCTAATGTTAGTGTTTGTATAAGTATTTATCATGTCACATCCGGTGCTTTCAATCACCATGCTTGGCTCTCCGGGGTTCCCCACCAGGACCTCATGGCACCTCAGCGAATCTGGACATTCTCCATTAAGGAAGCGGACAAAACCTGAATGGCTGATAGCCTGAGCTGGGAATCTTTGCACTTAATTAAAGAGATTCAAATTATTCTAGAAAAAAGCCTGAAAGCTATGCAATATTTGTGTCTGTATGTATGTATGTGTCTAACACTGAAATAAACTAAAATCAAACACAATACATAGAACCTCATGCCATGTCAGACAATAAATGGTTTTATTTTTATATATGAAACTCGTTTCTCCTATTTAGGGGATTTAATGTCTTTATATGTCGGTCACATCAGGCATGGCTTAGCAGAGAAAGCATACTGTAAGGCCCATGTGTGGGATTCGAAGCATTATATTGATCTTGTACAACGAACAGTATACACTGCTGGACGTGGCTGGACACAGTAGCAGGTTCAGCATTGTAGGTTCATGTAATGGGGTATATTGCATTTATTGGATATTTCGTATTATACGTTCTGATCCCACATTGCATTTCATATGCTGCATGCGGAGGTTGAATATTATATTATGTTACAATGAATTCAATTGGTAAATGTGTTAAGGTGTGAAATCACTACGCTCCAGTGATAGAAATATCTCCATCTCTGACATCATTATTTTATTTTATTTGAAGCCTGCGTAAAGGGAACATTTTCTCAGTTGTTTCAAAATGAACGATTGCATTTTATGATTAATTTAACAATATCTTCTGTTCGTACGGGTCAATCATGCTCTTGTGACTATTTCTGAGTCTGTTTTTCTCTTATGTTGAGAAAATTGATTCAGAATAAAATACTTTGGTCCACGGCCATCTGGACAAATCTCCCGTTCTCACCCTCTGCACCAGTAACAGTTATTACTAGTATGTAACCCCACCCTGTTCTCTAACACTCCTTACACTGACTGTAAACAGCTACCCAAGCCAGTGTAACTCAACAATACTGGTTTCTGACATTACTATACTGTCAGTGCTCAAATTGTGAGGTTGTACGTTAATAAATAAACTAACCCATAATGTTCATGTGTAAAGATTTACGCTTGTGTGTGTCTGTCTGTTTGTGTGAGTCTACTTGTGTGTGTGTGTGTCTGCCTGTTTGTATGTCAGTCTCTGTGAGTGCGTCAGACTGTTTGTGTGTCTTTTTGTGTATGTCTGCCTGTTTGTTTGTCAGTCTTTTTGTGTATGTGTTTGCTTGTTTGTGTGTGTTTATAGCTGTTTGTGTGTGTGTGTGTGTCTGCCTGCTTGTATGTGTGTATAACTGTTCATGTGTGTGTGAATGTCTCTACCTCTTTGTGTGTGTCTGCCTGCTTGTGTATGTCTCTGCGTGTTTGTGTGTGTCTACCTGTTTGTGTATGTCTCTGCGTGATTGTGTGTGTCTACCTGTTTGTGTATGTCTCTGCGTGTTTGTGTGTGTCTACCCGTTTGTGTATTCCTTTTTCTGATCTATGCTTTCTCTTATTTTGTCTCTTTCCTTGCTTATCATTACATGATGCCCTCATGACTATAATGTCTATATATTGTTGTAAGTAAAGCTTCTAATTTCCTTTTTACTATATATGCTACCGTGCTTACCTCATCCACCAGTACAAAGAGACGTCTGTTAATAACTCCTGTTCGATATCTAACTCTATGGTGCCTTGTTATAACACCTTGTCAGAGCCTAATCCACTGCTCTGGACTCAGAAAAGTATTTTCTGATCTCCTAATAGGATTTAAAATAACAGTAAATGGAAAAGATATTTTAACCCCTTAAGGACCGCAGACGTACTAGGTACGTCAGACAAAAAACGGTCCTTAAGGACTGTGGACGTACCTAGTAGGTCCGCGGCAAATATGAGCGCTGGAATCGATCGTGATCACTTTCAGCCGCTCTAATGGTATTGCAGCAATGCCTCGATGTTGAGGCATCCTGCAATACCTCTCCTGACTGCCAGGCCGCTGAGCGATCACTTCCACGTTTCCCAACGTGGTGTCCGGCAGTGTAGCATAGCATCGGGCGCTATCGGAGGGGGGAGATTAATACATTTATTTATTTTTTTTTTTTTTATTGATTTTACGTAAGTCTTCACTGAGTGCCTGCAGCCATGTGACTTTCAATATGGCGCTGCCTTTCTAGAAGCAGGCTAGGGTCATCCAACCAGAGCTTGCCCCTATAATAATATTTATTATTACTATGATCCCCATTTGTCTGGTCAGGTCAATATTAGTAAATATTGACTCTGATCAGTGTGGATCTCCCTCCCTCTCTTCACTTGTGTTTTAGTGAGAGAGGTAGATCTGTGTTTAGGCAGAGAGATTTAGGTCGTTTTATGTAGGGATTTGTAGAATTGTGAGACCCAAAGGCTGTTTTCAGAGCTATTAACCCCTATCCTGTCAGTGATCACTTTTTTTGCTGTCTGTGCATCTTTTTAGGGGTTCATTTATATTAATGACTTTTTTGTGTGACTGGTCACTAAATAAAGTGATTGTGATCATGTCACAGGGGTCACAGAGGTATGCCATCCATGCGTTAGAGACTGACGCGTCTATGTCAGACTCCGACCCTGATTTTGACCCAGCCAGGTGCTCAGATACATCATCACTAGATACAGTGTCTGCTGCTAGTGATGTATCTAGTGATGTTTTATCTGTGCCTGCTAGTCCCCCTGCCAGAAGGAGACGTGCTGCTCCAGCTGGCAGAACTGCTGAGGAGTGGGTAGTGCCTCATCGCCAGAGGCCAGATATCCCACCCTTCACTGCAAATCCTGGCATTAATTTGGATGTCACAGGAATTAGCCCTCAGCAGTTTATGGAGGTGTTTCTGGGCGTTGATGTATTGGGGAACATTGTCGCCCAAACTAATGTATTTGCCCATCAGTTCCGTTCTTCAAAGCCTGACTCTTTTTTGGCAAAGCAGCAATCGGCCCACATAGATGTGCCAGAATTAAAAAAAAATATGGGCATTGACTATGCTGATAGGCATCATAAAGAAGCCCTCCATCTGCTCCTACTGGAGCAGTAGCCCCATCTGCTCTACCCCCATTTACTCCCAATGTATGTCAAGGAAGAGCTATGAAATGATTCTGCATTTCATGCACTTCAGTGACAACAGTTTGTGCCCCCCTATCGAGCACCCATGGGTGTCCACAGGAATTTTTCGGGGGGGAGGGGGGCATAATTGTAATGACATCCATGCTTGGTCCCTTTTTGACAGTGTCATGAAGGGGAGGAGCATAGTCATTATCACATAAAGCCAGGGTGAATAGCATTTTCACAACTATGGTGTCAGGAATACATATTTGTATTCTTGACACTACAAAGTTCCTTTAAGAAAATTAAAGGAACATTCTGATCATCATAACAACTTCATCTAAATGAAAATGCTATGATGCCAGGAAGCCCCTGGGTGCTCTCTTTTCTTTAAGGGGTTAAACTGCTCTCAAATGGTTTACCCCCAAAGGCTTCCTCCAGCTCCAGATCTCCAGGTCGCTCAGTGGTATTTGGCTTCTGAAACGGAGTGTTAGGAAGTGCAGATTGACATAAGAATTGGGTGCTAAAGATTGGCTAGAGCGGTCAACTGACGCTCTAAGCCAATCGCTAGTTCCCGGTTCATAAAATTTTTTTACTTTTTTATCAATGGGGAGCTACTGATTGGCTTAGAGTGCCAGCTGACCGCTCTAGCCAATCAGCGACACCCCTCCCCAGCGGCACTCTGTACTTCCTGACAATAAATAAAAGTGAACACATTAACACTGATATTTCTTTACCTGGGGAGATGAGAAGGTCCAAAGTTTCCCTGCCAGGCCCAGGTACCAAAGCCTTATGATGTGGTGTCCAGAATAAAGTGGAGGGTTCACTTCACTTGTCCTTCCTGCTCCAATCTCCTTTTCTTCTCCTTCATTTGACACAGTCTTCTTTTTCTTCTGACACTGTCTTCTCTCCTACTTGGCTCCTTCTGCTCCTTTACCTTTCTGCTCCTTCTGATTCTTTCTGCTCCTTTACCTTTGTGCTCCTTCTGTCCCTTTCTGCTCTTTGCAGACCCTTCCTTCTCCTTGCAGACTCTTCCTACTCCTTGCTGCCCCTTGCAGACCCTTCCTGCTCCTTGCAGACCCTTCCTGCTCATTTCTGTTCCTTCTCCTACTTCACCTTTGTGCTCCTTCTGTCCCTTCCTGCTCCTTGCTGCCATTGTCAGCTCCTTGCTGACCCTTTCTGCTCCTTCTACTTTACCTTTGTGCTGCTTTACCTTCCAGCTCCTTGCGGACCCTTCCTGCTCCTTGCAGACCCTTCCTTCTCCTTGTTGACCCTTCGTGCTCCTTGCAGACCCTTCCTTCTCCTTGTTGACCCTCCGTGCTCCTTGCAGACCCTTTCTTCTCCTCGTGGACCCTTCGTGCTCCTTGCAGACCCTTCCTGCTCCTTGCTGCCCCTTCCTGTTCATTTGTGTTCCTTTGTGGTCCTTCTCCTACTTTACCTGTTGTGCTCCTTGCTGCCCCTTTCTGCTCATTTCTATTCCTTCTCCTTTCTGCTCCTTCTCTTACTTTACCTTACTGGTCCTTGCCAACCCTTCCTGTAGGCTGTCTCCCCCATCCCTTACTTACCTGATCTGTAGACTGTCTCTGCCCCCCCATCCCTCACTTACCTGGTCTGTAGGCTGTCTCTGCTGGCTGTATGTGTTGCTCCCCTGTGGATTCAGTCAGAGAGAAACAGGGATAAGATGCAGCTTCCTATCCCTATCTCTCTCCATACACAGCGCCACCTACTGGCCGGCGCCGGTATTGCACTGTATTTTCAATCACAAAAAATTGCAGAACAAGCTGAAAAAAAAAAATCCATGTGAGCATCCCCAGTTTGACAGGCTGTATAAAATCCACCCCCTGATTACCCACTTCGCTGCCAGGTTTGCAGAGGCTTATACACCTGGAAGGAATATATATGTGGATGAATCCCTGATGAAGTATAAGGGAAGGCTGGGATTTAATCAGTATATTCCTCCCAAGCACTCCAGGTATGGTGTAAAGGTGTATAAGCTCTGTGATAGCGAGAATGGGTATACTCAGACCTTCTGGGTGTATGAGGGAAAGGATAGCCACCTTGACCCTCCGGGTTGCCCAGAACATATGGGAACCAGTGGCAAGATGGTCTGGGACCTGGTATTCCCCCTGATGAACAAAGGGTACCACTTGTATGCTGACAATTTTTATACAAGTGTCCCTTTGTTCAAGCTATTGTACTGTTTTGATAGCAGCAGACAATCAGAAACAACCGCGCAGGTTTCCCAGGACAACTTGCACGCACCCGACTACAAAGGGGGGAGACCTCAGCTCTGCGCCAAGATGAGCTGTTGGCAGTTAAGTACAGAGACAAGAAGGATATGTACCTTCTTACCAGCATCCACACTGAGAGGACTGTGGAGGTCTCTGTACGTGGCAGAGCTGAGAGCACAAGGAAGCCAGTGTGCATCAAGGCCTATAACCGGCATATGGGTGGGGTTGATCTGGCACATCAGCTGCTGCAGCCCTACCTAATTATACGAAAGACAAGGGCCTGGTACAAAAAGGTTGCAATATACTTAATGCAGATTGCAACCCACAACGCTTTTTTGTTGTTCAAAAAAGCAAACCTTGGAGTGAAACTGACTTTTTCACAGTTTTAACTCCAGATCAATTTGTGGATTTTATACCAAGATGCACCTGCTCCCCGGGCAGTGATGGGAGAGAGCAGAGTTGGGGCTACCCACTTTACTTTTAAAACCCCCTGTACTGTGGCAAAGCAGAATCCTCCAAAAAGATGCAGAGTCTTGTGACGGTACGCCGTCACTGAGTACCATGCCCACATGTGCCCACTCGCTTGCCTGCTTATTGTTTTCAAGTCATCGTGCTGGGGATCTCCCCTTGTTTGCAAAACATGTTTGGGCTTGATTGGAAGATTGTGCTTGTCCCATTCTAAATATGATTAAAAAATGAGGCTTGAGTATTGATCTGTGGTTGGGTATTGATGTCTCTTTTGGATGTGATATTGGAACACAAGTGTTTGTTTGCCCTCAAAAGCTGATCATTAACATATTAAAGGACTCCCGGTCTTGGAGGCAATCAAGACATATGGCAAATGGAAGAGTTAGTTTGTGCTGAAGTCAGACTTCCAGGCCACTTGTGTGTTACATAGTTACATAGTTACATAGCTGAAAAGAGACTTGCGTCCATCAAGTGTGTGACTTCTCACACCTGGCAGAGTGGCTCTGTTGGGGTCCCAGCTTCAAAGAGGAACTTGGGTTGTAAGCTCTGACCTTCCATGCAATCAGTTAACCCCTTTCAAAATATTAAAATGTGTTGGTGGGGTGTTTGGAACTATTGTAGATTTTCCTGTACCTTAAATGAAAGAGGTTTCCTTACGCAATTATCTCTCAGGCACAGAGGATCTTGGGAGAAAACGCCTTACTGGGGACTTTGCATAAAAAGGCCATGTGTGGCCCTGAAAAAAGTCAGTCTACTCCCAACATTAAGCCTCGGCTAATGTGTGGGGAGAACAGATATACTGCTCTATTTACCTGCTATACCTGCTATACTCTCTGTAGGAGAGCTCTAACCACTGGGAGCTGGAGGGAGCTGAAAGGACACCGTCTTTTACTGTCCTGATTGCCCTGGACAGCCTGGGCTCTGCATTGGGAACTGCTTCAAGCCACACACTGGTCTGTTTTTCTTTTTTTTTTTTGCCGTTCGATTTTTGGGGTTTTTTTGTTACATTTACTGCTCCTGAGTTTCTTTATTTAGTTTTACTGCACCAGACTATTTTGATGATCAAGTTCAACCTATGCATGGGGGGCATGAGTGTATTCAGGAGGCCTTGCAGAAAACAACCTGGAGTGTTTTCTTGCAATAACCAACAACAGGCTCCCCTATTTCCCACACTAATGTGTGTGTAAAAATTTAAATTGAAAAACTACCACCACACATTTGCTCCAGTTTTTTGACTAAAACAATTGCATCAAAGGCATCAAAACATTCCATATACAATACCGTGGGGTGTCAAGATTATATAAATAAAATTGGGATATCTGAAAAGGCCACCAAAATGAAGATACATCAAATTTGAAAAACATATGTCAGACGTTTGGCATTGCACCCCCCAAACAACCCAACAAACCTATGCATAGGTGGTATCACGTACTCAGGAGATGTTACTGAACACATATTGGGGCTCTCTGTCAGTAACACCTAACAGGAGCTGAGAATCCATGTCTAAAGTACAATGTGAGAGAAAAATAACACAAAAAAATGACTACCCAAAAGTTTGGCAAAGTTTGGTGGTAGAATTAGTGCATGGGAAGTGTTAAAATACCAGCATTTGAAATACCCTAGGGTAGTCTACCTTTCAAAAATATATGGTTTGATGGTAAATTACATTGGCCGGCTTCAAAAATGTCCCAAATAGGACACGGATGCATGATGACAGCTGTGAAAATTCCATGTTGAAAAACTGAAAGTTGCACCCTCCAAATAAGGTATTTTATCCCTCAGAGAACCCGACACACCTGTACATGGGTGGCATCACTGTACTTGGGAGATGTTGCTGAACACATATTGGGGTGTTCCTATTATTATACACACCAATTATTCTTTTTTTTTACATTGGCATAGATTGGTGGTAAAATGGTTGCTTGAAAAGAGATAAACAAATACCCCAAGTTTAATACCTTAGGTTGTTTTCATTAAAAAATATATACATGTGATGGGTTATTCAGGGATTACAATGTAACTTTCCTTAATTTTTGAAAAAAAATGGTTTGGAAATAGCAAAGTGCTACTTATACTTATTGCCCTATAACTTGCAAAAGAAAGCTAAGAACATGTTAGCAAAATGTAGAAACTATTTAGCACAGATGCTTTTTGGCAGTTGTAGATGCATAACAGATTTTGGTGGTCAAAGTTTGAAAAAGTGTGTTTTTAAAAGAACTTTCATCATATTTTATAATGTTTTTATAGTAAATTACATGATATGATGAAAATAATGGTATCTTTAGAAAGACCATTTAACGGCGAGGAAAACGGTATATAATATGTGTGACTACAGTAAATGAGTAAGAGGAAAATTACAGCTAAACACAAACACCGCAGAAATGTAAAAACAGCCCTGGTCCCAAACAGTAAGAAAATTGAAAAACAGTCTGGTCACTAAAGGGGTTAAGTCAAAAAAATTGTTATGATAAAAACACATGATGTTTTTACAGTTAGAAAGTGGACTTTTATTCCCATATTTAGAGAAATGCCAGACATTATCTGGACTGTATCTTGTTTGTTATATAATAAGTGAAAAATCATGACAGAGTCACATGATTTCAATATATATATATTTTTTTTAAAAAGACTGGTTTGGAACCATTTGGCTATAATCAGCTATACTCATAGCGTGGCTATTTTAGCCCTAATTTTGCAAGTTGGATTTCGGTCCAATAAAAATCACTGCTTAATCCCTTAATGTTGGTATGCGTGTAAACATGACTACCTGGGTCTGCACCCATAAGTCCACAATCGTGTATATCCAAATTACAATCATTGCAAATGAAATGTATTCATTGTAAACTAATTTTGTTTGCAATAATTGTGCTGGGAGCAGAGTCGGTGCGACATTTCAAGAGATAGTTAGTGAGGAAGAGACAGTCCCACAGAGGAAGGCACTAAGTCTTGTTTTTCCAATTATTTAATATTTTTGGCTAAATTTGAAAGAATATTTCATTAAAATATTGAAATATAAAAAAAAATCAATAAAAAATATATCAATATATCAAAAAATATTATTTTTAAAATATATATTTTTCATAACATTAAATCATTTAAAAGTTTAACCAAAATGTTTTAAAAGCTTGTCCAACACGTTTAATTTCAAGGCCTAAGTGGCCAGTGGGAAAGCTCGGATGAGAAGGGAATGGACATTGTGAGAAGGACAGATTTGCTGAGAATGTTAAGGAGTGACTTCATCGAACTGCACTGTACGGTATGAGGACATCTATAGACATGGAGAGTGCGTGTGCAGAGGTGAATGGACATTGTGAGAAGGCCAGATTTGTGAATTCATCCAGCTGCACCGTAGGGTATGGGAACATGGAGAGTGCGTGTGCAGAGGTGAATGGACATTGTGAGAAGGCCAGATTTGTAAATTAATCCAGCTGCACTGTACGGTATGGGAACATGGAGAGTGTGTGTGTAGAGGTGAATGGACATTGTGAGAAGGCCAGATTTGTGAATTCATCCAGCTGCACCGTACGGTATGGGAACATGGAGAGTGCGTGTGCAGAGGTGAATGGACATTGTGAGAAGGCCAGATTTGTAAATTAATCCAGCTGCACCGTACGGTATGGGAACATGGAGAGTGCGTGTGCAGAGGTGAATGGACATTGTGAGAGGGCCAGATTTGTGAATTCATCCAGCTGCACCGTACGGTATGAGAACATGGAGAGTGTGTGTGCAGAGGTGAATGGACATTGTGAGAAGGCCAGATTTGTGAATTCATCCAGCTGCACCGTACGGTATGGGAACATGGAGAGTGTGTGTGCAGAGGTGAATGGACATTGTGAGAAGGCCAGATTTGTAAATTAATCCAGCTGCACCGTACGGTATGGGAACATGGAGAGTGTGTGTGCAGAGGTGAATGGACATTGTGAGAAGGCCAGATTTGTGTAAATTCAATTCATCCAGCTGCAGGCCGTCCAGCTGGGTATGGGAACATGGAGAGTGTGTGTGCAGAGGTGAATGGACATTGTGAGAAGGCCAGATTTGTGAATTCATCCAGCTGCACCGTACGGTATGGGAACATGGAGAGTGCGTGTGCAGAGGTGAATGGACATTGTGAGAAGGCCAGATTTGTAAATTAATCCAGCTGCACCGTACGGTATGGGAACATGGAGAGTGCGTGTGCAGAGGTGAATGGACATTGTGAGAAGGCCAGATTTGTGAATCCAGCTGCACCGTACGGTATGAGAACATGGAGAGTGTGTGTGCAGAGGTGAATGGACATTGTGAGAAGGCCAGATTTGTAAATTCATCCAGCTGCACCGTACGGTATGAGAACATGGAGAGTGTGTGTGCAGAGGTGAATGGACATTGTGAGAAGGCCAGATTTGTGAATTCATCCAGCTGCACCGTACGTGAATGGACATTGTGAGAACAGATTTGTGAATTCATCCAGCTGCACCGTAGGGTATGGGAACATGGAGAGTGCGTGTGCAGAGGTGAATGGACATTGTGAGAAGGTCAGATTTGTAAATTAATCCAGCTGCACCGTACGGTATGGGAACATGGAGAGTGTGTGTGCAGAGGTGTGACAGAGGTGAATGGACATGTGTCATCCAGCTGCACGAGTTGTAAAGATCATTGTCCATTAATGCACTGCGTACCGTGGGAACATGGGAGTACATGGAGAGATGTGTAATCCAGACATTGTGAGAAGGCCAGATTTGTACCAATTCATCCAGCTGCACCGTACGGTATGGGAACATGGAGAGTGCGTGTGTAGAGGTGAATGGACATTGTGAGAAGGCCAGATTTGTGAATTCATCCAGCTGCACCGTACGGTATGAGAACATGGAGAGTGTGTGTGCAGAGGTGAATGGACATTGTGAGAAGGCCAGATTTGTGAATTCATCCAGCTGCACCGTACGGTATGAGAACATGGAGAGTGTGTGTGCAGAGGTGAATGGACATTGTGAGAAGGCCAGATTTGTAAATTCATCCAGCTGCACCGTACGGTATGAGAACATGGAAAGTGTGTGTGCAGAGGTGAATGGACATTGTGAGATGGCCAGATTTGTGAATTCATCCAGCTGCACCGTACGGTATGAGAACATGGAGAGTGTGTGTGCAGAGGTAAATGGACATTGTGAGAAGGCCAGATTTGTAAATTAATCCTGCTGCACCATACGGTATGGGAACATGGAGAGTGCGTGTGCAGAGGTGAATGGACATTGTGAGAAGGCCAGATTTGTAAATTCATCCAGCTGCACCGTACGGTATGAGAACATGGAGAGTGTGTGTGCAGAGGTGAATGAATGATAGTGGTTAGAGGACAAAGTCATTTCTTGAAACAGACAGGAAAAAACTGAGAGAAATGAAAGTGGAGATTAGAGGAAATGTGACAGCGATCAAGGGAGAGATTGTATTTACTTATTTATAAAATGTTTTAATAAGTGAGATTATACAGCATACAGTGAGATTTCCCTCATTTTAGAGTGTGTCCTGAGCCCTTTAACACAGCATCCTCACAATATAATATTAAAATAGTACAATATAATATAAATACACACAATATATATAAATGTAACATAGAACAGGTAGGAAATATATATTCAACCAAGACACGTGCATTCTGTTTTGAGGTATGTAGAGAGGGATCTCTTAAAGGACTTTAGGCTTGGGGAAGATTTTAAAGTGTGCGGGAGGTCGTTCCATAATTGCGGCGCTCTGTAGGAAAAGGAGGATCGGGCCGCTTACCTCTTTGAGGTAGACTAAATAAAGTGCTGGTACTGGATCAGAGCTTAAAGGAGGTGGGAACAGACAAGGAGAGCATTCTGCTCAGGTAGGGTGGGAGCTTCCCAGAAAAGCTCTTAAAAACAAGGCTGGAAAGATGAAGGGTGTGTCTGGATTCCAGCTTAGTTCTTTTAGCATGTCACAATGGTGGGTCCTGTAATTACATTGTAGCACAAAGCGGCAGAACGAGTTATACAATGTATTCAGTTTATTAAGGTGGGTTTGCGGTGCAGGTGCATATACTACATCCCCATAATTAATTATTGGCATTAGCATTCATTATGCAATCTACTTCCTTTACTGTAGGGTTTAGGCAGGATTTGTTTCTGTACAGGGCACCTAGTTTTGGATAAAGATATGATGAGCGTTTTTCAATGTTAAGGCCAAAAGATAGATTTGGGGTCTTGCAACATTCTAAGTATTTGAAAAGAATGGATTTTCTGATACACAGTTGTTGATTTTGTAATTTGTGTAATTTAGGTACTGCTCCAAAGATCATTGGGACAGTTTTGTCAGTATTTAGGAAGAGTTTTATTTTTTGCGATCCACTTTTCTACTTATTGCACTGGCCCTGACCTTCATCTACCTCCGTGTGTCTTAAAGGGGAACTAACCTGGAGTGTTATTATTGTATTAATTTATAAAATGTGTTACCAGGAAGGATACATTGAGATTTCTCTCATTTTCAAGTATGCCCTGGGGCCACTAACACTGCATCGTTACAATAGGATACAATATAATATTAAGAATACAAAGTGATCTTAATACACAGCACAAATATAACTTTTACACAGAACAGGTAAGAAAAGAACTATAATAAGCCATGATTACAGGCACCTTCTATACTGAGATATGTAGAGAGGATTTTAGGCTGCGGGTAGATTAATAAATGTCTTTTAGGCCAAGATAAATTAGGTCACAGATGTTGGGTGAGGGGCACATTGAGAGCACATGCCAGGATGGTGATCAGACAATGAAAGGTGTGTTAGAGAAGTTACAGACACCTGGGTATGTTGGAAAGGTGAGGCCGAGGTGTCACTGTTTAAGGTCCACATTCTATTAGATGATACAAATTATATCTTGTGTTTAAATTGAATTTATCGTGTAGACATCAAGGGAGAAAACTGTTAGTTAAATAGAAGCGAAAAGCAAATCTTTAGCAGAACATTACCCTATGTGTAAACTCCTGACCGACTTGGACTATCTTCATTTGTACTATGTTCATTACTTGTTTGTATTGAAAATATGATATTGTTATTTATGAATAAAAACATGATATTACAAGCAGAAATGCTTTTATCTGACTCCCCCTGGTGGTTTAATCTGGAATGTTCCCTGGTACAGCAAGGTTGGTAGAGATTTGTACCGTAGAATTAGAATTGACTTTTGATAATAGATGCCATTTGTTTAATTTCCGAGTACTGCTACTCTAATATATCTTTGTAGAAGCTAGCCCCTCTGTTTTCTTTTTGACACTTGTAATATAATGAATGTATCCCTATTTATTTATAGCTCCAGGATTTTTAAGGAAGCTATAGGGGGCAGTAGAGAGCGGCCCATTTCAGAATTCAGACTTGCAGGCTTGGAAGATGGGTTTATTGGCTCATTTTAACATTTAGAGACAGAAACGAACCTCCCTTTCCTCAGTGGATACAATTTGCAAAATAATATTTTCAGGTGGTATTTCATAAGGGATTTCTGAGTCTTTTATGTAAACATTTTATTCCAGTTTCTTCTAAATATAGCAATTATTTTTGTGGAGTTTCACCCACATATTGTGTGTGTGACGGACTGCCTGCCACCCCGACTGGGTTCCTCCGTGAAACGATGCTCCTAGTGCTCGCTAAGCACCATCAGCACCGCACTCAACACCATAACCACCACAAACACCACAAACCGCCGCAACTTGGTTGTGGTTTCGCTGACCTCCACCCACCCTGGACCCAAGACCAGGATCCAGCTTCCAGAGGGTGAACCTCTCCTAAATCCAGAGAGCAGGAACAGGAACAGCTCTTACAAGAGCTAGTGATTATACTCTGAGGAGTATAGTGATTATAGCAATCCCCAGAGTGTAGTTCTCCAATCCCTCAAACATGAGCCAAGACTTCATGAAGGGGTAAGAAGGTCTGTTTAATGGAAGGCAGCACTCACAATTTATACAATTCCTCAGGCCAGAGACACACCCCCTGGACCTGATGGAACACAGGCACACAAAGGATACAAACCAATCAAAACAATATAACAATGTCTGACACTCCCACATACACAGTAAATTCCATCCCTTCTATCCTGGAGATAATTGGCTTAAGTAACCGTAGTGAACTCAATTATCCCCAGGTACAGAAAATATCTCTGAGTTTACAACTGCAACAAAACACATTAAAATACATAACTTATATTCCATAGAACTAAACCCCCACATTTGACCTATACCCCAGATAGGGTGAATCTGAGTGCTCAATATATCCGAACAGCGCTCAGATCCCATGAACATAGTAAAATCGCCATGGGGTTCAAGTTTTGTGGGAGTCTCTTTGGACCGACCACAGCATGGCTTTCCTGCCCAAAAAAGTTCCACAGAATTTGGCTGTGCGGCTGGTCTATTTCCAATGTTAAATGCAGTTCAAATAGATGAACCGCAACCGTTCGTGCAAATGTCAATGTTAAAGTGACGTTCGAGTTGTCAAACGGTGTTCGACTCCAGTCGAAGTTCAGAGAAGGTAAAGTTTCAGCGGTGTTCATGCCGTTACGTGTCCGATTTGTGTTCCATGAACTCGATAACCAAACACCGCTAAACGCGGTCGACTGAATTAAAATGGCTGCCGCCACGTGTTCGTATTTCGAATGGCGGCCACTTCGACTACTTCGGCACTTCAGCTATATCCGAAGTGCCATTTCAAAGGTGCAGAACTGCTCCAATATAATTTAAAGGGGCAGACACAGTATTTTAAAATCCAATATGCCCAATTAAAGCTTTTAAAGGGCAATACATCCCAGGGGCCATAGTCACAGGCCAAGAGGCTGGCAAGCAAGCCTCTCTAAATCCCAGTGATGAAGGTTTGTCACAGTGTGTTGGTGGTGAATTTCACAAAACTGCTATTATTATACCACATCTGTGTTCTCAGGTATATAATTCCTCCATGAATTGTCAGTCGTGGGATCAGATTGTAGGCGGCTTTTTCGTTTTAATTTGATGATTAGCTGAACCCATGGGTGTTTTGATGTGGAATAGCCATAAATTCAGATGACCTTATCATGTCATACCATCACAAAAGCAGTCCTTGTAGGCTATTTTACATGCCATGTTTTACCCGCTAATAACATAATTATAATATAATATGGTTTACGCAATGTTTGCACATAGTTCACTTTGAAGGCCATTAAGGTTGATGTTTTCTGTTTCTTTAGTTTCCCAGTTATATTCAACTTCATGCTATTATTACTATTACTGGTATTTATATAGCGCCGGCACAGTCCGTAGTGCTTTACAATATTATCAAAGGGGGAGATTTAAAAATAAATGAGACAATTAGAAAAACTTACAGGAACAATAGGTTGAAGAGGACCCTGCTCAAACGAGCTTACAGTCTATAGGAGGTGGGCGTAAAACCCAACAGGACAGGAAATAGCAATCAAACAAGGTGGGGTGAAGTAGAGCTGGATTAGAGAGTAGAGTGCTGCCCTTTAGGAGAGAGCAAGAGACAGGTATGTGAGGTAGAGGTTACTCTGGGAGGCCATAAGCTTTTCTAAAGAGATGGATTTTGAGGCACTTCTTAAAGGATTGCAGATTAGCGGAGTGTCTGATGGGGTAGGCAGGCTATTCCAAAGGAACGGAGTCACCCATGAGAAGTCCTGCAAATGTGAGTTGGGTGCGAGCAGCGGACAGGAGGTGGTCATGGGCAGAGCGGAGAGACCGAGAACCTATGGATCTGTGAAGAGATATAAGAGGGGCTAGAATTGTTCAGTGCTTTATAGGTGTGGTTTAGTACTTTGAATAGACTCCTATAGGGTACAGGAAGCCAATGTAAGAACTGACAGAGGGGTGAGGTGTGAGAGAACCGAGCAGAGTGGAAAATCAGTCTGGCGGTAGCATTCATTACAGACTGTAGAGGGGCAATACAGCTTTTGGGAAGACCAATTAGGAGAGGGTTACAATAATCCATGCGAGAGATTACTAGAACATGGACAAGCTCCTTAGTAGCATCTTGCATAAGAAAGGGGGGGATGCGGATGTTTTTAAGGTGAAATCTACAGGATTTGGTAACAGACTGGATGTGAGGGTCATATGTGAGGCCAGAATCAAGTATAACGCCAAGACAGCGCGCTTGCAAGGATGGACTGATGTGGGTACCACTAACTTGAAGGGGGAGTAAAGGAGGAGCATTAGTATTAGGAGGAGGAAAGAAAAGAAGTTCAGTTTTAGAGAGATTGAGTTTCAAAAAGCGGGAGGACATCCAGTCAGAGATGGAAGAAAGGCAAGCAGTGAAACATTGGAGGACGGCAGGGGAGAGGTCCGGGGAGGAGAGTGTCATCAGGGTCATCAGCGTACAGATGGTATTGGAATCCAAATGAAGTAATAAGTTTGCCAAGAGAGGCAGTATAAGGAGAAAATACAAGGGGACCAAGTACAGAGCATTGGGAGACTCCAAGAGAGACACGACGAAGGGAGGAGGTATTACTAGAAAAGGAGATACTGAATGAGCGTTGGGAGCAGGCCCGGACTGGCCATCGGGCAAACTGAGCACATGCCCGGTGGGCCATGATGGCCATGGGCCGAGGCATGCAGGAAAGATCAAGAGATCTCTCCTGCCGGCCCACGCAAGGCAGCACCGGCCCAAGATGGAGTTCGATCCCATCATGGGCCGGAGGGGTGATCGGGCAGTGAGCCGGTCACCCTCCATGCATGCAGAGCAGCTTCCTTCTATCCCTCTCGTGAGCTCCGAGATTATCAGAGCGTTGCCATGGTAACCCACGGCAACGCTCTGAAAAATTGGTGCTCGCGAGAGGGAGAGAGACATGGTCTGTACCCTGTGGGGTTTACCTGTCACTGGACCACCAGGTATGTGAATGCTCCCTCTCCCCCCTGCAAAGTTAAAAGGGGAGAGTAAATGGAATAATTTTTGTTAAACTTTTTTTTTGTTTATTATTAAATTAATACGTTATGGCCATATCATCCACTATATACACCCCCAACTAAACATACAAACACACTACACACACACACACACCGCACCCCCTGCACTAACACACAAACACACTACACACACCGCAACCCCTGCACTAAAACACAAACACACTACACATACTGCACTAACACACAACACACTGCACCCCTGCACTAACACACAAATACACTGCTCTAACACACAAACACCCTGCACTAACACACTGCACCCCCTGCACTAACATACAAATACACTGCACTAACATACACAAACATACTACACACACAGCACTAACACACAACACAGTACACCCCCTGCACTAACACACAAACACACTACACACACTGCACCCCTGCACTCACACAAACATACTGCTCACCTGCACTAACGCTATACACACTACACCTCCTGCACTTACACACAAACACACTTCACACACTCTCTATACCCCATATTTACACACACTATACCCCCGGCACTCACATACACACATTCTATACCCCCTAAACATACACTACACTCCCTGCACTTTCATACGTTATGCCCCTTTAAACAAACACATTACACCCCCTGCATGCAAACACATTAATTTATATCCCCGATAAATACATATTCTGCACCCCCTGTACACACTACACCACCTATGCATACATTACCGCACCTATGCACATGTGCTCTACAGCTCCTATATGCATACACACACTAAAGCCCCTAGATACACTCACAAACACACAGTACAGCTCTTTACATGCACACACTACATCCCCTAGGCCCACACACTCCACAGGCCCTATATAAATACACACACAGACACACAAACACACACACATACTTTACAACCCAGAAACACACACACTACAGCCCGGAGCCACATGCAGTACGCCACAAACAGACCCCTTTACAAACAATACAACACAAATAGTCTGTTCTACACACATGCAATCTCTAAACATATACAACAGCACAGGGAACATCCCCACACATGCACAACACCTTAACAGCCCTGTTCCTGTTTTGATCTCTGGTATCCCACTATTGAGGACACCAGAGACAAATCGCCATCAAACGCAGTGCATGCTTACATTGCACAAACTATCACCCCCCCCACCACCACCACCCTCCCCCAAAAAAACCTTACTTCACCCAAGAGCACTGGATGCTCTGGAGGAGCGTGACATTAGCATACTCATTTGGTGGGGGGGAAGGGGTGTGCATATCAATGGTGGTGACATGACATGCCCCCTTTCTGACCCCGCCCCTAATAGTGGGCTGCTCTGCCTTTAATTGCCCGGGCTGAATTTTTGTCCCAGTCCGGCCCTGGTTGGGAGAGATAGGAGGAAATCCAAGAGAGAACTGTGTCACAAAGACCGAGTGATCGAAGAGTTTGGAGAAGGAGAACAAGGTCAACAGTGTCGAAGGCAACAGAGAGGTCACAAGCCTCTGCTATTGTGTAAATAGTTTATACTAAGTGACCCATAGGTTGAGGAGGCGGTGGAGGAGGAGGATGAGGTAGCCAACACTGTTATTTATGTTTTTTTTTTTTTTAATTGTGGTAGCCCACAAAATATTGGGACATACAACAAAATAAACATTTGCGCCCTGCGGTGCATTTCTTGCAGTCCTGATGCATGGAGAAATGCTCAACTCCTGATGCATGCAGAAAAGGCCCTCACAAGCCTCTACTTTTGTGTACATAGTTTATACTAAGTGACCCATAGGTTGAGGAGGCGGTGACCGTGGCGGTGGAGGAGGAGGATGAGGTAGCCAACACTGTTTCTATGTATATATATATATATGTATTAATTGGGTTAGCCCCCAAAATATTGTGACATATAAAAAAAGACAACTCTGTTCCGCAGAGTAGCTGTTGACATTATAGTTGCGCAGGAACTTTGTTGACTCTAGAGAACCTCGGGCAAATTGCACATCCCCGTGGCGGCGACTTTGCATGCGGATGTCATCTGTATCAACTTTCCATGCTAGTTTCTGCGCCTACCATGGTGACCACGGGTAACGGGGAATCAGGGTTCCATTCCATACAGGTACCCTGAGAAACGGCTACCACATGCAAGGAAGGCAGCAGGCGCGCAAATAAGCCACTCCCGACGCAGGAAGGTAGTGAGGACAAATAACAATACAGGACTATTTAGAGGCCCTGTAATTGTAATGAGTCCACTTGAAATCCTTTAACTCTGATCAACTGGAGGGAAGTCTGGTGCAGAGCCACTGACCCATGCGTGCTGCAGCTGAAACTCCACTATCGCCTGCTGCCAGGGCCGCCATCAGGGCATGACAACCATGACAATTGTCACGGGCCCGGCGGCCCTGGGGGGCCCGGCCGCCCGGGCCCCATGTGGATCAGCGGAACTGCCGCTGGTGCATCTGCACTGGGGCCCACACGCTGATGGGGCCCATCAGGTGGCCCAATCATTTAGGATCCTCGGGCAAATTGCACATCCCCGTGGCGGCGACTTTGCATGCGGATGTCATCTGTATCAACTTTCCATGCTAGTTTCTGCGCCTACCATGGTGACCACAGGTAACGGGGAATCAGGGTTCCATTCCATACAGGTACCCTGAGAAACGGCTACCACATGCAAGGAAGGCAGCAGGCGCGCAAATAAGCCACTCCCGACGCGGGAAGGTAGTGAGGACAAATAACAATACAGGACTATTTAGAGGCCCTGTAATTGTAATGAGTCCACTTGAAATCCTTTAACTCTGATCAACTGGAGGGAAGTCTGGTGCAGAGCCACCGACCCGTGCGTGCTGCAGCTGAAACTCCACTATCGCCTGCTGCCAGGGCCGCCATCAGGGCATGACATCTGCCCGGGCCCCACGTGGATCAGCGGAACTGCCGCTGGTGCATCTGCACTGGGGCCCACACGCTGATGGGGCCCATCAGGTGGCCCAATCATTTAGGGTCACCCAATGGGCCCTATTATCTTAAGGGGCCCGATCAGCATCGTAATAGCGTAACCGGGCCCCTTTAAAAAAAAATTTTTTTTAAATGCAGCCGAAAGCAAGTGCTGCTGGGAGGAAGTGACGTCCGGTCACTTCCTCCCACTTTACTCCGCGCGGGAAGGAGGGCACCTGAGGAGAGGCAGCCGATGCCCATTATCCCCAGCCACCCTCCTGCGACGAAATGGTAAGGAAGAGAGGAGGGTGGCTGGGGATGAGGTGTATGTATGCCAGTGTGTGTGTGTGTGTATGTATGCCAGTGTATGTATGTGTGTGTATGCCAGTGTGTGTATGCCAGTGTATGTGTGTATGTATGCCAGTGTGTGTGTATGCCAGTGTATGTATGCCAGTGTGTGTATGTATGCCAGTGTGTGTGTATGCCAGTGTATGTATGCCAGTGTATGCCAGTGTGTGTGTATGCCAGTGTATGTGTGCCATTGCATGTGTGCCAGTGTGTGTATGAATGCCAGTGTGTGTATGTATGCCAGTGTATGTATGCCAGTGTGTGTATGTATGCCAGTGTGTATGTGTATGCCAGTGTATGTATGCCAGTGTATGCCAGTGTGTGTGTATGCCAGTGTATGTGTGCCAGTGTACGTATGTATGTATGCCAGTGTATGTGTGCCAGTGTATGTGTGCCAGTGTATGTGTGTATGCCAGTGTATGTATGCCAGTGTATGCATGTATGTATGCCAGTGTATGCGTGTATGTATGCCAGTGTGTGTCTGTATGTATGCATGCCTGTGTGTGTCTGTATGCCTGTCAGTATGTATGTATATATCAGTATGCAGTATGTGTATGTATATGTATGTTTGTCAGTATGTATGTCTGCATGTATATGTGTGTGTGTGTGTCAGTATCTCCCTATGCATGTGTGTATGTCTGTTTCAGTATTTGTATCTGTTAGTGTGTGTGTATTCCTGTGGGCGGGATTTGGAGTCGGGCTTGAAGGGGGGCCCAGACCTTGAGCTGTGTTAGGGGCCCCAAAATTTCTGATGGCGGCCCTGCCTGCTGCTGCTCGCGCAGTCTCATGAGGCGGTGAGCGGGAAGGCCGAAGTTACGCTGCAGCGCAGACAGGTGAGCAGCAGCAGGGTGACAACGCCAAAAGCGCGCACAGCCACTACAGTGAATGTCACATCCTGTTCCAAGTTGCGGATCAGTCTGGTGATGGCTTCTGGTATCAAGTACTCTTTTTACTGAAGCTGCATCAGGGTCCTGGTATGTGGCCGTACAAACGCTGGTGCTCAACACCATGGGGCGTGCGGTTACCCTGCACCATACCCTGATAATCCATTCAACACTGTGACTCCTAACGTCAACATCAGGCATACTGGGTCCCTGTCGTCCGACCGCCACCCAGATAGTGTCTGGGTCCTGGTCACCGGACTGCCCACCTCACTGTGAAACTACGAATGGATCGTTAAATCTGGTACGAACCCGAACTTTGCAGTTCGGGTTCACTCAAGTCTATTATGGATCCTTTGATCGCTACATGTATTACTTGGATAACTGATAATTCTTGAGCTAATACATGCCGACGCGCGCTAGGGGAGCTAATACATGCCAACTAGCACCCTTTTGCACCATGCTCCCTCTTATGCTGTGCTGGTGCCTCTGTGCGACCAGCGCCTCTTCCTCCAAACTGCACACGTCACTCGCATGAACTTGATTCCATGTGGGGTCTAGGACCTCATCATCCTCCACATCATCTATCACCCACTCCTCAACCCTGCCCTCCTTGCCGGTATGCACACTGCAGAAAGCCACAGCAGTTGGCACCTGTGTTTTTCCAGCATGTAAAGTCTGCAAAGGACATATGGAAATTGTTTTAGAATTTCCTCCAGGCAACAGTTTTCCGTATAAACTGACCTCTTAGTTTGACTTGTGAGGGTATTGCCCCAGAATTACAATATTGTTGAAGTACCTCTTAGCTATTGATCACTGGTTTAAATATAGCAGCTTGTTATCTGGTAGTTTCTAGTGTAGAAAATATCAATCTGTTTTCTATCGTTTAGATCTGTGTAACAAGTATTTGAGGTGTGAAACAATATTACAAGTGACCGATGTAGTAAATTCGAATCAAAGTTACGCTTCGACTTGACTCTCAGATATGAAGTGAATACCCCAAATATACTATTTAGCACCAAAATAAAAAAAATTACTTTTTAAAACTCCAATGTAAGCAGCAGATTAGCAGCAAAACAATTAGAATGTTTACCACTGCGCTGTAAGCGCACTATTTGACGCTTCTATTTGACTCTCAAATATGAAGTGCACCGCAGGCCCCAAAATTTACTATTTAGCAGATTAGCAGCAAAACAATTAGAAAAAAATTTAAGTTTTAAACTGAAATGTGACAGCAGTATTTGATGCTTCTATTTGACTCTCAGATATGAAGTACACCGCTGGCCCCAAATGTACTATTTAGCAGATTAGCAGAAAAAACTATTAGAATTTTTACAACTGCGCTGTAAGCACACTATTAGACTCTTCTATTTGACTCTCAGATATGAAGAGCAGGCCACAAAATGTACTATTTAGCAGATTAGCACCCAGAAAATAAGAATATTTACCACTGCCCTGTAAGAACACTATTAGATGCTTCTATTTGACTCTCAGATATGAAGTGCACACCACTAAAATACTATTTAGCAGCTTAGGACCCAAAATATTTTAAGTTTTAAAACTGAAATGTGACAGCAGCATTTGACGCTTCTATTTCACTCTCAGATATGAAGTGCACCCCACTAATGTACTTTTTAGCACCCAAAAAATGTTAAGTTTTAAAACTGCAATGTGACAGCAGTATTTGACGATTCTATTTGACTCTCAGATATGAAGTGCCCCCCACTAATGTACTATCCCACTAATGTACTATTTAGCACCAAAAAAAATTACTTTTTAAAATCCCAATGTAACCGCGGTATTTGAAGCTTCTATTTGACTCTCAGATATGAAGTGCACTAGTTTGCAGAATTCTTTCCTAAGCTGTCCCTATCAGCGGCAGCATCCTCTCCCTACACTAATAAGACCTCATGTGAGTGCGGCGCTACGCGACTCCAGCTTATATACAGAGGCTGGGTCACATGCTGCACTGGCCAATCACAGCCATGCCATTAGTAGGCATGGCTGTGATGGATTCTAAGGGCACACAAGTCAAATGCTTGTTGATTGGCTGCCCTGCAACCTTTCAAAACGCGCCATTAAATCGCCGAACACCGAACTCCAACCCGAACATACAGTGATATGTCCGTGTTCGGGTCCGGGGTCCAAAAAACCTAATGTTCGGTACGAACCCGAACTTTACAGTCCACCTTCGCTCAACTCTACCTTACAGAAAGCATTTACCAGCTGCCATTAAGGTAATTAGTGAATGATGTTCCCTATATTTTGACTGTTAAACACATCCAATAACATTTAGACTGTACATATAGCTTGCTTCTGGACATACTGCACTTTCTCTGTTATTGCAAAAAAAACTCCCAGACTTGAAGCTAATCTGAACAAGGTCCATTATAGCTCGTGTTGTAGAATTGGAGGCAAACATACTGTGCTGCCATCTAGTGGTAAAAGTGTAAATAGACTAAATTTACTTTACAACGAATGTGAAAAATTCTTCTTATTATTATTTATAAAATGACAACAAATTATACAGCACTGTGCAATGGGTGGACTAACAGACAAGTATTTGTAACCAAACATATATTAGAACATACTGAATAGCAATACAAATACATTCAGGAACTACAGTCTTTAAAAACAGGTCAGATGGACCGAATGAATTCTATACTTTTAGAAATAGTCTCTTAAATGTTCTTTTTTATTTTTTTATTTTTTTGTGTGTGTGTTTTCCTCTGTCTCAACCTAATAGATTGATTTGATGTCTAATTACTGTTTTAAAAATTATATTTTAGACGGTTAACATATCTTTGTGTTCTTTTCTGGTATTGGAATTAGATTTATCTCAAAGTAAGAAGAAAAGAATGTTTGAAGATTTAAAAGGAAAAGGAGACCTCTAGAAATCATCTAACCATTAAATGTAAAGAGATACAGTGAAAATGGAAAAACGAGGAGTATGGAAGCAAAGATGATCAGAGAGAAAATGTCAGACAATGAATAGCAGATTTACTGCAGCAAGGAAGACAGTTTGAAATAAGAATAATATGAAGTGAACAAATAGAATACAAATATATGGGAAAGTCTTGAAACATGGGACTTTGCACCCACATAGCTGTTGGGATTGTCTTTTTCTGGGGTCTTTTAGTTTTATGCCAAACCCATCGTGCGCGACGCCCTCCGAGGTGGAAGTGTCCTACATCCTGCAATTGTTCCAGTGATAATGTCCTATGTGATGGTGTCCCCTCCATACCAAGCAGCTACTCCTCGGACATCATCTCAGTGTAAGAGTTCCTAAGGCAACTGACCGCCACTTCTGACTATAATCTGAGAGACGCTTTATTGTAAGGTATATCCCAGGTATCCAGGCTCATCTGACGTCCTACACCTGAATGTACTCTATTGCCCTGAACATCCCCCTGTCAGTCCAAATACATGATTACCTACCTAAGAGTCCACATGCCTCATTACCCATGTGAGGACCTATAAACATGAATGTACCTCAATTTCCTGAATGGCCACCAGACAACAATACCTACCTAATAAAATCTATATACTTGAATATCCACCTGACAGTTAATATCCATGAATGCCTACCTGCAAGTACTTAAGCCTGACTGTACACTTGCCTGCCAATGTGTGCATCCATAGGCCTGAATGTCTATCTAACATTAATTTAGGTTAATGCCCACCTAAAAACCCATACAACTTAATGTCCATTGGATAGTTTCTAAATACACATACCTGCCTGACAATCCAAAAGTCTGTAATCCCAAATGATGCAAGCCGAGTTATAAGCCATACCCCGACATGTTCTAAGCCATACATTGCCATGTTATAAGACATACCCCTGAATGTTTATGTTATAAGCCATACCCCTGAATGTCTGTTATAAGCCATCCCCCGCCAAGTTCTTAGCCATACCCCTCCATGTTATAAGCCATACCCCACCATGTTATACGCCATACCCCTGAATGTCTATGTTATAAGCCATACCCCACAATGTTATAAGCCATATCCCTCCATGTTATAAGCCATACTCTGCCATGTTATAAGACATACTATGCCATGTTATAAGCCATACCCCTCCATGTTATAAGCCATACCCCTGAATGTTATAAGACATACTCCGCCGTGTTACAAGCCATCCCCCGCCATGTTATAAGCCATATCCTGCCATGTTATAAGCCATCCCCCGCCATGTTCTAAACCATACCTCGCCATGCTATAAGCCATATTCCGACATGTTATAAGCCATCTCCGCCATGTTCTAAGCTATACCCCGCCATGTTATAAGCATCCCCCGCCATGTTATATGCCATACCCAGCCATGTTATACGCCATACCCCTGAATGTCTATGTTATAAGTCATACTCTGCCATGTTATAAGTCATACCCCACCATGTTATAAGCCATACTCCGCCATGTTATAAGCCATACACCGCCATGTTATAAGCCATCCCCCGCCATGTTATAAGCCATACCCTGCCATATTATACGCCATACCCCTGAATGTCTATGTTATAAGTCATACTCTGCCATGTTATAAGTCATACCCCACCATGTTATAAGCCATCCCCCGCCATGTTATAAGCCATACCCTGCCATATTATACGCCATACCCCTGAATGTCTATGTTATAAGCCATACCCTGCCATGTGATACGCCATACCCCTGAATGTCTATGTTATAAGTCATACCCCACCATGTTATAAGCTATACCCCACCATGTTATAAGCTATACCCCGTCATGTTATAACCCATACCCTGCCATGTTATCAGCCATCCCCCGCCCTGTTATACTCCATACCCCACCATGTTATACGCCATACCCAGCCATGTTATAAGCTATAGCCCACCATATTATAAGCCATACCCCGCCATGTTATAAGCCATACCCAGCCATGTTATAAGCCATATCTCCCATGTTATAAGCCATACCCCACCATGTTATAAGCCATACCCAGCCATGTTATAAGCCATATCTCCCATGTTATAAGCCATACCCCACCATGTTATAAGCCATACCCAGCCATGTTATAAGCCATACCCCACCATGTTATAAGCCATCCCCCGCCATCTTATAAGCCATATCCCACAATGTTATAAGCCATACCCAGCCATGTTACAAGCCATACTCTGCCATGTCATATTGATTGGCCTTGTGAATGCCAATAAAACCTTCACACGTAAGCCATGACAGAGTCTTTGTTGATTAGTTTTAAGCTGCCTTAATAAAATGCTGGTGATTCATAATAAATGAATGTTGTTAATGGCTGCACATACCCCTGGCCCCTGGTGCACAGAATAGATTATCTCTGTCTATCACACAGTGTTAAACATGGACAGATTGTGCCTGAATTTCACCATGAGACATGTAACTGGAAATCTCCGAGCATGTAACTGGCCACATTGTACACAGAAATTATACCAATTATATCAGTGTATACCAATTATACCAATCATACCAATTATACCAGTTTATATCAATTATACCAGTTTATATCAATTATACCAATCATATCAGTCTTTATACCTGTTTATACCAATTATACCAGTGTATACCAGTGTATACCAATTATACCAGTGTATATCAGTGTATACCAATTATACTAGTTTAGCAGTTGCTTTAGCATCAGCTCCTGTAAAAGTAATTATATATTAAAGCTGTACCCTCACATAGATTATACAATGGCTCACACTAAACCAACCCTTTGTATCATGGACGTTCAGATATATCGTCTTTCTGGAACATTTTATTTATTTTATTCATAGTGATAGAAGGAGAGTTTGATTATCTTTTACTGGCCTGTCTTATAATGCATTCCTCATCCCTCCGGTACAGAACAAATCATGTGACACAGTAACAAATGAATGATTCATTCACACGCTGAACAATTTGTCAAGAGAATCTGTGAAATAAATCTTCCAATAATTTCCCAAGATGACAGGATTGATTTATTGTCACTGCTGGCAGACACATTGTCACCTTTGCTCTGCCATTGCACGTTACAGTCCTTTCCTTGACATAAGAGCAGATGAACGAGAGGACGGGCATTATACAAACACAATCATTTGACAAATTGCAGATCAAAAGCTTCTCATTCATTGATGAAAGGATGGTTGTTGTCTTCTCCCGCACCGCCACCTAGTTTAAAACATAATAGAATAGAATGGACATTACGTTCCTTCCAGCCAAGGCATTGGATGAAGAGTATGATGTAACATGATGTATAAAATAATATCTAATGCAATATGCAGCCTGCTACTTTCAACTGGACATTATAGTCTATTGCAAACTACTCAGTGTCTGCTCTGGGCATTCGCCAACCATGGAGACCCTACACAAAACGTGTTACTGGTCCCCCTAGCCCAAATCAGTATTGAACTGCCTCCTGTTTTCTAGAGCCTTCTACTATAGCCCTGATGGATTCTTGTCCTACTTCCCCTTGCAGAAGATAGATAGATAGATAGATAGATAGATAGATAGATAGATAGACAGAGTATAGATAGAGTATAGATAGATAGATAGATAGACAGACATATGATGGATAGATAGATAGATAGATACATAGATAGACAGATAGATAGATACATAGATAGATAGATACATAGATAGACAGACAGATAGATAGATAGATAGATAGATAGATACATAGATAGACATATGATGGATAGATAGATAGATAGATAGATAGAGTGTAGATAGAGTATAGATAGATAGATAGATAGATAGATAGATAGATATATAGAGTGTAGATAGAGTATAAATAGATAGATAGATAGACAGACATATGATGGATAGATAGATAGATAATAGATAGATACTGTATAGATCGATAATAGATAGATATAGAATAGATAGATAGATAGATAAAGTGTACGTCCTCCCCACATTTTGAGGTTTTCACTATCTTCTTCACCTGTGTAGAGTCTTGTCCAACATCCTCCCCCCTCGTAGAGTCTTGTCCTACATCCTCCCCCCTCATAGAGTCTTGCATTTCCTCTTGCCCCCTTTCATCCCCCATATAGACTGAATTAAATAATTTCTTTACCATCTTCCCCTTGTAGATCCTTTCCATTTTTTTATATTTTGCTGCCTCCTGCCACCTTGATCATTTTTTATTTTATTATCTCCTGCCCCTTTTCATTTACAATTACTTGTATGTTTTCCAGAAATGCTTTAAAAAGGAATTCAAACAACATGGCCTTGATTTAATATTTTTGGATACGCTTTTCATATAATTTTATATTTTTGGATAAACATTTAAAATGATTTAATATTTTCAAATATATTTAATACTTAGATTTTTTTTATATATTGGTATATTTTATATAATACATTTCTTATATTTTATAAAAAAATAAAAAAATTTAAAATGTATCAAAAAATATTTAAAAAATGTATCAAAAAATATTTAAAAAGCTTATTCTAAAATAGTAAATTAAGGCCACAGTTGGAGTAAATCTCAGAGGTTGAACGTTAATTTAAAAATCATCTAAATATCTTAAATAAAAACCTCAAATTGGAACATTATTTGGTTCTGCTGTCTGTCAGTGATGTCATTATGTCAGAAAGCCGCAAAGATAAAATGATAATGTGTTAATAAGTAATTTATGTCTTCCACAGATCTTTTAGAAGATGTGTCTTTACCCATATCCCACCTGGGAGTTTCGCTCCTTCCCAAACCTTGCAGATTCTGTAAGAACTTGTGTTTTAAAATAATATTTAAACCTACGGAGTACAGAAAGTTGCCGATTGCCTTTTTTGTTCCAGTCTGGCTTTATCCGTTAATATATATTAAAATATAATAAATTATAATATCTGATTGACCGTAATTTGCTTTTTAATGTATTTTTTTTAGTAAATAAGTCCTTTGAAATATAGTAAGGTCTATTTTGGTAGCTTAAACTCTGATTTAATATTTTTGGATAACTTTTTCCAAATAGTTCATTTTTGGGATAAATGTTTAAAATGATTTAACATTTTGAAAAATATTTTGATATATATATATATATGACATATATAACTTATACCTTATCCAAAATAAAATATTAATGTTCTCCTGTGTATGTTATAATACCTACAGTGAATGAAAACAATTAAAGTGGCTGTATTTAGGCCACAATATCTACATTGTTCAATTATCATAAATGCTACATTTGGCTATTCTACTAACTCTGTTAAGTGAATAAGGCAATGCAGCTTTCCAATAATATAGGATTACTTATACAAATATATCACTGCTACCAAAATAGTTTCTTATTTTGCTGGGTGTGTAGTATTGAGCAATCAACTGAATCTGTCATTTTTTACATTTAAATATCATACTTTTTGCATTCCAGGAATTTTAATAGTTTGTTGTGTATGATTGAAGTTTTATAACATTTTGAAAAAAAATTTTTGTGATCTTTTAGATATTCATTTGTTTTGTCTTTTTGTGTGTGTCTTTTCTTTATATTTCCATATAACAATATATATTCTCTTCATATCAGGATAAAAGCCGGTTTATAAAGGAAGTTTATTCACAGACAAATATTTTCTTCTTTCCGATGGTTTACGAAATTGTAGAATGTTTAAGTGTGGGTTTAGCACAACTGATTATTTAATGTTAAAGTGTTACTCCTACCTCCACGACCATTTCAGCTCATTGAAGTCTGTGTTTCAGCTTGACGCATTGCACATACAGAGATATCTTCATTTTTGTGCTGGGAGCTAGCTGCATCCCCAGCTCATGTGACTTGGGCCCGGAACGCTGCCTTATGTCAATTCTGTGCATATTTTACATCTGTCGTCAGGACAAGCTGCCTGTAATATAAAGCCCTCCCCTCCTCCCTAACATTTTAAAGAAACTGGAATAATCCTTTAATAATTCTGATTATTAGTAGGATTTCATATTGATTTGAAAGTAACGACAGTGTTATAAGCACATATTGTCATCTCTTGATATCTGTGCAATATTTCATGTATTTCTGACATATCTACGATTTATTCATAGATTATTTACAACAAGTACCTTTGATACAATTGCTGATGACGCATTTCTAGGACTCAAACACTTGGAATATTTGTAAGTCATGGAACTTGGATTCACAAACCAAATTTATGTATTATGCAATTATTAAGTAAGAAAGTGTTACTTTTGGGATTTCTCACTTTTTCATGTAAGTCCTAGGATTTTCAAACAATGCATCTTGTTAAAGTAGAAAATGATTCCAGTTCATCAGAATTATGTAACATGATCTGAGAGAAGATTCCACAACAGAATATTACAAGGCCGAAGGACCTTGATTTGTGGAATATTTGTTAATTTTAATATTGAATTTTGTTGAATATAGTGGTTTATCTGTAAATGTCTTTGCTGAGAGTACAGTAGATAGATAGATAGATAGATAGATAGATAGAGTGTAGATAGAGGATATATAGATAAATAGATAGATAGATAGATAGATAGATAGATAGATAGATAGATAGATAGATAGATAAATAGATAGATAGATAGATAGATAGAGTGTAGATAGAGGATATATAGATAAATAGATAGATAGATAGATAGATAGATAGATAGATAAATAGATTGATAGATAGATAGATAGTGTATAGATATATAGATAGATAGATAAATAGATAGATAGATAGATAGATAGATAGATAGATAGATATATGATGGATAGATAGATAGATAGATAGAGGGTAGATAGATAGATATATGATGGATAGATAGATAGATAGATAATAGATAGATACTGTATAGATAGATAGATAGAGAGTAGCTAGATAGATAGATAGATAGATAGATAGATCGATAGACAGATAGTGTATAGATCAATAGTTAAATAGATAGACAGATAGATAGATAGAGAGACAGACAGACAGACAGATATATAGATAGATAGATAGATAAATGATAGATAGATAGATAGATAAATGATAGATAGATAGATAGATAGATAGATAGATAAATAGATAGATAGATAGATAGACAGATAGATAGACAGACAGATAGATAGATAGTTAAATAGATAGACAGATAGATAGATAGACAGACAGACAGATATATAGATAGATAGATAGATAGATAAATGATAGATAGATAGATAAATGATAGATAGATAGATAGATAGACAGAAAGATAAAGCACCGTGCTTACAGCAGCAGTAGCTTAGTATCCAACAGCTTAAAATACATAGTAAAAACAAAGAGAACGTTACCTGCGCTCTGGCCTAAATCCCCATGTACATTTAAACAAAATGGAGGCTCTTTAGTTTTATTCCAATGGCCATTTGAATATGTAAGCTCACCTGCCACGTCAAGGCAAGTACCCCTTCCTGTCTTACTGGAGATTCTTGGCTGATAGCGGCATATCTAATGGATAGTGTAGGACTCGCCTATTGAGATTATAAACAGGTCTAACATTGCTTCTGATTTTCATCAGGTTTATTGAAAATAACAAAATCCGATCGATTTCTGGGAATGCGTTCCGAGGTTTGAAATCACTTGTCCATCTGTGAGTACACCGGTGGGACCAAAAATATTTTTATAACATTTAAAGTGGGACATTAGAAGCTTGCATTAAATCCTTGTTGATGTACTGTGTGCTTTAGAATATACAATAATAAATTCTGTACAAAACATGTTCGAAGGCTACAATAATTTACAGGTTTAGGCAACAAAAATAGCATGAAAAATAATAATATGATGAAACATTGTTTGCTTTTTGTTATGAACAATGCCCTGACTTGTGTTCTGTCTCTCATTTCTGCAGGAGCCTGTCCAATAATCATCTGAAGTCTCTCCCACAAGGCTTGTTTCTGAACCTGCCGGCTGTCAAACACATGTACGTTACCAATACAAATATATCATACATTAGTTGTACGCAGGGCTACGACTGAAACTAACACTAATGAGGAGTTTTTCCATGTTGGCCACCAGCACGAGCCAATGGACATGTCAACATAACTCTATCCCAAGACTTTGAAAAGCAAGTGCATAGATTTGGTTCCCAATGGATTTTTGTGACAGATCCCAGTTTGATAGGAGCCTTATTTCCAAATGGCTTTAGTTCAATATATCGAACTTAGCAAATTGTGACCCACTTAATGAGGGGTAACTGGGCATAGGATGTTGTCTGCATCTGGATACGTTATTTGTTAATTTATATATTTTTGAAGTGGCACATGGACAGTGAAATCCAATTAAATTAATATTTTAAGCACAATTCTTTAGCCATAAAGAAATTAGAGATTAGCTACAGACCCCAAGATGGTAAGTGGTTTGTAAAATGAGATATATGGGGAGGAAAGGATGATCCAACAGATATGGTGAAGGTAGAAATTAGTGGAACAGGATCATGACAATGCATGGAGTTGGACTAAATTAGACTTGTGTGCGGTGGACATATTTGGTTCGGCCGAATCACTTAAAAAAACAAAACGAGTCATCCATGTGGAAGTTGAGTTTGTATGAATATTGCCCATAAAACATATTCAGAGAAACTATTCAGACAAACCAAAAGGGCACAAACATGGGTCAATCATCTTTTTTTTCCATCAATCATCTCAGCATTTTGGTGTCACGGTCAAGAACTCTGAATCCTGAATTAAACTAACCTGCTTGTCTGTTGTGTGAGTCATTTGTTCGTTTATACATCCATATGGCATGTCAGTGATGCAGAATATCTCTGGTGATGTGTAATTATGTGTAATTCATTATTCTGCAGTGATTTACGTGGGAACAGTTTTCATTGTGACTGTCAAATCAAATGGCTGGTGCAGTGGATGAACGGGAATGGGAAGAACGTGGCCGTGTGGCCTCCTTTGCCATGTGCTGAGTCTTCAAAGCTTGGCGGACGCAACCTTACTGACCTAACAGTAAATGATTTCTACTGTGTGGCCAGCAGTAAGTCATCAGAAACCGTATAGCTTCCTACAGTGGTTAAACTATCTAACACTATATCATTCAACAGTAAATATGCAAACACAAAAAAACTTTAAAATTTACATGAAATGGACCGAGAACAATGACCATTTCAAGGCTAACCCTTATCCAAAAATGTCTTAAAAAAAAAGGAAAGAACATCTGTTTTTTTTCAATAAATTGACATTGCAACTAATAATTCTTGTTTTATTGTTAGCAAATTTAATAATTATGTAACAACATATAAAAAATGGCTGACTATGAGTTATTACCCTGCAACATACTGAATACAAACCAACCAACAGTGACCTCCTTCAGTGTCAGTGCTAGGTTTGTCTGTATGTACAGAGTTAATCAGAAACATAACCCATTAACAGCACATATGATTATATTGGATTGGCATGGAGCTATTTTGGATGTCTTTGATTTTTCTAGATATCATCCAGAGGTGGACCTTCAAGCTACCGTCATTGTCTGTCCAATCCTTCCAATATCTCTCTGATCAATATGTTGTGATCACTCATCCCTTTGAAGGACGTTGCACCTTCATGGAGTGGGACCACGTGGCTTATGTCTTTAGACAGTATAACAGCATCAAAGGTGAGTTTCAAGTTTGGTTTTACAATGAGGATGTCACAACTCTTAAAAACCTCTACTGGCTCCGGCTATATTTAGGTGAAATTATCTGACTGTCTGACTTTTATTAATTCAGAAATCAAGAAAAGTGTGGACTATTTTAGAAACTAGTAGTTTTTTAAGAAACTCTGAAGATATTGTTACCCTATAACCTCAAGAAAACTTAAAAAGAAAGACCATCGATATAATTATGGTGCTGAAAGCTTCTGGCCTACAGAATTGTCTAACTATTGAATGTCATGCAATATGCTGATCCAATTATTTTCTTTACAAAGACAACAATGTACCCATATTCTCCAATGGACTACCTGTAGCAAAGAAGAAAGCACAGGTATTCAAGTAAATAGCAGACATGTTGTCAAATCAAACTGCATTCTGCTGGATACCATGGTTAAATAGTCTCTCCTTAATAAGACTATCCTTATTGACAAGTTTTCTTTTAGTTATAATCGTAGGAATTCAACAGCAGAGGATTTGTCTAGTGACTGCATAGAATATTCAATAACTATTGTTCATACAGCACGACACACATACTGTACATAGTGTTAAACATTTTCAGATGAAAACTTGGTTTGATCATTTTTATGACTCATGTCTTCTCCATACAGGTGTTTCTATTGTTTCCTGCATGCCTTTAGTTATTGGGGATCAGCTCTTTGTTGTTGTGGCTCAGTTAATTGGAGGCTCATCTATCTATCGTTGGGACCCAAACCCTGGAGCCATCTCTTCATTCCGTCTCTTCCAGAAGCTGCCTGATACCCGTAAGCCCAATGATGTGGAATATTTTAGATCAGGAGAAGAACACTACTTTATAATTGCTGATAGTGCTAAATCTGGAGCCAGTACTATATACAGATGGGATGGGCGTGGGTTCTACACTCACCAGAAGCTGCCTCATTGGTATCGTGACACTGATGCTGAACCCTTGCTCCTCTCAGGATCCACACATCTTATTATGAGCAGTGGCTCCCAGAGGCCTCTTGTATATCGGTTTGAAGACAAACATCTCAGACGCCTCACTGATATCCCTGAAGCTTGGGATGTGTACGCGGTGAAGCATTTCACCGATCCAGAAGATGGTGTCTTTGCCTGTTTGGTGAGTTATATTGGTGAATCGTCCCTAGTTCGCTGGGATGGATCAATGTTTCGTCAACTCCAGCAACTGCCCTCTAGAGGATCCCATGTTTTTCAACCTCTGATGCTGGGCAACAAATGGCACACTTTTCTGGGGCACGACTTTGGTTATGCATATGTATACCAGCTGGAGAAATGGAAGCACTGGGAGGTTGAGGAAGTGAGTGAAGGAGAAGGACTGAAAGGGCCATTAGTGCAGTTTCAGGAGCTCCGTGTCTTGGCGGCTCGATCTTTTGCCACTGTACAAGTGAGAGGCAGGCAGTTTGTCTTTGTGGCAAGTTTTGGAGGGGATACAATGGTATATGAATATGTGGAATATGAAAACAATGTATAATTATGTCAAGTTTGGAAGTAGGTTATGACACCTGTCTGCTCTTGAAATTATTAAACACCATGTATCCACATAAACCAAACTGAGAAGCACAGAAGCATTTGGAAGATCTGTTTAGGTATAGCAATGAGGTGCCATCTTGGCCAGTGTTTTAGGCTGGTATGGTCCAATGAAGGGCTATGCCTCATGGATGTCAACTGTGTAGGGCATAACACAATTCAAATGGAGAATATATTGGGGAAAATTGAAACATTTGGGATCTAACCTTAAAATAAAGAATAAAAAGGTGCGTTTTTTTCAGCAGTTCACCCCAAAAACCTGTAAAATGAGTATTAGTGAGTTCTCTTGGTCAACAATTTAAATCTTGATTATATCCTGAGAATATATAGCATTAAATAAACTGCAAATATAACAAAAGAGTGAAATGCTATGTACTATTAATTCTCTAAATATGGTTGGATATACTGAAAAAAGACAATAAATGGCACATTTTTATAGTAATCTTTTTTAAAGCCATATTATTGAATGTCCTGGCTTTGTATCTGTGTGTAACTTTGTGTGCTGGAGTTGCTCATTGTTTTGTCCCATCACAGCTGATTCTTTAAAGCACTCAGTGATTTTTCTGAATATTGTAAACAATATTATGCACTGTTTCTTTAAAAAAAAAAAAACTATTAGCTTGGAATTTTGCCATTTTGGGGTAATATGTATTAATTGAAAAATACATTCCAAAATGTTTATGCCATAATTGTCAAGCTTGGAATTAAAATGTATGATGAAACATGAACTTCAGTGGAAATCCAATTCTGGACCCAAAATCACAGGAATTCCATGAAATGAGAAATTTTGAAGCCGTCATTTCAGTAATTTGCTCGAAGAATTTACTGTACTGCAAATTTCTGGTTCTTAAACTCTTCAATCATCCAGAGATCTGCAGGAATATGAACATTGGATGCAATATTGTACTTTAATATGTGCAAAATATAGCAAAATATTGATTATTCACCATGGGTTAATAACCTGAGTGATCGTGTCACCATATGCTGCTAAAGAAATGTTGCTGTAAATGTATGTGTCCGTTCAGAACAGTTGAGATTGTCTTTGACAGGTAAAGGGTAAATGTGTGATCCTGCCTTGTCCCCCCTGCATTCTTCACATTAACATGGACTCATATTATCCATTGCCTCCAGCTGAGTCCACTAGATGGCAGTAAGTCCTCCGATTCACCATGATCTTTGTAGAATGAGTTGACTCTTCTCCAGATACCTGATATTAAAAAATATAAGGACAAGGAACAGGACATTTCACAGCATTGATCATTATCTTCATTCAGAGCTTTACGCGATGTATTCTGCACTCTAAATACAGTTATTGGTTCTAACCAAATTGTCATTTTGTTGTTTGTTTTTCTTCCACATTCGGTGTTTTTTACGTTATCTGAAAGACTGAACAGGACATCTTCCGAGTACTTTGAGAATAGGCTCAATGGTTTCATATCTTACACTACAACCAGTTCTAAGTAGAACTCATAGTGTCTGCAGTTTCGTTTTTGGACTACAATGAATATACTCTAGTAATGTTTGTAGTAATGAGTTGTGCTTTTAAAACACGTTCATATTTTCTTCACTGGAAATTGTGGAGAATTAAGAAGGGAATGGTTAAATTTAGGCACAAAATGAACTACACTAAAAAATGTCCCAACTCAGCTATTATTTTGTCTCAGTTGTTTTTGCCTAAAATGTGCAATAAACATGGTATTTTCCTTAATTCTGTTTTCAGTCCATTCTCAAAACAATAAGTAAAGTGAGATGATAACAGATTTTCATAATTTACTAAAAAATATATGAGAGGAATTTTTTTTTAAGCAGAAATTAGAATGACTGAGGAGATAGAGGGTGCCCGCAGAGGCTGTAATGCAGTCACACCTGGCACTTCCTATAGGCAGATTAAGCAGTGGCCAAGGGCACTCTGTGAGAGTGGGAGCCCACAGAGGCTGTAATGCAGTCAGCGCTGGCACTTCCTATAGGCAGACTAAGCAGTGGCCAAGGGCGCTCTGTGAGAGGGGGCACCCGCAGAGGCTGTAATGCAGTCAGGGCTGGCACTTCCTGTAGGCAGACTAAGCAGTGGCCAAGGGCGCTCTGTGAGAGGGGGCACCCGCAGAGGCTGTAATGCAGTCAGGGCTGGCTCTTCCTATAGGCAGACTAAGCAGTGGCCAAGGGCTCTCTGTGAGAGTGGGAGCCCGCAGAGGCTGTAATGCAGTCATGGCTGGCACTTCCTATCGGCAGACTAGGCAGTGGCCAAGGGCGCTCTGTGAGAGTGGGCGCCTGCAGAGGCTGTAATGCAGTCAGGGCTGGCACTTCCTGTAGGCAGACTAAGCAGTGGCCAAGGGCGCTCTGTGAGAGTGGGTGCCCGGAGAGGCTGTAATGCAGTCAGGCCTGGCACTTCCTGTAGGTAGACTAGGCAGTGGCCAAGGGTGCTCTGTGAGAGGGGGCACCCGCAGAGGCTGTAATGCAGTCAGGGCTGGCACTTCCTATAGGCAGACTAAGCAGTGGCCAAGGGCGCTCTGTGAGAGTGGGCACCCGCAGAGGCTGTAATGCAGTCAGGGCTGGCACTTCCTATAGGCAGACTAGGCAGTGGCCAAGGGCATTCTGTGAGAGTGGGCGCCCGCAGAGGCTGTAATGCAGTCAGGGCTGGCACTTCCTGTAGGCAGACTAGGCAGTGGCCAAGGGCGCTCTGTAAGAGAGGGCGCCCGCAGAGGCTGTAATGCAGTCAGGGCCGGCGCTTCCTATAGGCAGACTAGGCAGTGGCCAAGGGTGCTCTGTGAGAGGGGCTGTAATGCACTCTGAATCTCCTATTAGCTGGTAGAATTCACTCTCGAAGAGCTCAGAGACCGTGCCTCCCGCTGTGATAGATTTGCCGGCGCCCTCACCTCACTGCTACAGCCCTCCTTGTTGTAATTCAGCTAATTACAATGCTCTCATTAAAGCATAGGGGTTATGATTGTAACTCTGCCTCTCCCCACCCACAAACCATTAACCCCGTCCCAAACTTTCTAACTCCACCACCCAGCCTGCCTCTGACCCCTCCACCCAAGTCCTTCCTCCAGAAACCAAGTCCTTTGAAGAGGAGAGCAGTGGGCGGGCGCAGCTTCCATGCTTCTGCCTCCTGTCCTGTGCCTGATGGGAGTGACAATGGAAACACTGGAAACCTGACAACAGAGCAGGTAACACTGACTGTGCTGCTTCCAGTGCCCCCAGCCCCCACCTAAGCATGTCAGGGAAGAAGGGCAGTGTGCTGTGTGTGTGTCTGTGTGTATTAGGTAGTGTGTGTGTGTGTGTATTAGGCAGTGTCTGTGTGTGTGTGTGTGTGTGTGTGTGTATTAGGCAGTGTTTGTGTGTGTGTGTGTGTGTGTGCTAGGCAGTGTCTCTGTGTGTGTGTGACAGTTTGTGTATGTATTAGGCAGTATGTGTGTATATTTATTAGTAAGAGTTTGAATATGAGGCAGTTCTTATATTTTGGTGTATGTATGTAATCGGCAGTTTCTGTGTGCGTGTATTAGGCAGATTGTGTGTTTATATGTACAAGGCAGTCTTATGTGAGTGTGTTTATGTATCGGCAGTTTGTTAAGAGAGAGGAATACTCCATACACATAAAGTATTTCAATTAGCTGAAGTGCTTTATATGTCTGGAGTTTTTCATTTTCTTGACAGTCTATAAAAGGGCTAAATTCAATAGAAATTGGATTTTTTATGATTGGGATCAAAAATACCTCCCTGTCTGTCACACAGCTAGGAAGACTTTCTTCCACTTCCTTTAGCTCCGTAGAGCTAACAGGAGAGGCAGCCGTGCTGTACCAGCATGCACCTGCCTTCTCCCTTTCTCAATGAGCTGAATCCCTTTGTACAGCGCTACGGAATCTGATGGCGCTATATAAACAATAAAATAATAATAATAATGGGAAACATAGGAAAGCACATGCGCACAACTGCAGCCCAAGAACAGAAAAAGGGTTTTATTTAGAGTAAATCTACTAAATTGTTTTTAAAAATCAGTGGAATGTTTTCTTTTGGAGTTTAATGAATACATTTATGACACGATGGAACTATCTCATTAGGGGGTGGCACAATGGATCTTTGCCTAGGAGGGGGTGGCACAATGGATCTTTGCCTATGAGGGGGTGGCACAATGGTTCTTTGCCAAGGAGGGGGTGGCACAATGGAACTTTGCCAAGGAGGAGGTGGCACAAGAGGGGGTGGCACAGTGGATCTTTGCCTATGAGGGGGTGGCACAATGGATCTTTGCCAAGGAGGGGGTGGCACAATGGATCTTTGCCTAGGAGGGGGTGGCACAATGGATCTTTGCCAAGGAGGGGGTGGCACAATGGATCTTTGCCTAGGAGGGGGTGGCACAACAGATCTTTGCCTAGGAGGGGATGGCACAATGGATCTTTGCCAAGGAGGGAGTGGCACAATGGATCTTTGCCTAGGAGGGGGCTGCACAATGGATCTTTGACTAGGAAGGGGCGGCACAATGGATCTTTGCCTATGAGTGGTGGCACAATGGATCTTTGCCAAGGAGGGGGTGGCACAATGGATCTTTGCCTAGGAGGGGGTGGCACAATGGATCTTTGCCTAGGAAGGGGCGGCACAATGGATCTTTGCCTTGAAGGGGGTTGCACAATTGATCTTTGCCTAGGAGGGGGTGGCACAATGGATCTTTGCCTTGGAGGGGGTGGCACAATGGATCTTTACCTAAGAGGGGGCCGCACAATGGATCTTTGCCAAGGAGGAGGTGGCACAATGGATCTTTGCCAAGGAGGGGGCCACACAATGGATCTTTGCCTAGGAGGGGGTGGCACAATGGATATTTGCCTAGGGCATCAGAATCCTTGCACCGGCCATGTTTGAATGCTCAGTGTTTCAGCTTAGAAATATATCATTAGTATTTAGTAGAGTCAAGCTACCATCACAGCTACTGTTCTAATTGATTACAGTGCAAGCCTT